TGATTTGATTTTTATTTAAAAATTGAGAATTTGGGTCTGGTGTGCTTTCTGTTTGCTAGAACTCTGTTTTTCTTTTTCAAATAAAAGAATTTTCGAGCTATAAATATGATTACTAAATTGGGTTTTCTGCTTAGTTTAATTTCTTTATAAAGGTTCTGAATTTCTGATTTTTAATTTTCAGTTTTATCAGGCACCAACTGTTGGAAGCTCACGCCGCTTGAACCTGAAAGGATGGTGAGTTATTTATTTGCTTTTGTATTCCTTGCTAAGCTTTATTGGTTTCTGAGTTGCACTAAAATCTACTTTCTTAGTTTAATGATGCTGTAACAAATTTAGGAGCAAGCTACATAATTTTGACATTCCTCTGGGGTAATTGCAGGCGACTCTTGCTGATTCATTTCTTGCAGACCTTGATGAACTATCTGACAATGAAGCTGATGTTATTGTGAGTATATTCTTCCTTAAATCATGACGACCAACTTTTACATAGCTAGTCAATGAGATGTTAAAAATTCATTTCTATATCAAATTCTCAATCTCTGCAGTATAAGTACTTAATTTTGTTGTTGTTGTTGTTGTTGTTGTTGTTGTTGTTGTTCTTTTTGCAGGTTGAAGATGATGCTGATGCTGGAAACATGGAAGAAGATATTGATGGGGACTTGGCAGACTTGGAAACGCTTAATTACGATGATCTGGATAGTGTTTCAAAATTGCAGAAAACGCAAAGATATACTGATATAATGCAGGTTTGTTATAATAGGAATGTCCCGATTTTCTTCATGGAGTACTTTCTAGTATTGAAATCTTTATATTATTTTGTGCTCAAACATTATCTTTTGACTTCTTTACTGTATTTATACATTCTTAATGCTTATCCTTTTCTTTGATGCATTAGCGTTTAGGATGACTGCTGTTGCAGTTAACATGTTTTTGTTTTTTGTTGGGGTTGGGGTTTAACTTAATGGACATGGCTTTTTAAACATGTATTGTGTGCCCTGTTTGATGAAGTTTTTGGTTTTTTGTTTTTTAAATAAAGACAGGAGGAGGTTAAAAAGATAATTTATAAAAGAAATACAAGAGAGGTAAGGAAGAGAAGAGTGGGAGTAGATCAAATTGAAACTAAAAACCATTCAACATTGAAACTAATTTTGGTGTTTATTTTAAAAGTACTTATATGTGTTCTTCCTTTGTGGTTCAGTACTGTTCTATGTTCCCCCTGCCCATCTTCTTTTTCCATTTTATTACTGGAATGTGCTTAATGACATGTATGTAATCGGAATACGGTGTTTAAATTGTAGAAAGTGGAAGAGGCTTTGGAGAAGGGTTCTGATATGTCAAGTCATGGAATAGTTTTAGAAGATGATCCAGAATACCAGCTGATTGTGGACTGTAATGCTTTGTCCGTTGACATTGAGAATGAAATTGTAATCATCCACAATTTTATTCGTGATAAGTATCGCCCAAAGTTTCCAGAGCTTGAATCACTTGTGCATCATCCTATTGATTACGCCCGAGTTGTTAAGAAAATTGGGAATGAAATGGATGTAACCCTTGTTGATCTGGAGGGGCTTTTACCTTCCGCAATTATTATGGTTGTGTCAGTTACAGCATCAACTACAAGTGGCAAGCCGCTTCCAGAGGAAGTCCTTTCAAAAACAAATGAGGCATGCGATCGAGCCCTTGCTCTTGATTCATCAAAGAAGAAGGTTCTTGATTTCGTTGAAAGTAGAATGGGCTTTATTGCACCAAATCTTTCTGCTATAGTTGGGAGTGCTGTTGCGGCGAAACTAATGGGGACAGCTGGCGGTCTCGTATCCTTAGCCAAGATGCCTGCTTGTAATGTTCAGCTTCTTGGTGCTAAGAGAAAAAACCTTGCTGGGTTTTCCACTGCAACATCACAATTTCGTGTTGGTTATGTTGAGCAGACAGAAATATTTCAAACTACACCCCCTTCCTTGAGGATGCGTGCTTGCCGACTCTTGGCTGCAAAATCAACACTTGCAGCACGGGTGGATTCAACAAGAGGAGATCCATCTGGAAACACTGGAAGGGCATTCCGGGAGGAGATACGTAAGAAAATTGAGAAATGGCAGGAGCCTCCTCCTGCAAAACAACCTAAACCACTTCCGGTTCCAGATTCTGAACCTAAGAAGAAGAGAGGTGGTCGTCGGTTAAGGAAGATGAAGGAAAGGTAGTGCAGTGTTTCTACTATTTTACCTTTGTTTAGTAATTGTTGAATCATATACTGATATTTACTTTTACAGATATGCGATAACGGACATGAGGAAGCTGGCAAATAGGATGCAATTTGGTATACCTGAAGAGAGTTCCTTAGGTATTTTTCTGTCTTCTGTTAGTAAATTTAATTTGTAGATTTTCTTATGTTGCCCGTTTATTTTATACATCTGTGTTGAGTCACTATGGCCTGTTGAGTGATCATTATTAATTTTCCAATACGGGGAAAAAGAATTTGGGCATCCTGATTTTTTTTTTTTTTTTTTTTTTTTTTTTTTTTAATCCTTAACGGGTCCAATATGCATGTCTTATATTGAAGGGTTTTGTTTTTTGGGGTCAAAACTTGTGGTCAGAGGGTGCACCTTATCTCTAATTTTGATTTATATCCCAATAAGAAAAGGAAAAAATTGAATTATATTTTGCGCTGCATATTGTGAAGTTCTACAGGAGACAGGAAGTTTCCAATAACACTTACATTCTTACACTTCCTACAAATGAGGATCTCAATTTTCCGTTGTAGTGGGGTTCCCATTTACATGAATGGTTGGGATCTGTGCAATTGCATGGAATATGTTTACCATTTACATTCTTAATCTTAATCCTCATGTTTTGTCTTCCTTGATAATAGGTGATGGACTGGGTGAAGGTTATGGAATGCTTGGTCAAGCTGGGAGTGGCAAGCTGCGTGTATCAATGGGTCAGAGCAAACTTGCTGCCAAAGTCGCTAAGAAGTACGCTTTTCCTTGCTGGTTTTAATTATTGTCTTCTTTTATGGCCCAGTGATTTAATATGGATTGTCATTTGTGTTTCTGTGCTGATTTATTTGTCTAAAAGTATGAGATAATGATCCTTGACCTGATATCATGAGCTGCATATTATTTTCAGGTTCAAGGAGAAGAATTATGGAAGCAGTGGTGCTACATCTGGACTCACTTCAAGTTTAGCATTTACGCCTGTGCAGGTAACTTCACTTCTTACCTTGAAAAATCTCTCATATTCGCAAATGCATTGGTTTCCAAGCTAGTGACATAGAAACTTACTTCTTACCTTTGGAAAATTCTTACCTACAGGGGATCGAGCTCTCAAATCCACAGGCTCATGCACACCAGCTCGGCGGTGGAACTCAAAGCACCTACTTCTCTGAAACGGGAACATTTTCAAAAATCAAGAGGATCTGACCTATACAGGAGAAATTTTCTTATATTCATGAGATTTTGCCAGTTGGCAATGCCATGGATGACCTGAGTCTGAATGTGTAAATGATTTTACTAGATGAAGTATTACATCGCCGTAGTATCTCATGCTTCAGAGACCAAACTGTTCCCGATGTACTCATTCGAGCTGAGACGTGTGCTCTTGGGAATAACTAAACTGATACCTTCTACACTACTTTCTTGTGCATGACAAAGTTCTTGGATTAATGGGTAACATTTAGCAGAACAATGTTTTATTCATATTTCAGACTGCAATAATCAAAAATAGTTTTCAGTGGATTTTTTTTAATAAAAAAAAAAAGTTTAACTAACCACTTGCTGCTGGACCGAATCAGTCGTTCAGTTGAGTCATAGAGAAAGCAAGTGTTTTGGGAGTGGGAACCAAATTTGGAAGCACATTTGGTTGGTCAGGAATTATTGTCCCAATCAAAGTTGGTATACCTTACAGAATTCATGACCTGCTAATGATGAGCCTCACTTATTAATGGCAATTTATTTTCTTAAGTAACTGCTACATAGGGTATCAACCATGTTTCATAATGACGTCTAACTACTAATCATCTGATAATAAATAGAAGACCATTTTAACTGCCACAACAACATGTTCCTTTGGAGAAATTCTTGTGTAGGGCTGCCTAGCGGATCTCTCACGGATGAGTGGGCCTCACATGCGTGTTTCACACCAAGGCCACCCCTTTGATTTACACTAGAAACTTCTTCAAACATTAAAAAAATAATAAAAACTATGCCAAGCGCTACTTAATAACGTAATTTATAAGTTGATACTCCTACACCCTTTTGGGGAGGAACTTGAAATCAAAATTTTGTATTCTTATTATTTTTTTTATACAAGCGATATTCAGAAAAGGGTGTATCGAGCTTACGACATTGGATGGTTACCTTAATGTAAATTATGGAGAGGCAAGCGCATTGTAGTCAAGTGGTTAAGAGCATTTGCCCATGCACCTCAAGTCATAGGCTCCCCAATATCACTTGTATGAAAAAAATTAAAAAATTATGGAGGGGACACAACATTTCCCTTTTTATTTTTTATTTTTTCCTTTTATGATCTGAGACAACATTTTCAATGACCCTTGCCAAACGTATTAAATACGATCTTCTTTGACATCCGGACATTTCTCAGAAAACACTCACTATGCTTCAGGCAAAAGGTCCAAAGACCCATCTGTGGCTTAGCCCGTCACACATAAAGACATACATACCCTTCATGCACGTAATGAACTTCAACTAAGGGCAACATCAAGTGATTATTAGCAGAACTGTTAGATAATAAGCAATCTTTCCCTGCAAGCATACGCTCTGCCTCAATGCTAGCTAATATTAACATAATCTAAAAAAATGAGGGGTTCATTGGCAGTGCTTGAGATTGATCATCCTACACACTCGCCTTTGTGTGCCATGCGCAAGTGGACTATATGCAATTTGCAAATGCTCTTCATTTACAGTAACACAACAACCATGGCAAGCCAGTGAAAGAATCAGCATAGCCTTCATGTATGATACACCAGATGATATGAGGAAAACCTATATTCATTTCGAAGAACTCCACCCCCGAGGAAGTCTCCACTTTCTATGCCAATATATTGACACTCTTGACCATAATGGGAACCCAAAATTGTAATCCAGGGGCCTATCAGCCGGTCCCCCTACTATCAAAGGCAACCAGACATATCTTGAGTCCCTTAAGTCTGCCGGGTTCCATCGATCTGCCATGAAAATAAATGAACCAGGAAATGCTGGCACAGGAACCACAAATGTGCTCTGTGCAAAAAATGTAGTAAGTCGGGTCCCTCCCGCACAGGGGTTTCCCATAGTCTCCCATGGCCCCATGATCGACTCTGCTGCATGGGCCAGTGCCTCATTTGGAGCCCATCCAGTGCATCCTGAAGTGATCATGTAATAAGTTCCTTCATACTTGAACAGAGCCGGGGCTTCCCGATGTTGTCCCACGAGAACTCTTCTCATGATGTTTGTCACATCAAGATAATCTTCAGTTAGTGGCCCAATATGAAGTTCACTATTGTCCTCGGAGGAGTAGATTAGATATGCAACACCATCATCATCTTTGAAGATTGTCATGTCCCTACTGTCAAATCCATGGGGTCGTTTGCTGTAGAGATAATCAAAAGGACCAGTAGGGTAATCACTAATGGCAATACCAACAGCAGCTTTGGTGTAGTTAACATCATCAATATGCATCCACATAACATACTTCCCTGTCCTCTCATTGTAAATCACTTTCGGCCTCTCAAGAACATTTAATTCGTGGAGATCATGTGTTTCGTTTGTTTTTTCTGCTGCTAATACAATGCCTTCATTTTTCCATTTCCATAAGTCTCTGGAAGAATAGCAACCAACTCCTATGATGTCAACCTACACATAAGACAGAAATTGAATGCTTGAAATGAAAAAGGAATACTGACAAAAATTAGAGAAGAATAAAAAAAAACACTCACAAGTGCAGCAATGGTGAAAAAACTATGCATCTAATGGTAATGCAACATGATGAGGTCCATAACAGCAACATATGGGTTACTGGAAGCCTTAAAACAGCGCCTGCTGGAAGAAGGGAAAAAAAATCCCTCAGAGAACCATCCAGTTCATACACATATTTTCAACACCCATCGAGTAAGCATTCCTTTTCAATCCCCAAAATCCATATCGAACAACTAAAACTCCTGTAGGCTTAAACACCAGATGTCATTTTTAGCTGACAGCAAAATAAGTTGTACCCAAAAGTTCCGTTCTTTCCAAATTGAAGGTGATGGAGTTTTAAGATTTCACTTCTTGGAAAGATAGTTCTCATTACTCTTTAAATGATGCTGATCCACAAATCACCTACTTGACTTAGAAAATCTAACTGACAGATCTTTCATTGACATGGGTTGTTCTCACCTAAAATGGAGGAGATTTCTTCTCGTGCATCGTTTCCAACATGAACAAAAAAGGGCAATTATCCATGAGGCTCCTGACACACTTCTTCATCAGGACTAACCAATTGGATGATTGAAAAGAATTCACATGGCTGACTCCAATCTCAATGGGATAGGTGAACAAGAAACCCTACATCTCAAAAAGCACGATACCTATCGAACTTGAGAGCACATTATCTGATGGTGAAAGCCCTAAGCAAGGCCTACTGGGCATTCGCCCCGGCTTCATTCTTATTCTTTGTCATTATTTTTGTAATACACATCATTCCTATAACAAGTTTCCAATTATGCACACTACCCTCAACGCAATTTACAGTTCAAGAAACAACAACTATGGAATCGCTACAGACCATTGTGTTTCCAGAACTTTGCCTCTTTGATATTGGCATGTCCACGAAGAGAAAATAAAGCTCCAACTTAACACTCCAGCTCACACTAAGAAGGCATGTTATACAATTGTAAATGTTAATTTAGTTGTATTTTTCTCCTAACTTGCCATAACAATTTGTATAGAGGTTTCCAAGGAGATTTTTATTCATGTAAAGTATGTACGGTATGCAGGGGATAAAGTCTTATACAAAACAGCAATGGTAAAATGCATAGGAACTAGAAACAGAATTCCACAATCTAGAGTTGATATCAAGTAATATGAAGGCAACACACTAAATTAGGCTTATTGAGGTCAGCACAGAAAACAACTGGTATTCATGGTTGGATTATGGAAACAGAAATGAACCACATATGCAATAATGACTTACATTTAGCTTCAACCATATAACCCCAAAGCTTCTAAACAGAAAGCAAACAATTAATGAGTGAAAAACTTAAAAAATAGCGATTTCATCCCCAACAGCCTTACAGACTGATATTTTAGAGTCAAAACATAGTTGAGCATAAGATGATGCAGAGGAAAAGTAAATCACTTACCCGGGCTGCTCCTTTTTTATGAGCATGATATGTGGGCCCATCTTTATACTCCCCATACCAATAGTATGTCCTCAATTTGTCATCATATAGAATACCACCTCCATGAGCTTGAATAGGATTTCCATCAGTATCCAACCAAATCCTCCCAGGGTAGTAGTAATAGCTATCATTCCCTGTATCCTTCATTGGATCTATAACATGCTTCTGGCCAGGAAAGAATACGTGTCTAATTTGAGAATTTTCATCAAGAAATTCATCAATCAGAGTGGTTGGTCGCCTAGGTTTTCTTTTTGCAGCACGTGGGGATCGCTTTCTTGGTGGGGGAATTTGGATAGTTTCCTCTTCCACCTCTTCAAGTTCATGGAACTGTGGGTGATGAGTTGATCGAAATTGCATTTCTCCTCCCATCCTATCATTTTGGTGAACAAGGGAGTACAGCTGAAACACAAGAAAACATCCCACCAAGCTACACACCACAGCAGACGTTGAACATCTGCTCCCTGCATTGCAATGGAAAGTGGTTGGTTTCCTGTATTTGTTCCTCATCCTCATTTTCTCTTCCTTTTAATTATCTTCAAGATTATGCTGCAATTAACAAAATGCAACCTATGGATATCCAATAAAACCCAACCAAATATAAGTCATCGCCACGCTAACCTATAATGAACGGAAGTAGTCAATTTTATCACCATTTATGAAAGAAAAAACTTCAGCACAAATTAGGACTACAACAGTCTCAAATGTTTTAAAATTACACTATTTTCGTCAGTGATATACAGTCATTAACATTAGAAAACTCCGCTGTCAACGGCTGAATGTGTATAACTGAATACTACTCGGCCAAACAGTGTAGGCAATCAGGGAACGAGTCTTGATAGTTAGAAATAAACAAATAAATAAGAATAAGATATGCCAATAACAAAGTTATATTATTTACTGGAATACGGTTCAACAAATAGCAACAGAGTTAATTGCAAATGAAACATACAGGAATTAACCAATGACTTAGACCCATTTCAGTAACAGATTGAATCAATAAAAAAAGCTCAAAACTTGTGTATCAGAGTCCAAAACCTACTAGACAGATCCACATAGTTCAACAACCCAGACTTGGGTTTCCTAAAAATGGAAAGAAAAAAAATCTCTACTTTCATCACCCACAAGCAGAAAAGTGATCAGAGTCAAAGAAAAGACTTACCTGAGAACAGCTGAAGCATGAGTTGAACTGAATTTCCAGACATGGGTTTGCTACTGATGTTGTTGTTCTAACAATACTTGAACCAAACTGGGCAGACCAAGCAATCCAGAGCAGAGAAAAACAGTCCACAGAACACAGAAGAGGTTGGGTGGTTTGTTTTTTCTGATTCAATTGGATCTGAGGTTGATGATATTGACTTGGGACCGAAAGGTCTTTGATGTTTGATAAAACAGATATCCGGAAGCTTTTCAAATGAAAATTTTCCCCTTTTTTTCTTTCTGGATGCTGAATTAATTCTTACTTGATGAGCAACCACTTAGATTCTGACAGTTGATTAAATGGGCCGTCACTATATCGCGCCTACACTCCATCACCGTAACAGGACAGGTTACGTGACACACCAAGTTCACGCGGCTCATATTACTCAAGGGAGTGAGATTAGAAAGTCAAAAAAACCAACACAAAATAGTGAAATATAATAATTGAATATATAGAATAATATAAATAAACAAGAGGAGGAAAAAAAAAAAAAAAAAAAAAAAAAAAGAAGACACAAAAATCATTAACAGCTGCAGAAGAATTTTTCAGGCAAATTTTCAAATATTAATACACGTGACATGATGTTTAGTTTATAATTCTTTTTTTCTTGCCTTGATGTCTTTCAATATGTGGACCAATGGTTGTGTTTGTTGCTTAACAAAACAACAAATGGTTGTCTTTGATGTGTCAATATCCCTTTCCACATTTTTTTTAAAAATAAATTCAATTATACAAAATAAAATATATAATAACGTTGTCAAGAGATTGTACGATTATCATCATATATTAACCTATCTTTCCTAATCATGTTTTAAGCTATAAAATTAATAAAAAAGTGTATTAAAATGCAGAAAAATAATTGATAGAATGTCAATGCAAAATGAAAAAAATATTTAAATGCAAAATGATACTCATTCATGTTAAATTATGTGTTTATGTCATGTAACAAAATAAGGAGGTAGAGATCATGTCTCAACTCTTAAGTTGACCGTATTTTTGTTAACAAAATTTTTAATAGATGGAGCTCTTTTCTTAAGCTTGCTTACTAGAAGGTCGTTAGATGTCTATAATTTATAGATGTAGCTTTTTGTTGAGCAACAAACTCTTACCAACTCAAATAGGAAACATGAGCAGTTTGCTTGTATTGAAAATTGTGGGACTTCCTGAGAAGCTTGTGATATTCTGAGACTTACTCATCAAGGAGGTATTACCCCACTGAATATCATCATCTAGCAAACTTATTGACTAAGCCTCTTGATTTTTCCAGATTTGAGTTCCTATAAAAATATATTGGCATTTTTCGAGATTTGAGTTCCTATAAAAATATATTGGCATTGGACTAAAAGATTAAAACTACAACACCAATGACGGATTCATCAAGGAAAGTGCAGTATTTAAAAGTCTAAAAGCTCAACAACAAAAAATTGACAACTACATATTCTTTTAATTTAAACAACAGTAATCCCCATAGATTCATTGTGGGCAAACCCCCATGAAAAATAGTTTAATAAAGAAAATTAGCCCATTGGGTGGGCAATATACATAAATATTATTTTTTATTTGTAGGCTGAAGATTAATAGTTTAATATTATTATGTCTGTCATTACACGCTCATCTTCTTCGACAGAGACACAACCGCCTCTGAAACTCAGTTGATTTTTTTTGTAAATTGCTAAGATCAACACAGGGGCAAATTCCAGTATCTCCAATGAATTTTGTATTGAATCCCTCAAGATTTACAGGTTTAATTTCTTCATGTTGACATGAGTCTCCTAATTAATCAAGGAGATTTATTTCCTTGATTAATTAAGGGATTTACTTTTCTATTCTATATAGTTAACAAATCATTGTATAATTATGAGATACTATCCTAATTGATTACTATATCTATTTCCTTGTAAAGCACTCATGTAAACTCCTATATACACCTCCTTATGGAGAATAATAAAACCTAACCCAAAAGTATTCAAACCATATTCATATTTTAGCATGGTATTAGAGCAATCGATCATAGGTTGTCTCTAAACCCTTATCTCAAATTTCTCATATTCAAATCCAAAACCCTAAATCAAATTCCTCATATTTTTTCCCAAAACCATATCCCTCAAATCTAAAGTCCTCAAATCCTCTTATCAAAATCTCTATACACATACCGTCAAATCTTATACACACACCTCTCAAATCCAATTTCTGCATCAAATTCATACATAAAATTCCTCAAATCAAATTCCTCCAATCATAATTCCTCACATTCTCATATCACATCTTACTTCCGCTGCGATGTCAGGAACCCCTACGATTCTCCTCCTTATTGTAGACTCACAGAATCATGCGGTCAATCCTTCTGACTCAGCTACTCAGACTCATGCTTCTATCGCCACCACCAAAGGTTCTACTTTTCATATGTCCTCTCAAAAGTCTGCATAGATTATCGACTCGGATGCTATGGATCACATGACATTTGATCCCGACCAACTTATTAGTCGCAACTCATCCACTCCGTCGGTGGTGTCTTATGTTAATGGTACCCCATCCCCTGTGGTTGGGGAGGACTCTCTATCTCTCTCTACTTCCCTACATCTGGATTCTGTATTACTTGTTCCATCTTTAGACCATAACTTGTTATCTGTTGCACAACTTACTACTACTTTGAGGTGTACTGTAACATTTTGGCTGAATCATTGTGTTTTTCAGTACATCCTCACAGGAAAGACGATTGGTTGTGGTACTCGGCGGGGCAAACTTTACTACTTGAATTGGGCACCGGATAGTGAGGTTAAGGTTGGTCAAGCTTTCACAACCAGTGGAACTCGTTCTGAGAGGGAGAGAGACAAAATTTGGTTATGGTATAAACGTCTTGGGCATGCCTCGTTCGATTATCTTAAGAAGTTGTTTCCATCATTATTTTCCAATCTTGATGTTTCCAGCTTCTAGTGTGATACGTGTGAATTGGCTAAGAGTCATCGTGTCCTGTTCCTATTAAGTTCAAATAAGAGTTTGGTTCCTTTTTCTCTTGTTCATTCTGATGTTTAGGGACCTGCTAAAATTGCTACTCCAACAAAGGTGCGATAGTTTGTCACGTTATAAATAATTGCACACGCATGACTTGGGTTTCCCTTCTCAAAACTAAAGGGGAAGTCAGTTTTAGGTTTCAATAGTTTTATCAAATGGTGGAGACTCAGTTTCATGCTAGAATTCTGGTTCTTCGTTTTGACAATGGTGGAGAATTTCTCAACCATGATCTTAACTAGTTCATACAAGATCATGACATCATACATCAACGCTCATGCACTTACACTCCCCAATAAAATGGGGTGGCTGAAACAAAGAACAAACACTTATTGGAAGTCGTTCGTGCCTCTCTCTTTGGTGCCAATATGCCACGATCCTTTTGGGGCGAAACCGTCATCTCTGCAGCATACCTTATCAATCGAATTCCCTCTAGTATCCTAAATTTCCAAACACCACTTCAAAAACTTCACCACCATATCCAAACACCTCCCACCCCAAACCTGGAACCTCGGATTTTCGGCTGTGTTGTATTTGTCCACTTACATTGTCACCAACGAAGCAAATTGAATCACCAAGCCGAATAGTGTGTTTTCATTGGTTATGCACCTCATCAGAAAGGATACCGATGTTATCATCCTCCTAGTTATAAGGTCTTTACCTCCATAGATATTGTGTTTTTGGAACATGACTTATATTTTTCAACAACCTAGGAGGAGAATCGAGAATCCATCAATGCTCGAATTCTCGATTTTTTTTCTCCAAGACGTCACTTTGCATCAAAATGACTGGTCGCCAGTGGAAAGCAACCGGTCGCCCCCCTTAGTTCTTCAACTACATAGAACCTACTTCAAAACGACTGGTCGCCAGCATACAGCGACCGGTCACTAGAGGAAAACGATCAATTGTCTCCACGCTGTCAAAATCAGGAATAGGAAATTGAACCGTTTTATGAGATTTTGCCCGCTTTAGCTTCAGTACCTCACCAATCTCCTGCTGAGAAAGTCATTCAGGTAACATCTTTTCCTGAAACTGATAACACTAATGAAATATCTCATGATGATTTGATTTCAGAAGGCATAGAGCCTACATATCAACTTCCAAAAAGGAAGAACCGTGGCAAACCTCAAGTACAATATGAAGCAAATCTTAAAGCCAAAGGGAAATACCCCATTAATAATTATATATATCTCTGCAGATTATCAGAGTCACGTGTACACTATATGAAGCAATTGGCTGACATATCTGTCCCTAACAGTGTAACTGAAGCACTAGAAGACTCAAAATGGAAAAAAGCTATGAATGAAGAAATGTGAGCTCTCCAAAAGAGTGCCACATGGGAAACTCATGCATTTACCTCATGGAAATAAGACAGCAGGATACAGGTGGATTTATACTGTGAAACTCAAAGTAGATGGATTCGTTGAAAGATATAAAGCTAGATTGGTGGCGAAGGAATACACACAAAGATATGAGATAGACTACGAGGAGACCTTTGTCCCAGTAGCCAAGATTAACACTATTATAGTCATATTGTCTCTAGCAGCAAATTTCAATTGGCCACTACATCAGTTTGATGTCAAAAATGCATTCTTACATGGAAACTTGGAAGAAAAAGTATATATGGACTTACCCCAATGATGTAATTCAGCTCCTAATAAGAAAAATCAAGTTTGCAAGCTCAGAAAGTCATTATATGGGTTAAAGCAATCTCCCAGGGCATGGTTTGGTAAATTTATTAAATCTATGAATAATTTTGGATATACACAGAGTAATTCAGATCACACCCTATTCTTGAAGCGTGATGAAGGAAAACTTACTGCATTGATTGTTTATGTAGATGGCATAATTGTAACTGGAAAATGACCTAGAAGAGCAACTGAAGTTGCAAAAGTATTTGTCTCAGGAATTTAAGATGAAGGATTGGGGTGATCTGAACTACTTTCTCGGAATCGTAGTAGCAAGGTCAAAAACTGGTATATTTTTGTCTCAAAGGAAGTATGTAATGGATTTACTCACTGAAACAGAAATGCTTGGATGTAAACCTGCTGACACACCCATTGAGATGAATCACAAGTTATGTGAAGACATGGACCAAGAACCAACCAATAAGGAACAGTACCAACGCCTTGTTGGAAGGTTAATATATCTTGCACACACAAGATTAGAGATTGCATATGCTGTGAGTGTGGTTAGTTAGTTTATGCATTCTCCTAGTGTTTCTCATAGGAATGCAGTTGATCGAATTTTAAGATACTTAAAGTTAGCCCCGGGGAAAGGATTAATGTTCTCAAAAAATGGAGATCTTGAAGTTGTTGGATATACAGATGCTGATTGGGCTGGTTCCATTATAGATAGACGCTCTACTTCTAGTTACTTTACATTCATGAAAGGTAACCTAGTCACTTGGTGGAGTAAAAAGCAAAATGTGGTTTCTTGGTCCAGTGCAGAAGCATAGTATCAAGGAACGACTCACGGAGTTTGTGAATTATTATGGATCAGAAGACTCTTTACAGAATTGTGCTTCAAGCCAGAAAAGCCAATGGAGTTGCATTGTGACAACAAGTCAGCTATCGATATTGCCCATAATCCAGTTCAACATGATCGAACCAAACATGTTGAGGTGGATAGACATTTTATCAAAGAAAAAATTGAGAAGAAGATCATCTGCCTACCATTCGTAAAATCATAAGATCAACTGGCAGATATCTTAACAAAAGCTGTTTGTGGCAGAATATTTCATGACTCACTTACTAAGTTGGGCATTGGTGGCATATATGCACCAACTTGAGAAGGAGTGTTGACGTGAGTCTCCTAATTAATCAAGAAGATTTATTTCCTTAATTAATTAAGGGATTTACTTTCCTATTCTATATAGTTGACAAATCATTGCATAATTAGGAGATACTATCCTAATTGATTACTGTATCTATTTCCTTGTAAAGCACAAATGTAAACTCCTATATATCTCCTTATAGAGAAGAATAAAACCTAACCCAAAAGTATTCAAACCATATTCATATTTTATCACTTCCAATATCACAACATTTAAGTATTTTGGTGAACTAAGTTGTGTTTGATGTTTGAAAACGTGTTATATTTTCAAGCAATTGATTCTTCGATTGTATATAAAATACTTCCACATGCAAAGAACTGGTCCCATGTAATTTACATTTTTTGATGGAAATGATAGTTTTATTTCAATTAGTCTATCACACTTTTGACAGGTATAAACTAAATAGTAAAATGATAAATAAATAAAATACTTTAATACGATAATATGGTATTTCCATACACGTTCTCGCTTGCACATGATGCAATATTTTAAAAAAATAAAAATAAAAATAGGTATGCTGATTTATTTTAAAAATAAAACATGCAAGAAACAAAATAAAATTAGCAGATAAAAATAAGATTGTCACAACAAATTAAATAAATAAATAACATCATCATAGACCTTGCTAGAGTTGGTTGGTGTTGGTCTTGGCGGACGCTTGATTAGAACATAATTTTAGGTTGATCCCATTAAAATAGATATTGTCTCACTATAATGACATATCATACGTGTGCACTCACAATAATCGGATTTAATAATAACCTCGTGTCGTGAGTTTCGAGAATTATGTAAAGGACCCATTTGATAAGTGATAAACTATTTATCACAGTAGTTTTAATAACAACATGAAAATAAAATGTGACTTTGTAAAATAATACAAGACGCCTTTGAATGTTGTTTTCTTCGCTTAGGTTAGGAAATTGCTTGTTTCTACCCACCTCAGTTTCCTTCCATCAAATTAGGTAATTAATCGATTTATTAATTTTCTTATGAGTTTAGAGGGACTTGTTCTTAGATTTTGATGGGCCTCGAGCTTGACTTATTAGGTTTCGTTCTAGTGTGTACTAAAGAGAAATATTACAAAACTAATTGCTAGAGATCTCAAGTTCGAATCTCTTTTTCCGTTAAAAAAAAATATATTACACAAAATATATAAACCATTAAAAGAAAGGAAGTCGCATATTGTTTTTTTTTCTTTCCAAATTCTAATGATTCCAAATGTCGGGTTTTAGCAGTCCACGACAACTTTTCCTTTTTGACTTAAGGTGGTGACTAATTATTTGCATTTGGAAGGTTTGATGCATTAATAGGGAATCAATTTTTGAACTTTTCACCATGTTTTCGTGACTCATCATCATCAGCATGGTGCGTTTTATTGTTTGGTGGTTGAAAATTTCTTTACACATTAGATCATTGATTAAAGTGATCTGTATTGATCAATGACTTCATTATCGCTTGTCAATCAAAACAGCTAAGAACAGGTTCAAGCTAAAAAGAAATTATCATTTAAGAATCTTTGCATATATACACTTTGATGTCCATGGATTAACAATGTCTTACGACTCCACCATGAACTACAGCTTTTTTTTTTTGGGCTTACTAATTGAATATAAAGAAAAGAAAAAGTATGTATTCCTATTTGTTTGTCTGTTTGTTTGTTTTTTCCAAATTGAATTATAACTTTCTCCTATGGGGGCAGGCAAGGGGTGATGGCAAACTTCGTGAAGCTTCTTCCCCTATCTTGAAAAACCTTTGTCACCAAAACTGCAACTAAAAATACCATGAAAATGGCTAGGGATAGCATGGAGGCCCATAGCAATCTCAATGCAGTCTTAAATGGCCTGCAATGTTGTGAAACCACGTCGGAAATTCCATCCTTGACGAAGGAGCATTCTGATAAGCTCAGCAAAGTTGGATATATGTCTAGAAAATCTTGGACAGAGTGGCTGTAAGCCCAGGCCATGTTGTAGGAGGCTCGGGAGATCAGTTTTCCATTTTTTCTGCATGTTTCCATGTCGTTTAGGTAACAAGTGATTCCTGAAATGGCCTACACATATGAATTTTCAATCTAAGTAAATGTTGCAAGAGTCAAAGTTCAGGTAACAATTAAAGGTTAAAAAAATCCTTTTATATAAATAATAACGGGATAGAAAACTAACTAGTTTTGAACTTGAAAAGACAAAAATAATAAGGTCAATATATGAGTTGACATTGTGTTACTAATAAACTCATGTTATAACATGTGTATATTATTATGATTATATTCTAACGTAAAAACTCATAGCCAATCACATATTATAATCCTGGTGTATTAGTAGCACCATATCGGCATACAATACTGTTGAAGTCACACATATTTCTCCAAGATTCGAGTAAGTCTAATCTCATCTTAACCCTTCAACTCGATCCCGCACAAGTTTGCTTGTTAAATATTTTTTTGAAAATTGTTAGTTTTCTTATGTACTTATGCCAATGGGTAAATCTACTTACTTCTGGTAATTTTCCAACTGGGATGGCATCTGAGCAACTACTGGGTATGTAGCTGTAGTTAGGTGGCCCGGAGAAAGGATTGCATATACGCAGAAGTCCAACCAAATCATCATTTTGCTCGTCTATTCCAAGCGAATTGGCAATTTCTGTTACTTTAGAATTCAACTGCAACACAAAGAAATTAATCACCTCTCATTGAAAATAATCAAATACATAATAAAAATAAATTGTTAGTATGTTGATTATAATTGCTTTGACTAATATATAATATACCTGATTTATGAAACTGTGTATAGTGTAGCCAATTTGACCCATCAGCTTCTCTGAGCGCTCAGGATCTAAGCATGGTAGGATCGAGCTTAGACTACTGTTGTGGCTGTTTTGTTGAAAATCTTCCAAAGCTGAACATGTATCTTTTGCAAAACTGTGGAGCAACAAAAAATTTGAGAAAAATTCACATACTTGAATACACATGTCACGTGGGGTTTAGGGTTTAGAGACCATACTTGAATTCTTTCTAAAATGAGAAAATAAGGACAAGGGAAATTGTTACTCACTTGTGAAGGAAGAAATCGAAGCCAGTCAAAACCCAAATTAGAGTTGTTAATATCCAGCAAAGAAAGATTACACTGAAAAGAAAGAAACAAGAAAGTCCATGTAGCATAGTCCAATAAAGAATTAACAAGAAGAGCAAGAAGGCTGAAAAGAAATCTTACACAACAAGTCCTGGGTACCAATGCAGCAAGAGGAGAACTGACCAAAGCAGCAATTCATCATTAGCAATATATATAAAAAAGCAAGAAAAATCATAACAAAAGAAAATTTACCTAATGCTGAAACCAACAACACCAAGTTTACAGCTACAACCACAAGATGTACCACGTATCTAGAACACACAAAAAGCAGAATATCTTAAATATAGCCTTAGTAAAATTTTCGATTTAGAAATGTTAATCCAAATTTAGTATAGTAGCGCTCAGCAGTTAGAGGATGTACGTTTCGAATTCAAATGTTATAGACAAGAGTTGTTGAATGCTAAAAAATACGGGAGAAGATTACTTACGGGGTTTGAAGAACTCGATCAATTGTACGCCCATTTTTGTCCAAAAATAGTTGAATATTTTGTGAGTCTTTTCCAAGTCGGCGGGATGTCATGTTAAAGCTCATAACCAAGGCTGGATCATAAGGCAGCAAAAGGTATTGCATATGTCGCATTGCGTTTGTTACTTTTCTGATGGTTCTCCGAGCATTTTGAGCCTGGCTCAATATGGCTCCCTTCAATTTATCCGTTGTCTTCATAGATCTTTGGTTTTCTACCAGCGCCAAACTTGATGCAACTCTTCAATAATTTAACAACCAAGTATGTATGTTAGATAGATGTCCTCTGTCTAAATCAATAAATTTACTTATTTATTACAAAGACATTGTCCTTTGAGACTCTAATTGGAGATGTACAAGGTTGCTACGTGGTAAGTGGCAAAATATCAAGTTTAAATATGGCATGATGTTTTGTTGGTGACTGTCAAAACAATCCAGTTAAAATATTATATGTGTTTAGAGTTAATGAGTACTTTTTATTTATTATGCGCATGTCACCTTTTAACTAGACCTTAGTGTGACAAAAACAACTCCACGAACGTAAATACATAAATTTTTGCTTAAATTGTCCGACTCAATTTTGTCAAATCGTGGAACCAAACAGGCCCTTTTTTTTTTTTTTTTTTTTTTATAAAGGTTAAGGGACCGGAACATTAGACCTACAATCATGCATGAAATGAAATATTGAAATTGACAGTGATGCACTTACATGGCTAGAATTGTAAAGAGAAGGGCGAGCATGAAGATGAAGATGAAGTGACGGTCCAAGAAGTCTTTAATGGGGCAAGAACTCCTAATGCTGGAATTCTTCAAGAAGGCTGTGCAAATCATAAATACAAGCCCACATATCAACCAAACTCCCGCAATTACATATCCATGCACTCCTGTAAATGCCGCAGACTGGAAAATATGAGAAAAACACACAATAAGAAATCCCATTTTCTTTACAATTAAGTTCAATTTTCCTCTTTTTTTCATTTTCTTTACTAGAAACCCCCCCGAATTCTATATACATATGCATGAGGTGATGTTCTCTTGTTAGACAATCAAACATATTATGTTATCAGATTGTTAATCTTTCGTCCAAAAATAAAAATAAAAAATTCAGATTGTTAATCTATTTATCAAGATTACTACGAATAATGCTCGATGCTAGCTAGACTAAATATCTAAGAGAACATTATTGATCGAGTATAATTAATTAAGAAGGATGGGTAGGAACTTACAGCCCAGTAATGCTTGTTTTTCAAATCGTAGCCTCCATTGTAAGACTTTAAGTGGCTCAAAGGATCGGGTCTCTTGAAGCTGCTCTGCTCCCCATACACAACCCATGTTGGTGAAAACACAGACGTTGAAACCAAGAACACAACAAAGGGTACAAGAACTCCATTATTGGAGATAAACATGACCCAAAAAAAATAAATAATAAGCTGGTCTAATTAAATTTGGTGCAAGATGAAATGGATTTAAAAAAAATACAAAACGATCTTGCCTCCGATCATATGAATTGAAATTAAATCTTTTTGGTAGCTTTTAGAGAGAGAAAGGTGGTGTTATGTTGGTGTGACTTAGTGAGTAAGGTAAGAATAGCTTGTGGCCATGGTTTTTGCGGAAAAAGAACAAATGTGTTAGCAAGAGAGGGAGGTAACGAATCATGGGGCGATATTTATGGTTCTTTAGAGTAGAGAAAATTGACCATCTTTTTAGTGCTTCAATTTTTTAATGTCTATCTTTCTGCCTAAGCCTCTCTTTTCGCAAAGGATGACTTCTGGATAGAGGGACTTGGCCTTTTATGCTCTCTTTTTATTCCTCTTTGCATTTGCATGTTTATAAATTACATGTTTCCCATGCAAATTTCTTGGGTGTGGCAGAACGTTATTGGTGAAGTTTAGTTTAAATATGATAAAAGGACCTAGATGGGCTATCATAAATTTTTAAAAAGAGAACTTTTAGACGGTCTTACCATTGATCGTTTCTAGAAGCAAACGTGAGTTAGGTCAGTTGTTCAGGATAGGGAGTCCACCCCTTTTCCAACACACACACACAAACACAAAAGGAAAAAAAAAAAAAAAAGAGGACGTAAATGAAAAATATGGGCCCCTTGAAGCAATCCTCATCCCAAACGAATGTATTATGGAAATTTCTCCCTTTATATAAGGCAATGCCTTGGTTTGGTTGGGTTAAGTTATCAACTCAAGGGTACAAGTTAGACGTATGGCAGGGTTTAGGGTATGAATTGTTGAAGGGGCCGCCGCATGAGTATGTCAAGTGACATGGTCGTGTTATGGCAAAGTATCTGATCCATCAATCAAACATGGCATGACATGAGCACAAAATAAATGGACCTGAGACACCGAGAAAACTTGAGTATATTAATATCTCATAAAACATGAACAATTTACATGTGGTTCAATATCACACAAGAGTACTGCAGGCATAAAGACCACTCACAAACCCAATTATCACCCGAAAGAGTAAACAATAAAACAAAGAGCATAAATTTGGCTCACTATGCTTGGTTGTTTTGGTGGAACATTCTCACTCGCAGAAAAAGGGGAAGCTTCCTTTTTGTGTACGAGAAGGGTGGTTATCATGTCATTTTCCTGAAAGACGGATCTTCCCTTGGAATTTTACACAACAGTAGTCTTCGACTCTTTGCTCTTTAAAGGTATGACGCAGTTAGCGATGTCACCATTAGGCAAGCCAATTCCTTCCTTGGTCATCAGAATTCAGAAGTGTCGATAAATCTGCGCCTTCTTTCTTTTTGGTTTTGGTAAGTTTATGAGCACAATGAGCTTTCAATCTGTGAGGTGAATGTGTTCCTAAGGCAAAACTGGACCACAAGTGAGTGATAAATACATGCACTTGGAAAAGTTGGGGGGTTGGGGGTGGTGGTGGTGTTGTGGGTGTGGTGGTGTGGGGTGTTGGGGTGTGGTGTGGTGGTGGTTGGTGGTGTTATGGATTGGTTAGCTTTCAGTTCAATTGTCTAACTGGTTATTGAAAGGCCTTTGCTTGAGCTGATTCTGACTTTTGCTTTTAGGAACTCCACTTAAAGTGCATCAAATTGAGATAAAAGGGTCAGGTCCAAACCATATAAAGAAGTAATATGCATAATGAGGATAAATAAGTAAATATGGTTTGTTGTGAGTCGTTGATGCATTGTGAGATTCACTTACAACTGCCATAATCACGTTAACAATTGTCCTTAACATTTTTCTACCAACATATAACGTGATGAAGATAAGGAAGCACTAAATTTAAGCATTGGGATAGAAAGCACTTAGCTCATTATTTTGGCTTTTAATAAGATCCATGAATTTGGAATTATAGTTTGGCTTTTAATAAACTTCATGTATTTGGAATACTTAGAGTTCTCAATGTATCTAGATTAAGGAGGTTCATTAATTTGAGTGCTAGTTCAATCTATGGGATGAGAGATTAAGACTTTAAATACTTGTATGCATAGACTTCTCAAATCAATTGTTGTTGAGAATTGAAATTGAAATTAAAGAGAGTGTTCTCTCATCTTTTGCTCATAATGTGGGTTTGAGTGTTTCTTTGTCTTTTTGCTTAGTTCTAGGTATTCAGAGACTAAACGGGACTTGGTGGTTTGTGGTTCGTGTTTTCCAACATCCTTTTGCTCGAGTACTGCTGCGTCATAACTCTTCCAAGATGCTCGGTTATATGCACCTCTCATTTTCCTCGCTCCTGCTATACCAGTACTAGTTATATGATTCTGTTCACAATGGCTGTTGATAACCCCCAATACTGCTAAACCAGTCATCAAATTTGTAATTCCTTTTAATTAGATCAACTAATCAAATGATCATGCACATCAAATATGTGTATGTATTTGGTTCGTTTATTCAAGAAGTGCTTTTCTAACAGCACACATGCCTCAAAAGGTGGACAGGTTGAACCCAATGTCTCCACCTTATCTTTTACTCTTCAGTGAAAGCCTTTCATCTAATATTCCTTGAGGCAGGTCAACTAGTCAATGTGAAAGCAGTTTTCAGCATTGACATGTACATCTTGTTCATTGTTATAACCTGTGGTGCCGGTGGGACATTAACCGCCATCGACAACTTGGGTCAGATTGGGAGCTCATTAGGCCTGCCCAACTCATAGCATAAGCACTTTTATATCTCTGGTGAGCATCTGGAATTACCTTGGAAGAGTTACATCTGGCTTCTCTTCAGAAGTGCTTTTGAAAAAGTACAAGTTCCCTCGTCCCCTTCTGCTTACTCTTGTGCTTCTTTTATCATGCGTTGGCCATCTTCTAATCTCCTTCGGCATCCCCAACTGTCTCTACTTTGCTTCTGTGATTATTGGGTTCTGTTTTGGGGCACAATGGCCATTGTTTTTTGCCATCGTATCAGAAATCTTTGGCCTCAAATACTGTTCCACTTTGATCAATGTTGGTGGTGCTGCTAGCCCTATTGGGGCTTATCTTCTGAATATCAAAGTGGCTGGTAATTTATATGATGCAGATGCCTTGAAGCAGTTGGAAGCTTTGGGTAGGGTTAGGAAAGCAGTGGAGGACTTGACTTGTGAAGGAGTCAATTGTTACAAATTGGCCTTCATTATACTGCAGTGGCTTTGTTTGGAAGCCTTGTTTAAATTATTTTGGTGATTAGGACAGGGAGATTTGATAGAGGTGATATTTACAAAAAGTTCGGAGAGGCAGCTGAATCTGATGTAGCTGCTTCAAGTGGCACAGTTCCTTTGACAGAAATAGAGGCCAACGCAGCTGTTGCTGCTCACAGTTCAACCTCCTCAGCAGCACCACCGCAAGGATCAGAGACCAACTTAGGGTAGGGAAAACAATGAGGTAGCTAATTGATTGCTCTGTGAGTGGATGATTGTTTGTTACCATAATTGCTCAGAATATTCTTGTAATTTTCTATGGAAATCATTTACAAAGGAAAAATCTTGATCTCTCTGTTATATTTCAGCAAATATTTGTTTCTTTTTCTTCAAACCTGATCATTCAGATCATCAATATATTTTTAAGTGACAGAGTAATTACCTTTCACCGACAGTCATTTTACAGTTTTGACTACCATTTACTACATAAAACGGAATGCTGGGTTAATTGGAAAATACTTGCCTCCTACAGATTAGGGATGACAATGAGTCGAATCGGGGGTGGGTATCTCATCCCCATCCCCATTAATCTTTTTTCACCCATCCCTGCCTTCATACCCTCAATATTCATATCGTGAATTCTCCATCCCCACCTTCTTTGGGGAATGGATTCCCCAACCCGCCCCATTATAGAAGAAAAAACTAATATAAAACTACTAAAGAAAAAATATAGGATTAGGGCAAAATAATGAATATATATAATATATACATATAAAACAATATAAGAGTGTTTACATATTGACTAGAACTTAACTAAATATATAAGTAGTGTAGCTTACGATTCGTATAAATTATATAAATATATAATATAATAATAGGAAATATAAAATTTAGTTTGCACAATTACTTTAATATCATATTTATACATACTAATATATATATATATATTCTAAATGGGGAGGGTTCGAGTCGGGGATTAAAAACCACCACCCCCCCCCCCCCCCCCCCCCCCAACACCACACCCAAAAAAAATCTCTGTACCATCCCCATACCCCTTTTTTATCCTTCATACCCGACCCATTAAGGTCGAATCCCCGCGAAGATCCTTACCAGCGGGGAAAATTGCCATCCCTAGTTCGGGTTAATTGATTAGCAGAAAAATTGTGATTTTGGGGGGTGATAGATAGGTGTACATGAATCCATCCCATTTGTGTAGCAAAAAAAATTTGTAGCCTATGCAACCCACAACATAAATCCGTCTCTAGTCATGGGGTTCGAACATGAAATCACTGCCCTGTAAGTCAAGACTGACTTACTCATATTCTGACTTTCAAATACCACTTTGGACCATTGCAAGCATTAAATATATTTGAATGAAAATGAAGGATATTATAAGAAAATTGAACAAATTTTAATTCCTACATTGTGCAAACTAAATAAGGGAATGAGAATCCTATTTTCCGGCATTCTAGACATGGAAATGAAAATCTTCCATTCTTATCTCTTCAAATTAGATATGAGAATTTTATTTCCAAAAAATTCATTATGTGAATCAAACATGCCCTTATAAATGGTTTCACCAAATTTTTATTGAGATATGATATGAGCTTTTTCTATGTTCGGTAGCCGTTTGGCTTGTTGTATTGAGCCATTGTTTCCCTACTTTTGTGGTGGGCTTCTGCTTGAACAAAATTCAGTTTTTATCAACCTTATTTATTATCAACCAACTTCTAGTTTAGTGTTACTTCTCTTTCAAATATTGGAAAAGTCATAAATTTGAATCGTCGACCCTTGTTAATAAAACAACATTCTAACTTATGCATCATATATTCGTTCGATTGTTGTGATGATTTCAGATCTATTTTATTAATGAAGTTTTCAATTGCAAACAAAAATGAGAAGAAAAAAAGAAGAAGAAAAATTGGCAGCTGTATTAAAAGGAAAATAACATTGACAGCAACTATATGGCCTGGATGATGAATGAAGCAGCAAAGGTCCAAATGATACAAATTACAATGGGCTCTCAGTACCAGCTGTGCTTAGAGTCGTAAGTATTAATCCCAAAACCTAACACATTGAAGACAACTGAACCGGGTGGCCTCATTTGCCTTTCTCTGCCACTCGAAACTTCCTCCACGTCGGGCCGCGCATGTATAACAACAGTCATATGCGGCTTCATAAACTCTACATCCACTAATATTTCGCCACGTCAAACCAAGCCACCTTCCCATTGGTCCGTATTATTCACTCGCAACTACCGACAGCACCGTTAGTAAAACCCTTCTAAAACAGTGGAATCTTCATCTGATTGGTCCTCGTAACCGGCACGTACGGCCATCGATAGGCCAGTCTTAAATCAATCTCGGCCGTCTGTACAATCGGGTCCCACTTCATATCTGGACGGCCAAGATCTCACTGGACACTTAGACAAGCGAATTCTCACAGATTCACTCATTGGGGTACCGGGTAGAATTAAATTTAGAATTCAGATAAAAAACAAAGACAGAGGGGACAGAGCAATCATATAATTTGTATTTATGAAAAGTGGGATTGGTAGGAAGGAAGGAAAACCAAAGCAGGGAGGGAAAGCTTCCCAATAATATAAAGGCTGAGTGTGTGTTTATAGATCGATCTCTCTCTCTCTCTCTCTCTCTCTCTCTCTCTCTCAGAGTCTATCATCTCTCCGCGCGAAATCAAAGATTCATCATTAATGGGTTTGTGGGAAGCTTTTCTCAACTGGCTCCGTAGGTTAGCTCCTCCATCTCTTTCTTCAATTCTCAATCTTTTTGGGTTGTTATGTGATCCAGTTTTCATACATTTGTCTCGGGAATTTGGGACTTTGCTCTAGCTTATCCTTGTGCTTTGGGTTTAAAAGTAGCAGTTTTGAATGAAACTTTGATTTCAATTTGTTAATTTATTTGGCTTGAATGCTTATTGGCTTTGGTTTTTGTAAAGGGATGATGGGAAAGGAAACCCAAAAGAAAGAAGCTGAAAATTGGCTCCTTTTGCTCCTTTTTAGTTTTTACCAAGCCTTTTGTTTTTCCCCCTCTGGAATTCTGTCAATGTCTTTTTGTTTGATAACCAAACGGATATTTGAAAAGTTTTTACTTGTGGGTTTGCTTCCCTTTTGCTATTTCTGCTCAGAATTTTCCCTTTTGATACTGTAGATTCTGGATTGTGTCTTTTGGCTAGGAGCCTAGGAATGATTGCTGTTTATTTGTATGTATGTATGTATGTATGTATGTGTGTGTATATATATATATATATATTTTGCCTTGGTTTGAATTACAGAGCTGAATTAGGCACCAAGTTTTGTAGATATATGCTTGAAGCATCGTGATGGTTGTTGTAGAGGCTGTTAATGTGCTTTATGCTGCTTTTTGGCATTGAGGCAATTATAGTTTCCAGAATTTGAGACGGATGCTTGAATTTAGCTGCTAAAGGATTGGTATAGGGAAACGACAGTTGGATTTCTGATGTTGCAGAATGATAGAAATTAGAGCTTTTTTGAATTTAGCAATATCATGTGCTTTGAATAATATCACTTTATACCTACCAAATGCTTGATAAGTATAAAACTCTCTCTCTCCATATATATACCCTTTTGTGCTATTATGGATAAATTTCTGGCAACATTGTGTGTTCTATATTTAAATTTGTTTGTCTTACCTCAATGTATCAGTGATTCACACTGCCTACACTTACGTTATTGCATGTGATTACAGCCTCTTTTTCAAGCAGGAAATGGAGCTATCTTTGATAGGACTTCAGAATGCTGGAAAGACCTCTCTTGTAAATGTTGTTGCAGTAAGTAAATAAGCACAATTACTTTGTATTAATGTTTCTTTCCTAGTTGTCTACTTGTTTGGGCTGATGTGTTGAAAAATGGATTTTTGTTCTTAGACGGGCGGATACAGCGAAGACATGATTCCTACGGTGAGTAATGTTTTCAAAAGAGTAGTAATTGCAATTAAACAATGTTCTATCACCAGATGCTTGTACCACTTATGAATAGCTTCTATGATTAATTGAATTAATTATTGACAGTGTGGTCATGCAATTCAATTTTCAGGTAGGATTCAATATGAAGAAGGTAACCAAAGGGAATGTTACGATAAAGTTGTGGGATCTTGGAGGTCAACCCAGGTTCCGTAGCATGTGGGAGCGATACTGTCGTGCCGTTTCTGCTATAGTGTATGAACCAATTTCCCATCTCAATTGACTTTACTTTTGGAGAACTCTCTAAATGAGCATAAACTTTATTTGTGGAAAAAATTACCAAATCAAAAGATTGATGATGGGATGGCCTTTTCGTGTTTGTGTTAAAATTGTATACCTCGTCCTCAAACCTTTATTTTCTTATAAGCTGATGTTCTCTTTTGTGTTACCAGTTCGGATTGCTTGTTTAGTACGCTAGATGTCTCATTTAGTAATGTCAAGCATGAGCAGTGATGCGATGATAAGGAAGTCACAAATATCTGTTGGGAATTGTGGACTTAAACTGTATTGTCACTAGTTATGAGTTTCAATGGGTTGCTTTCTTTGTTGCTGCTGCCGTGCTTCCCCCCTTCCCCCGTGCCTCCTCCTTTCTCATGCTTAAATATTGCCTCTCCTGCATTGTTTGCTTGCTTGTAACTGCTGTGTACTATTTAATCTTTTCTTGTGTTTGTCAAAACCTTTAGCTGATAGTCTAATGTTCTGGTTAATGGCCCCATGTGTGTCGATAGTTCAAGTGTCAAAGACTCAAAACAATACATTGACTAATGATTCAGTTGAATTGATCCTAGTATTATGAAGACTAAAAGTTTTCCAACCTCTTGTTTGCTGCAGTTATGTTGTTGATGCTGCGGATCCAGATAACTTGAGCGTCTCAAAAAGTGAACTTCATGATTTGCTGAGCAAAAGCTCACTAAGTGGGATCCCGTTGCTGGTCCTGGGCAACAAGATTGACAAGCCGGGGGCTCTGAGTAAACAGGCTTTGACTGATGAAATGTAAGGCACATTATGCTTTTGTTATTGAAACCTTTTTCACTAAACTTATTTGCAGCATGTATTTTCGTATGCCTCCTGATCAAAAATGAAAAAGAAGACATGTTTTGGTACTGATTATGGAATTGTGCCGTGCAGGGGACTGAAGTCAATTACTGATAGAGAAGTTTGCTGCTTCATGATCTCATGCAAGAATTCAACCAACATTGACTCGGTTATCGATTGGCTTGTAAAGCATTCCAAATCAAAAAGCTGAGAGGGTTTTTCTTCTTCTTTTTTTGGTCTGAAAGCTGAGAGGGTTTGCTTCTCTGCTTTTGATCTGTGTGTGATATAATTATTTTTATAAAGGATTCATGTATGGATTGGTTGTTGGTGGTGGGCTTCAACTTGTCTAACTTGGTTACTGATTATTTTTGTTGTTGTACTCTATATTTTACTGTATCATTTCTAATTGCAGACTCTGGGGTTGTTTTGGTGCTCTTAGTCTCCCCTCCTCCCCCAGGCATCTGCCTTCATTCACATATTGGAATCATGGAAGTTTGAGACTAGCATTTTCATTTATGCGTGGTGAAAGTTAAACCGCACCATGTGCATCAATGAGAGGATTTTTTTATATATTGAAATTGCCAGAGTTATATTGTAATTTGTATTCTGCTGTCTATGGCTGCTTGAATAGTTTAGAGATACGTGGGAAAACCAGCTACAAATGATGTATATTAATAAAACATTACAGAAGCTATTTCCTTGAGTAGTACTTGAAAAATTAAAAATGAATTGCACTTCTGTTTTCATCTGTGAGTATATTTACCCTCCGAAAAAGTATCTTATGTTTATATGGCACAGTGGCACTAAGTCAAATAGGTGAACAAATCAAACGTTTAATATAAAATTAAGTAGAGAGACACAATATATTATGTAGTAGTGAACGTGGATTAGGTCAGTTGGCTATGATAGGATTCAAATTTGATTCTCTCCTATATTAAAATAGTTTAGAATATCGGTTTGCTAGAAAAATAAACAATAAATAATATGTAGTGTACGACCATTAACTCACAATGTGGATCATTTCTACTACAAGTTCTTATGGCGGGGTTATTGTTTTGCTCCTCGAATTATGATTCGAATTTCAATTTAGGTATCCAAAAACTCTCCGTTTAAGCCACGTCAGTCAACTCCGTTAAAGAATCTGTTTGAGCCTGGTGATGTGGCATGATGGACTCATTTGTTTGCTGACATGTAAGCCAAGTTGGCGCCATGTTGTATAAACGGTCAAAAAGCATCAGTGCTGTCCAAACCGCTCACAAAAACCTCAGCGCCTAAACGCTCACAACTCGCTACACTTTCACAGAGTCACAACTTCAGCCATGGAAGCTCTGCAAGGATCCCTCCCTCAACTCCCTCATACCAAATTCGAACCAGACACTGATAAAATCAAACGCAGGCTCAACAATGGAGGCGTCTACCCAACTCCCAAGATAGTCCACACCATCCGCAAGAAAGAAATTCAAAGGCACAACCGCAAGCTCAATCGCCTCGCAAAGACCGACCCGTCGTCCCCACCTCTCTCTCAGTCCCAAAAACAAGCCTTGGCGGACGAAACCCATTTCCAAACTCTCAAGCGCGAGTACAGGGACTTAACCAAAGCGGTCAAAGCGAAGACTGGTGACGGTGAATCCATGGTTGGGCGGCCATGGGAGGGGATTGAGAGAATTGGGTTCCGAGAGCTTGCGAGTACGAGTGCAGAGTACGGTGGAGAGAAGCTGAAGAAGGAGGAGCTGAAAGCATTGAGGGAAATGTTCGAGGCTCGGAAGCTTGAGGACTTGAAATGGGTCTTGGATGATGATATTGAGCTGACAGAAGACTGGTTGGATGGTGGAAATAGGGTCTGGGACCCAGCTAAGCGGAGGAGACGCGGCGAGGGCGAGGTGATTCAGTTTCTTGTTGACAGGTTTGTATTGGATTTTGGTTTTAGATGGATTGGTATTGGTTTTAGAAGGCTGTACTATTAAGTTGGGGATTTTTTATTTTTTATTTTTTATTTTTTGTTTGGTTGGTGGTGTGTGTGGTGGTGGTTTTGTGGTGCAGACTTAGTGCTACAGAGTTTTCCATGAAGGACTGGAAGCTTTCAAAAATGATGAAACAATCAGGGTTGCAGTTCACTGAGGGTCAGATGCTTAAGATTCTTGGAGGGCTTGGTGCTAAGGGATGTTGGAAACATTCGTTGGCTGTTGTGGAATGGGTATACAATGATAAGGGCAATAAACATTGCAAAAGCAGGTATTTTTATGTGGTGAAAACCTTGGTTATATGTTTCAAGCACTATTAAAATGTTTCCATTTGGGAGTTTGGCAAATGTCACCCAAATTGGACTACTAAAGGGTCTTCGAATTTCTAAAAAATGAATAGTGGAAAGAAACTTGATTATCATACTTGCCAATGATGTCATTCAACATGTCAAAGTTTTTTTTGCCATTGTTTCTGGCATTTCTTTGATTCCAAAGCAAATATTTCTCTTGGCCCAGAGCCACATTGAGAAGCAAAGCTGCTACTGAATAAGGTTTGGCGGTGGGATTTCACCTGCTATCCAATCCACTCACGCAAACAATAAACTTCATTGTTTTTATTCAGACACAAACTCAACGTAAGATTAGAGTACTCTCAAGTGGGTTTTTCATGGTTTGGTATAACTTTGATGATTCTATAATTATATATTGGATAGGATGAGATGCAATAATGTAGTGCTTTTGATATAGGCAACAACTATTGGCCTGTGAACTATACCAACAAAGCTTCCATAATCTGTTTTCTACAGACTTTTTTTTAAAACTTTGTTTTTTTTATTAATGTGCATATTGGTGTGTGACTCGATGTAATGCTATTGACTCAGTTACAATTCTAGACAGACCTGTTGAAACTACTCTTTTTCATCTTGTTGACAAATTGATTGATGTTGTAGGTTTGTTTACACAAAACTTTTGGCAATTCTTGGGAAGGCTCGAAGGCCCCAGGAAGCTCTTCACATTTTCAATCTGATGCTTGTGATGTCTTGTTCTTTTGTAACCTTATATTTTCAAATCCTCCTTGATGGTTTATACATTTTTTGTTGGATAAATTCTTACAACCATTTCATTCAGGGAGATTTCCACATATACCCTGATGCTGCTGCCTACCATAGCATTACAGTTACACTTGGTCAAACTGGTCTTCTGAAGGAATTGTTGAAAATTATTGAAAGTATGAGACAGAGACCTTTCAGAAGCAATAAAAATATGTTCCCCAAGAACTGGGACCCTGTCATTGAACCCGATGTCATTGTGTATAATGCTGTAAGGGAGTATTTTTGTGTATTTCAATTGTCATTCCTTGTTATACTTTAATCCGCACGTTGATGCAATTCTATTTCTCTTTCAAATTGGTTGCCAGCTACTGAATGCTTGTGCTCAGTCCCATCAGTGGAAGGGTGTATCCTGGGTGTTTAACCAGTTGAGAAAGAGTGGTCTGAAACCTAATGGAGCAACCTATGGACTTGCTATGGAGGTAATAACCTGGATTGCAACATGTCTTAACACATAATAGTCCAAACATAGGTCCTTGTTGTTATGACTTTCGTGAATATATAAATACAATATGATTCAGAGGTTCAAACCATGAAAGTATATTAAACATTAAAACTTCAGTCTTGTATTTAAAATACTTGTATTACCTCTCAGTTATACTGCTAGTAAAATATATGTATTACTCTAAACCTTACACTAAGTGGTAAAATCCAGATCCTTGTTTTGAATTCACACATCCAAATGCAATCTAAAAGGGTAATATATGGTGTTAACTAAAATAAGTAATCGTGAAAGAACTATATACTGATGTATCATTTTAATTTAAAATTAAGATTCCGTTGTGCCTTTGGAATTACATGCTATGAGGAGCTTGGGATCCTCAACCTGAACTTTATCCCAAAAATAACTAGGGTCAGCTATATGAATCTTACTTCAAGAAGCTTAGTCTCCTCTGCCACTAGGATCTGTCCAAAGTCATACACTACCTCTCTAGTTATCATACCCTTGCTACCAATGCAGTCTTCTCTGTTGGACCATCCTTGAGTCTCCGATGCACATAACTAAATCATCTCCAGATTGCTTTCTGGATCTTTGGTCTTATTAGTGCTACCCACCTTTGAACAGATATTTTTCAATTCTCAATTCTCATCTTATCCTTTTTCTTCTGAAAAATAATTAATCTTCTTTTTTTCTTTCTAGTATTGCCACACTTGTATCTTTGTGTCCTCAAATGATATTTGTATTCAACTCTAACATTAGGTGCTTGTTGTTGAAGGTAATGCTGCAATCTGGAAAGTATGACCTTGTGCACGAGCTCTTCAGGAAAATGAAAAACAGCGGTGAAGCTCCAAAAGCTCTTAACTACAAAGGTAATTATGTTAGTATCTCATCTCGTATTGAGATGGATGTATGATTTTTGGTCCCTCTTACATAACGGTATGCTATTTCCCAGTTCTTGTCAGAGCTTTTTGGTGTGAAGGAAAAGTCAATGAAGCTGTGGAAGCAGTTAGAGATATGGAACAAAGGGGAGTGGTTGGAACAGGCAGTGTCTATTATGAGTTAGCTTGCTGCCTTTGCAACAATGGTAGGTGGCAGGATGCTCTGGTAGAGGTAAGTTTCTTTGTCTATGGAGTTTGGATCTACTGTGACTGGCTTTATTTGTTTAGGTGTGGTATACTAACCATGTCTGATTCAATCTGTAAAGAGTCTTCGGTTGCTTGCATCAGTCCTGTCCTGTTTTCTTTTCAATCACTTCCTGCCATATGGTTGATTTATTGCAATATAGGAGCTTTTGTCGTACAAGTCATACATGTTTGTATCACCTATCAATGCTCTCCAGAGCATCAAGAATTAAAGCATGGACAATCAATTTATAACATAGTTGTCATGAATATAGTTGATGGCCATTCTTTAAGCTGACTTTGTTACATTTAGTATTTTAAGGAGCTGCCTAGGAAACCTACTCGTCAGACTCATTTGTTATTCCTGTGTACCTAATTTGAATATTCTTAAGTGGACTTGCCCCTGTAACAAATTTGTTCTAATTTTCTTATTTAAGGACGTATGTTTATAATAGTGATCATTTTGTGAGTTACAAAGAGAGGTTTTTGGTGCTTAATTAGAAATATGTCGTTCTACATCGTAAGCAATGTCTACCTTGTTAACAAGTTTTCATTTGTGGAATGAGGCGTTCAAACTTTATTGAGGTAGATATTGGCATAAAGAAATGGCATTAGATAACTTGTATTATTTGAAGGTTATTGTAAAGGCATGAATTTGCAGTTGTCCAAAACAGAATTCAGTATTTTTGTTTCTTTTGATTTACTTGTTTCTTGTGCTGAACTTGGATAATAATGGATGTTGTGATAATTGTCAAAAGGTTAGGCCACTGACATTTCCATTTTTTTGGGTCAAATAGTTTCTTTTATGTTAGGTCGTGACCTATCTTTCTGTTTTGGAATTAATACTTATGGTGGACCTATCTGCCTGCAGGTAGAGAAGATGAAAAATTTATCAAACATTAAACCTTTGGAGGTCACTTTCACAGGCATGATAACGTCTTCCATGGAGGGTGGGCATATTGATAGTTGCATATCTATATATAAACACATGAAAAACCGTTGTGCCCCCAACATAGGGACCATAAATACAATGCTGAAAGTCTTTGGACGTAGTGATATGTTTTTCAAAGCTAAAGAATTGTTTGAAGAAATCAAGACTGTTAGAGCTGAGTCTGATTCTTCACTAGAAGGTGGTGGTACTTTGGTTGTCCCTGATCAGTACACGTATACCTCAATGCTCAAGGCATCTGCCAGCGCTCTGCAATGGGAATACTTTGAATATGTGTACAAGGAGATGGCTCTATCTGGATATCAAGTAGATCAAACTAAACATGCATCGCTACTTGTGAAAGCATCCAGAAGTGGGAAGGTAAACTATACAGCTAATAGTTTTTTATTTCTTCTTCTTACATCCACCTATTGTATTGTACTTGGAACTCTTTTCTTTCTTTAGGATCAAAAAGAGTATATCTGTTAGATATTTTGGCTGGTGTCCAGTGATAGTGTTCATCCTTCCACTAAATTACCTTGTTTCCAATGAAAGCCAAGAACTTGGTAAGGTATTTAGTAAATATAATAACTGTTGGGGGACAAAAAATAAACGTAGACAAATGTTTATAGGATGAGTCAGCGTAGCTTATTATAGTTCATATTTTGTTTTGATGCAGTTTTATCTACTAGAGCATGCATTTGACACGAGTTTGGAAGCTGGAGAAATTCCCCATCCATTGATCTTTACCGAAATGGTATTTCAAGCTACAGCTCAACATGATTATAAGAGAGCTGTAACCCTGGTCAATGCCATGGCTCATGCTCCATTTCAAGTCAGCGAAAGACAGTGGACAGACCTTTTCGAGAAAAATGGAGACACAATCACTCAGGATGGCTTAGAGAAACTGTTGGATGCTTTACACAATTGTGATGTAGTATCAGAAGCCACCGTCTTAAATTTATCAAGATCATTGCTTCGTCTTTGTCACTCTTACAGATCAAAAGGCTTATCAAGTTCCGCCCCTTTTGGCAGTGGAGCCACGGAAACATCATCCTTGGATGGTGATAATGAGGAAATTTATGGTAATGGAATTATGCCAAATCATTCTTTAGAATCAATTGATGGTAGCCATAACCCTAGGAGGGAGCCTCTTGATAAGAGTACCAATGTTCCTTTGGATGCATTTTCTGTTAATCATGCTAGCACCAGAAGAGATGTTGATGCTGTTACAAGGACAGTGTCTAGGTCATCAGATTATATTTCTGATGAAGATGGTGAATACTCAACAGAAATCGATGAGGAAATTGAAGCACTGATTTATAAAGATGTTGATGATTCTCATGACTCAGATTTGCCCTCAGCACCTGAAATACTGAAAGTGTGGAAGGAAAGAAGGAAAGAAGCAAGGGATAGTCTTCCTCTTTCAACTTGAACAGAAGTAAATTGAGGTTTTTTTTAAGCCAGATCCCTTTAGAAGGGTAAGCAACTCATATTTCTATTTAGCCCCTTTTTGTCATTGTGTATATAGGAAAAGTATTTACTAAGGTTCTACTGTGTCTCGTTTGCTGCCGATGCCTCTTGATGTAAATACCGAAATATGCCCCAAAGAAAGTCAACAACTTAAACTTCATGTTATTTTTTCCTTCGGAAAATATTTCTTGTGTATTTGATGTTATGCAAAATGAGAGAGAGAGAGAGAGAGAGAGAGAGAGAAAGAGAGAGAGATGGCCATGAAAATTGAAGTACATTTGCCCTAGCACTTTTTCTCTTCAATCAAATAACAGCGACAATAGCAAAGCGTACTTTTACACCTTGGCATGCAAAATCTCTCTTTCCTTCAGTTTTTACTCATTTACCTCATTGTTTAATTCTGAATATCAGAACACCTAATAAGCTCCGTACAAAATGATATCTGGAAATGTAAAAAAAAGGAAATTCACAGATGGAGCTCTCATGTCCCAGATTTACAAACACAACCTATTTACACTAACTGACACATGAAGCCATTGCTGCACCAGCATATCGTTATCCCATGCACAGTTCTTGCTCAAAAAGGAGTTACCCATGTGCGAGTTTCATGTCAAGGTCTGCAAAAATTTGCAAAGATGTCAATAGGAATTACAAGTATAAAAAGGCATGGATAGGAGCATTAGATGAAGCTTTACCAAAATAAATCTCCATATAGGTTGACATGAATCCCTTATATGATAATATAAGCGAGAAGTTGTGAATCTTGAAGTATTTTAGCATGAAAAATATAATTTTTGAACTTAAATCACAATAAATAGTAGAAGAAAAATTCATCTGCACAATAAGCATTAGCGGGGACATTACACAGAGCAACTACCACCTTTAAGTAGGGGCTGCATGTGTCCAAATATTGGCCAAGCTCTCTCAAAATTCAAGTTCACAGGATGCAAGGATAGCATCTTAAAAGAAAACTCATGGAGTATATTGACATTCTATGTTAAAGGTCAACATATGATGTGAAATCGCATAAGAGAACTTTACCAAGTCTTCTACATTTCAATGCTTTCATTGCTGCTTTGGCAAAAACTTGTGCTGCTTCTGCTTCAGCTTCTGCTGCCTCTGCCTCCCTTGCTGCTTCTTCAGCTGCTGCAATGGCAGCTTCTGCTTCTGCAACTGCCTGGGCAGCAGCAGCAGCAGCCTCTTGTGCAGTCATGCTTCTCATCTTGCTTAGATCTGCATCCACTTGAGATTTAGTAAGAATGTTGACATTGCTCTTATCCGCTCTTGAAGAATCCTTCTGCTTTCCCTCCAAGAGCAACATTGAAGAGCTTCTTCTTTTTTCAGAAGAAGCTGAACTTGGTGCAATTCTGTATCTATGCTTTACCTTCAACACACAGACCAAAAAATAAGATCCATTCCTAATATATAGAGATATTTAGTAATATACCCATTCTTAGCACTAAAACTATAAATAAACCCTACATCATTTCATTTTTATAAACATACCCAAAAAAAACCCAAAAAATGACAAATGGTACTATTAAATTTATTTTAATTATTAAATTACTTTGATACCCTATTGAGTGTTTGGGTTTTTTTATGAAATTTTGGGTTGGGTTTGTTTTAAGAAATCAATGGCAATTTTGTAATTTAAAAGAAGTTAAAAGCCTTTTGTTATGTTATAAATGGGCTTTGGGTGTATTTATAAATTCCATTTCATATAGGGTTTTTTTATAATTTGGGCTCCTATATTGGGTATATTAGTGAATCTCCCATATATATATTCCTTATCATAAACTTCTCTCCCATTAAGTACCTTAGTACACATACCAATATTCTCAAATCCTAATTATCTGTAATTGTCAGTCTTATCACCTAAATATCTCTGTCATATTAAATAGAGCTTCAGTATTTAAAAATCTAACAAATATTGAAATGGACCAATTTGCAAGCTTGCAGGCGTTTTTTCATTCAATTAGATAAATGAGATCTCAGTCCAGTCCACACATACTACAGTAAATGTACTCTAAGATATCTAAACTTGAGAAACTAATTACCTTAATCAGTTTTCCATTGGCGACCATATGCTTTAATTTTGATGAGAGTAGCTTTTTAAGGTTTGGAGGCGCCCAATATTGCTCCTACGACATAAAAATGATACGTCAAAATGTCTCCAAAGACAACAAGGCAACATGACAAATACATACACAACACACACTCCCAGTTTTCCATTGATTTGTCCAGTTGGGTGAGATTTTGTCATTGTTTTTGAAAAGACTGACAAAGATCAAGTAAATAAGTTATTGATGTATAGCAATATGTTAAGAGTTTCAAATCCCAGCAAGTTCAGATTGAAAACAAAATAATAAAAAATACAGCAAATATGAGGAAAGCTTTCCAAAACTATGCTCGAAGAATTCAATGTATATATATACCTCTATGTACATAGCAATGGCAGCTCTGTCAGAACCCCCTAGCTCCTTCAAATTTGTAATAGCCTCTAATATAAGGTGATCCAACCTACAACCAACCAGAGGAGTTTCCAATAGAACTAGTCAATAACCATGTTAAGAAAAAGATGATAGCATGACATCACTATAATATTTTTGTCCATTTTAAATTAAGGACGAGATACGGACTCTTATTGGAATCTATTTTTGTAAATGTAGGAGGAATTAACTCAATCATAAGATTGCCACACAAAATAGTACGCAGAACATCCTCATGTATCAACCACGTTGATAGTCTTCACTTAGTGCTAACCGGTTATTTAATCGATATCCAATTACTTCAAGAGTTTTCAGATCCAATTATTGTCGTAGAATGAAAGAAGTAAAGTCAACAATATCCATAAAGCAGTGGTGATCTAACCTGGCAATTGGTTGTTTTGATTCAGTAGTCTGCAATTTTCCACCAGAAATGGCAAGAGGCTTAGCATCAACAATTTCTTCATGACTTTGAATCACAGTGCTCACGGCCAAAGGGTTATTATCATGTTTGGGATTTGGTAGGTTCCTTTTAAGTGCAAGCTTAGCCTTCTGTCTAGACCCCCATATTGCGGTCACGTTTATATTTCTCCACTTGTCCTATCCAAGGAAACAACTATAAACATGAATAAACAAAAACACAAAATCTAATATTGGAAACCAAATCAAGCATGAAGCTGTAAAGTACAGTTTTAGGGTGCAACAAACAGAAGCACTTAACCACATCAAATAATAAACCCTCCAATCCTATTTTCTTCTATAGTAGCTTGACAACATCCGCTAAGCTAAAGTTTTGAAAATGGATACCTTGAGATCAACATTTGAACGCAGATGCAAGATAGAATTGAACTCTGGATCTGTGAGTATTGTGCGCCATTTGCCTGCCCCGTGTTTAAGTACTCCAGCTTTAAGGGCTGCTTCTTCTTCCGCAGTCCACTTCTGCTTAGGAGCACCCATCAACCAAAGTCCAAAAATTTTCCAGAAGGATATCTGCCCAGTTAAGTTCTGCACCCTGTCAGCACTTCATAGATGAGCAAATGCTTAAGGGACCAACAAAATAGCACTTTACCGTAATTTCGCCTCCCCCCTCTCCCCCCTCTCTCAAAAGAAAACAAAAAACAAAAAAGCAAATTTAAAAGCCCTGCTTTAGGTTACCTTGAATTGAATTCCTCACTAACTTACATTCCATTACTTGAAAAAACACCATATGTTCAAGTTCAAATTTTGACTCAGAGAGTGCCTATATATGCTCACACAAGCTATCAATGTACTCACACAAAAAAGCAACACATTTTCCAATTGAGTATCCAACAAAATTTCAATTACAAGCTTAAAAATTGATCATATTAAGCTATCCTCAATTGTATCTTCTTATTTTTGTGAAAATCAAATGAAATTCTGAATTTGTAAATGAAGTTTAATTTCAAGTCCCTCACCTAAGCAAATTCACATCAAATCCATGAAATGAATTGGCAATGCATATCGGCAAATCCTGCACCCAAAAATAACAGATACGAAAGCTCATCATTCCTTTAATAAATTGAGTGTGAAATTTTAAATTTTGAAATTATGGCAAGTCGCAGATAAACAAAAACTAAAAATAAAAAAGAGAGATGGGTAGCAGAGGTGTACCGGATCGGAGAAAATTACTGAGAAGCTGACCGGAAATGTGGGCAACCGAGAATGATTGAATTATTCGAAAGTTCGAAAATTGGGAATTTTGCGGAGTTTATATATTGTTTTGTTTGTTCTTCAAGTGTAGATATTGTCTGAAAATGAATATTAGAAGAAGAAACTGTTCAGTTCCATTGGATTTGTGTGCCTCGGCCTTTCCTTTTGAGAGATGGACAGACGGACCTGCGGGGATGGGACCCACCAAATGGTAAATGCTAAGGACTACCAATGGATCTTCAGTTTCTGGAAATTAAGTTTAGACCCCCGGGTTTCCACAGTGTGTAGGTTTACACCCCTATAATATTTTTTGTTGGTGTTATTTCTTTTATCAAATCACATTTTTACACCATCCTAGTTTGCAACATGCGTTGATTTGGTTTGGTATATGATCTTTAAAGACATTGCAATGTCATACGCAATGTTACATTTCTGTTATTTGATGACGTGACAAACATAAGTCCCACATTTTAGCTGGTGTAAATTTTGTGTTATGTATAAAAGGAAAAAAAAAAGAAAAAAAAAGTTAAATTGTTTTTAAAAAATAGGAACCCAATAAATTTGGTCAAAATAAGTTGCAAAGGTGATGTTATTGGGCCACATAAAGTTGTAAGAATGAGAGAATATTTTATAAAAAACACTCATGTTCATATGCGTTTTTTTAAGAAGCGCTTCCATTAGAAGAATGTTGAAATTTTTATTAAATTCAATAAAAACTTTTGTAATGCATAAGCACTTATAAGTTTTCTATACCATAAAGAAAGGCTTTTAGTTGTGAAAAAACAGTCACAAACATGCCACAAGCATTTTCAAAATAATGTTGGGGTACCCATATATACAACCATTCAATAAAGCTATGGGTCGTTTCTGTATACTGAAAACTAAAGGAGGGAAGCAGCAATTTTTATCAAAATAGTTGAAAGACAACACAATACTGTCAATAAAACATTCTATTTTCATTTTTGTGTTCGTTGTTCAGCTTCCATTTTACATTTCACAGGGCGCGCGAGTTTGGTTCTTCCGTTAGATTCGTTTCACTGGCGATGGCGAGCTCTCTGCAACGCTTATCGAGCCATGCTCGTCTTCTCCGAACCTCGGTTGCCTCAGGGTCCAGACCATTCTCGGCCGACGCTTTGGTTGAGTACATGCCAGGCGAGATCGGGAAGGTCTCTGGCATTCCAGACGAGCATCTTCGCAGGAGGGTACGATCCTTTTCGTTTTCATTCTGAAATTCAATTTGGATTCTTTTCATAATTTTCAAGTAATTTCTCAACGGGAGCACGTAACCCAATTGAAGTTTCGGTTTATCAATCGACTTAGGGCACTGGGCATATGTCCAATTCATTAGTTTGTATGAAAATAGCAAATTTTGAGGCTTGGACTTTCTGTTTGTTATTTTTTATTGAAAGCCACAAGCTTTACATGGTTACCAAGTATTTTTCTACTTTAAATTGATCATGGCTGGGAATTTATTCGTTTGTGGGCATACATGACAGGTTGTAATATACTCACCTGCACGAACTGCGAGTCAGCAAGGATCAGGGAAAGTTGGGAAGTGGAAAATCAACTTTGTGTCCACACAAAAGTATGGCTTTTTTCATTGTTATAGTTCCTAATGAAAGAGATTTGTGTTCATGGTTATAGACTTTGGATTTGCTTTTGATTATAATAGTTTTCTGTGTTGTATCTTCTGCTGTGGTTCTTAGTGGGTAGATAGGTTTTATATTATGTAGTTTCTACAAAGTGTAATATTGTGCACCTGGATTTTTCGCTGAACAATATGAATTTTGCGTTGGAAGTGATACTTATGCAAATGATTTCATGTTGAATTGTGCACCGTTAACAGACTTATACTAATCTTGTTAAATTTGATATCAAATGAAGCTTATTTTTTATAAAGAATAAATTACAATAATAACCAGCTAATGATTTTCAGATTATCAGTGAATCTCTGTTTGTTGATAACACTTCTTTCAAAATTTGAACCTTTTTTGAGCATTCCTACTGTAAAACCTGAAAATTGTGTTGCTTTAGCTAGGTGGTGTCTTTCTTGGACTGATATTTCAAGTCTTCTCTCAGTCAAGCCTTGAAATAAACTTATTTTTGTTCTCACTTAATTATTCAATGATTATTTTGTTACCACAATTAGATGATTAATAGCTCCTCTTCATGATATGTTTGTAGGTGGGAGAATCCATTGATGGGCTGGACTTCAACTGGTGACCCGTATGCCCATGTTGGCGATTCAACACTGGGTTTTGACAGCGAAGAAGCTGCAAAGTCCTTTGCAGAGAGACATGGTTGGGATTATGTGGTATGTATTATTTGTTTTCTTTATGCTGCTTAAAATGAATTTCCTTGTCTGTTGACTTAAATATATTTTGTAGTTTTTCCCAGCTTGTGCTTGACTTTCATGCAGTTGTCCTCACTTTGTCCGAGTTCTTTTTAGTGTATAACACAAACAGAAACTGACCATTTTAGGCCTTCATTGCGCTTCTTGAGAACTTGGGCGCATATTCATCCTCCAAAAGGGGGAAGTAGAGCTAGACATATATATGATATATCCATTCAATTACAGATATTACCTTCCAGCTCTAAATGGTTTTGTGCTTGCATATCTTGTTATTGGAGAAGACTAGTAGCACTATAACTGTTAGTTTACTTGCGGAACAGATCATTTTTTTTATGATGGGAGCAAGTTCTTTTATCTCTAAATTTTAAACTTTGACTTCCCTTTGACCTATTAACGACAGTTCTTGAACTCATCTGTAGGTTAAAAAGCGGCAAACGCCATTATTGAGGGTATGTGATTCTTTCTTCATATTTTCTGAAGCTAATAACAGTTTCTTTTTCTTTTCCTTCTTTTTTGTTTTTTGCTTTTTCCTGAAGGACCTGTATAAAAATTTTAGTTTCTGGCTCCATTGATTTTTAGCCACCTTAAGTGATGATTTTACAAAACAAAATGTTTAATTGAAGTTATACAGTTCTCTCTCATTTTCTTTCTGCAAATTCATGCCATGGTTACCTTCTTGGCCAAACAGATCAAACTTGTTTGGCACAAGCTTTGTGTATGGAATAGTAGAGATTTTTTTTTCTGATGGCATTGACAGAAATGTGAGTGGTGTAGTCCATTGCAAGTTTAGTAGTTGGAAATTGGCTACTTCCCTCTTTTACGGAATATGTCAAGGAAAAAATGGAGTAATGAGGAGTTTCCTGTCCTTGAGATGGAAATTTTCTTAATTGGTGACCAGCTTCCTCTGGATCTTTTTTTATCTTCTATTACGGCTTTTTTTTAAATTCCCTTTTGCATTCTTGGAATGTTTTATGCCCAAAATGATTATTTTCTATATAATAATTTGGTTTTTTTTCTCCCTTGAATTTTAGGAAGTATCCAACTGTATTTCTTGTTTCAGGTGAAGGCGTATGCAGACAACTTCAAGTTTAAGGGCCTCCCTAAAACTGAGGAGGCTTGATTGTGTTTCGATGATTTTGTTTCTTGGTTCTGTCTCAAGAGGGAAATTGTGCAACAGAACTTGCAGTTTCCTCTCTCATATTTCGTTGAACAAGTCACTTGATCCAAATGAAACTCTTTGATTATGGTAATAAATGGGATTCATGCTGTGAAGTATCTCTTGCCTATTAGATGACGTTACATATGTATTCTCTGCATCCATCGATTGTTTTTTTTATATACAATTTTCGTATTCCTGCATCGTATTTCATTATATTCCCTTTATGTGTCTTCCATCCCATTGGAGAAATGCATTAGAATGGATAACTTTGCTTACAATGTGGTGGTGCAGTTCAAAATTTTGTTATTTGCCTCCCTTTTGCCTATTTATTTATCATTATACCATGCGCTAGTGTCCCAGTACCACATAAAAAATTTCCCGTTAATACCATATAATAAGTTTTACCATTTTACTGGTGAGAAATAATAAGACTACAGAAACAAAGAAATGTGAAATTTGCTTCGATGCCTCCTGCATAGCTCTAGCCTCTACATACAAACAATATCCACGTAGCCAGGCTTATCTTCAACAAAGAAAATATGGCAACTCTGATTTTTTCCAGATTCGAGTTAGAGCAGCAGCTTTATAAGGAATTAATCCAACTCCCTTTTTTCCGGTTTATTTTTTGGTGCAATGGGGGGAATAAAACCCCAAACAACTCAGAATGGTTTAAACAAACCATACGAGTTCTAGGGACAGCCAGCAAGTCATCAAGAAGTTTTAAATAATCAGCTACCCCATTCTTCTCTCTGTAAATATGGAAGACTGAGCAGTTACCAATGAGGTTCATCATCTCACAACAACCAGAGAGGAGCAGCAAGGGGATGATGAGCAAGCAAAGAAGGCTTATGAATAAAGTGAACAGTAGCAGAATCCATTTCTACCACAAGGTTTCTAATACCTTTGTCAATCGCAAGCTTCAACCCCCAAAAAAACCCCCAAACTTCAGCCTCTAGGATCTGTCCTTTCCCTAGGTTCGCAGCAAACCCACTGACCCAATCCCCATCAGAAGCACGAATAACCCCACAAACCCACTGCCCCTTTTTTACGTTTTTAATATAAACAATTAGGATAAATCATATTTTGCATTATTCCAGACTTCTAGTCAAGATACAAAACTCGCAACTCAAAAACATTTCCATAATTCAGCTGCTAACCCCCTGAAGGGAAGTTGCCAGCATCATTTTTAACCTCAAGTGAACGCCCTATTAAACTATTCCAGACTTCTAGTCAAGATACAAAACTCGCAACTCAAAAACACTTCCATAATTCAGCTGCTAACCCCCTGAGGGGAAGTTGCCAGCATCATTTTTAACCTCAAGTGAACGCCCTATTAACAGTAATTCCGCTAGTATCAGGTAACAACTGCTTCGAATAATACTTGGATTTACGAGACAGATTAATTTTCCTCCGACGCTTCTCTGGTATCGATTCAATTGAACATTCTGAAAAACCACGTCTCACAAACCTGTGTGACAAACAACAGGCGTCATTCTTCAATACTGATCATTGAACCCTTTATTTTTCTTTTTAAAAAAATAAAGAAAATGGACATAAAGCACCACTATAAACCCCAAGAAATATGTACACTAGCCATCTCTAACCCTCCATAATTTGTGTCCACAGATGATAACTTCCTGGCTACAAACCTAAGTAAGTTTTAACCATCCACATAACTACAACAAATGGGACTGATTCCCCAACCAAAAACCTGAACTACATTACAGTTTTTTTTTCCTCCGTATAAAATAATCTGCAACGATCCTCCATTAACTAGTGAACTATCTATGAGCATATATAGCATGTATTTCAAGTAGTAGGAACTAACCAATCTGCAGTGCGGGTTGTAAGCAAGAAAAGCTTCACCAATCCAAGAGAAGATGCCTTCTTCTCAATGTAATCTGCAGATATTAAAATTCTAAGAAATTATGGAGTGCACATGTAAGGAGAATATAGTTGGTAGATATACAAAGAATTCGTATTTAACACGAACTCAGCAGAACCTCTTACTAGGAATGACCGTGGTCAATTGGCATTATGTCAAATTCTTTTTCTTTTTTTCTTTTTTTTTCAATTGGGTTCCAAATTTCAGTTGCAAAACATCTTGGATTAAATGAATCCAAGATGTTCAGTAGCAAAACAGAAAAAGAAAAGATGATATGTAGCTGAGGCCAGAGATGTGTGCCCTGAACCGTTACTGATATTTCATCCTATTTATGTAAATCTATTTCAATATGCAATGCAACTTTTGAGGAATATATTATATCACTACCAAAAAAAAGGTGGAACTTTTCAGAAACGGTAAAATCATTTTATTTTCCCGTAAGAACAGTAGAATCATTTGAGGCGCATCAGTGAGGAAGAGAACAAATGCATATTTTCAGAACTTACTTCAATGGTACTGCAGCTATTGTTAATAAATTAAACCCTTTCAAAAAGTTCACATAGAAAATATGGCCAGTAACGTGAATTAAAATTATAGAAAGAAAAAACAGAAGCAACAAGTGCATAGCTATATCCATGCTTATTCAAGTTTGCACAGTATGTTACCGAGTAACTTGTCTCCCTGCCCTTGACCGCGACAATCAGGAGAAACTGCAATAGCAGCAAGCTCTGCACATCTATCCTCTTGGAAAGGAAAAAGAGCAGCACATGCAATGATCTGGCCTTCTCTTTCCACCACAATGAAGGAATCCAAAGCTTGAAGTAGCTATCGAACAAATAAAAATGAATGCACAAAATTCAATTCAATTTAAGAAAACATTACAAAAAGAATCCTGATCAGTTTTCAATTCAAACCTCTTCATCACTTCTCGGAACCAATGTGCCAGATGCTTCTAAAGGTAGTATAATTTGTCTTATTCCAGAGAGGTCTGATTCCCTCGCCATCCGGGTTCCTTCATAAAGGTCACTAAAAATAACATTTAATGCACAAGTGAGTGGATATATGGAGGAAAACTTATGCATATTTAGAACTGTAACTTTTATCCTTCATAATTGTTGTAAAGTCATTCTTGAAGCAAGACTTTAATTGAAACCAAGAAGCTAGCCCCATATACCTAGTATCCAATCCTAGAATGATTAGCTATGATGATGAGAATTCTTTGGCACAAAAAAATGCTTGAACTAGTGATTTGAAGATACAAAAGATAAATATAAATCCAGGAATGGTTACTACTTAAACTTTATGCCCAAACCAAGCAGGATGAGACCAAAATGGGATCTAATAACTCGTACAGTTCTACCAAATGACTTTATAACTGTAACGTGGTTTGAAGAATGCCACTTGGAATTCCACAAATGCTGACTAGGCACAACATTAGAAATAAGCATCAACCAGGAAAATGTAAATAGAAGATAATCACATCAAGGATAAAAAGCCTAGCAATCAGGGGACTCTCAGCATAGCTTATCATCACCATATAGTTGATCAGCATCTGACATCAGAAAGCCACCAAAGTACACAAAAATTCGGAGACATTTACTGCAAAAAATAGCATACCTAGCCACCATAGTCCCCATTCCGTCTCTTTTAAACAATTCCAACAATAAAACTCCCCCTTTAGTGCCATCTAACAGATGAACTCTTTGAACACCTCCCTGGAAATAAATCAGAAACTACCATTGGCTGAGTTCTTGAGACGCAACATATAAAGCAGCTGAAACTTCAAACTATGCAGGCACAGATTATGTGATGTGGTCTCCTTAGACCTGAGAGTTTCAATCTCAAGTCCAATCTCATGGTTATATGTGTGCACGCACATATTGAAGTGTAAATCAGCAATTGGTCAATTTTTTTGACTTGCATTGGAAAAGCTCAGGTTTATGAACAATATGAAAGAGTTTTTTGTTAAAGGTGATTCAAAATTTGGATTTTGAAATATAATATAATATTATATATATCTGTATCAAAAGTAAGCTCTGAAACCTCTCAACTTTTGATTAGATACCAATTTAGCCAAATAGAGGCAAAAAACCATAAGTAAAACATCCTTACAACTCCAAGAAAGTTTTTGGGGAAAAAATTCCTTCAACAATAATAGTTAGTGAAGTTCATAAACCAGAAACAAAAAGGGGGTATATTCTGGGCTTACCCTGCAAACAAAGGCTGCAGCAGCCAATTCGGAAAGGTAACCATTTAATCGACTTTGCCGCTCATGACCTCCAATAGCAAAACCTTGTTCACCCGACCACAAGCCACTCCCATTGTCAAAGCCAACACCATTGTGAAACATTGTGGTGTACCTTCCTTTGAGAGCATTTCCATTCTGTTGAGTAGCATTCAGATCATCATGTCCAAGCCCAGACAGATTTTCTTCATCAACAGCTTTCACATAACTAGCTGCTATCTCACTTTGCTTAGCACGCCTACGAATCAACATGTCTGCTTCTTCAAGAGTCAAGAAGCGAATAAGGCGTCCACTCTCATCAAGAATTGGGCCATCTATTATGCAGATAAGTTTATCTGCTTCGATAGCCAAGGCACAAGCTGTTGCAACTTCATATGTGCTGATATTCATAAAAACATAAATCATCAGCTACTACACACTACACTGTATATAAGAATAATTGGAGCAGATAATAAGCATTGAGTAAACTTTTTATTTGAGAGACCAAAAAATAAAAAATAAAAAAATATTAGAAGTTATGTCTATATAGCATACTTGCAATTTAAAACTTCTCCAGAGCTGGAATAACCCAGGTTGCTCAAAATCACAATACAATCATCATTGAGCCTCTTACGAATGCGAGAAACGTCAACTTTCTTGACCTCGCCTGTTGCCCCATAATCAACACCTGCAACGACTCCTCTTCTCTGCAAAACAAAACAACAGCAAAACTTTTAAGAATTTGGTAACTAAGAAACTCAAGCAGGCAACTGAGTAATTAATGTTGCCTTTGAAAGAGTAAGATTCTTACCTTGGCTGCAAGAAAGTTACCACTCTCTACACTGACACCAACTTCATGCAATCGACTACTGTCACCATGTCGACGAATATTGCATATGGAGGGTCCTGGAGAAAGCTTTGCTTCTATCATCACAGATATCGCCCCAGCCGCTTCCTTCGCAGCTGTTAGAGAGTCTGAGTCAGTCACCCTGTACGGACCAACAAACTTTGGCTTCTTTCCTGCAACAAGTAACAACTAACATGTACCTGCTTAGTTGCAGCCTTATAGCACTTCAAATGGCTTAACAAAAAAATACCAATAATTACAGTGGCACAGTCAGAACTCAGTCTCCTCCTCCCAAAGCCCAAACCAAAAAATAATACCAATAATTCCAAGGGCATAAAGAATTTTAACAAACTAACAAAATTACATCTTGTGCTACACTCTAGGATATCAAACTTATTGAGAATATACAGTAAGAAGAAACGCATACAATAAAACACTCACCTCTCTCAGCCAAAAGTTCATCAATTTGCACATGGGTCCCTGGCACAAGAACAAACCTGATCCCCAGGTGATGGAGAAAAGCTATATCCTGCACAAAACCCAATATACAAATAAATATACGATAGCAATTGCAAGGGAAAATCATAACAAAAAAGACGTTTGCTTAAACGAAAAGGCGGCTCGCTAGTCTAACAATAGAGATGAAATAAAAAGATGTTATTTTCCCACGATTGACATCGTTTGTTGCATTTTCTCAGCAACCAAACAGTTAAAGAGAAAATTACGAAGGGCAGAGGACCTGCCTTGAGAATTGGGCCCAAGTGAGGGCTAGAAACCATTTCACCCGATATGATCACCACGAAGGTGCCGCCGCGGTGGGCCCACAAGTAGGGCCAAGCCTCCCGAAACCACCGCACGAACTGCTCGTCCTCCATGCAATTGTAGTTCTCACTATCGCTGTCGCTCTCTTCAATCACAGGGCCATACGCATTGCTGCACTTGAGCGAAATTCCCATCCTGCCCTTCGCTCTTCCGTTATTCACCATCGCTAGGCGCGAGGATCTTTCGGCGATGATTAGAGAACAGTGGCGGGGCGAGGGAAGCTTGGTGGTTATGGCGGCGAGTCGTCTGTGAGTTCCTAGAGAACTGTACGTGGCGGCCATTGGTGGTTTGATAGAGAGAGAGACACAGACAGACACAGAAATCGTGACCTAATTCAAAAAGATATGCTGGAATTGCAGGGTGGAGTGGTGTGAAACTGGGAAGACCCCATGGCCGAAGCGGGCCGCACACAGAAGTTTCGTTTGAATACTCGCCCACCGGATCACTATTTTTCGGTCGTTCGGATTTTGTGGCCCCAGATTCCGCACCGATAAAATCCGCGGCATGTAAGAAGAATACTTTAATTTTCTTTAGATTTTACTTTTAATGTAATTTTTTTTATTTATAAAGAAACTATCTCTAATAAATGTCCTTTATTGTAAAATTTAATTTTTTATTTTTAATTTTTTTGTTAGACTGTGAGATCACGAATCTAAAAGATTGGATAAGTTTAATTCCCGTTTGAATATGCGGTTTATATGCCCAACAACAGGTCTTGTAAGAAATTAGGTAAGGTGCCACAGATGATTGAGAATGACATCTTGAGTTTTGGCTATTATAAGTGGCATCGTGCTTATTCTTGTGTGTGTGAGAAATCTCGTTTAATATAATTTAGACTATCACTTGTATTCAATAAAAAAATCATTTAAATTTAAAGAAAATAAAATTAAGAAGCCTAAAATAATGAATAAAATAGGTAGATTGGTTCGAGTCAGTTTTTGGACCTAAATTTTGTCAAAATCAAGTTTTTTTTTCAACTTAAGTCGGCCCTCGGTTAAAATACCCACCCCTATTCACTACCATGGTGCATCATTGAAGACTAATGGAGTGACTGTAGCAGTCCAATAAGTTAGATAAAGGTGTGTTGTGGCAGTGGGACGCACTGGTAGCTCTGCTCACAGACTCACATCTTACTCGGATTTTTTTTTCTTGTTTCCCTGTTACTGATCCATGGGTTGTAAAAACCAAAATGGAGCTTAAGTTGTTAACACTAATACATGCCATTAACATCTTAAATGAGCTGCAGATTAACAACTTTCCATGTCCACTTGAACACAACTGAAATGCGCGGGGCCTATGTTATAAATCCGTAACCTACTCATATTATAACACATAAATTAAAAATATCACATGACAGTATTTTAGTTCCGTGGAATATTATTTCCCAAAATATGTGCTGCTGAGTGAGTGAGAGAGACCGAGAGAGATTGAAAAAGCTGCAATTACCTGGAGTAGTGCATCCAACAAGTAAGGACTAGCAACAATCTCCCCTGCTATGACCACAACAAATGTAGTGCCTCTGTGCAAGAAAATATAAGGCTGAACTTCCCGGAGGGCCTCCACAAACTTCTCGTCTTCATCCGAAAAAACACATCGCTGAAAGTCATGACCTTCCCACCCATCATACCCTTTAGCCACCACCATTAACCTTCTCCTTCTCCGTCTTTCATGCCACAGAGGAGCCAACCCAACAGCCCCAACCCTTCGATTTTTCGCTTTGATCAAACCGTAATTGAAGAATTTGGGTTTACAGGGACATGAAGACCAAGTTTGATTAGGACCATACATATAATTTTGAAGGTAGTTCCATGGCCGTGATCTTAAAGTAGCCATTCTGTAAACTTGCAGGGGGACACAAAGACAGGGCAGAAATGCGGCAAAACGACAGAGTTAAGAGGTGGGTGTAGAGAGATTGGTAAAGCAAGTGGGCAAAGATATTGTCCTTTTTTATATCAAGCAAAAAAAGTAGTGGACTTGCTGTTGAAGAAACAAAGAACTGTAGATTGAGAAATCAAAAGGAACTCATCTCTCTCTCTCTCTCTCTCTCTCTCTCTCTATATATATATATAATTTTCATAAATAGTAATTCTCAGGGAAGTCCTAAGAATCTATTTTCTGAGAACTTGTTAGAGACGCCTCGACTATTTTATGACCAAAGATGAAAGGGAAGGCTTTGCATGACATTTCTGTAATTTCCATCAAGCTGTCAGGTCTACATGTGATTTTCATTTTTCCCTGAAGATTTGTTTCGAAGTTTATGACCAGCAGCACTACATGTGACCTCATTGGTATGCATGACATATTAAATATACACCATGAGAATTCGTCACTACATTTGGCCTTCATTGTAGGAGAAAATACTTAGCTACATCGGAAATATATATCATTGTGTCAGTATTTCAAACTAATCACCCATCATTGTCATAAGTTTTAACTTTCTCATATGACAGTGCGTGAGACTTGAGATATCGCCACAATGACATCTTATTTCAAACTAATCACCTACTATCATAAGTTTTAACTTTCTCACATGACAATACGTAATTGACTTGAAATATCGTCACAATGACATTTTTTGCACGTAAGTTCTCACAATACAAGAAAGCTTCAAACTAGTGTAGGTATTTAGTAACAGTACCTCATAGGACAGGTGATTTAAAAAAGTTGTGCCTTTGGTGGTGAAATGGATGTATCACGCGGAGGGACCACAACTATCACCTCAATTTTGTTCACATACCCAAGTGGTTGTTTGATTGAAGAAAAAGGAGAAACAAGAAAAACCCTGATATATCTAACGCAAAATGTGCCATGTTAATTATTTCCATATGAGTTTAGACATTCAACTATATAAAAAAAGTATGAATTATATTTCACCATAAATATTTACAACCAGAGTCCTATCGTATTCAAAGATCTTTTAAATATGTTATTTCGTTGACACTTTGTGGCATTGTTTTTTCTGAAATGTTGTGGATGAAGACTGTTTTCAACAATTTGAACTGCTTTTCAGTGAAAAATTTGACAAATGTTTACAAGGCATTGGTAAGGAATATGCTCTGTAATCCTCCAAGAGAAAAGTGTACCATAAAGTTTGAACCATCCTCCATAATAATGGAAGAAAGTACAAAGAATGATGCTCAATTAGATTACAAGATTCCAGTGGCATATAAGAATTCAGTTGGAATCTGTTCTATTTTTTGGACCAAGTTAAGAAAAATTATATCTTTGTTAAATCTTTGCTTCCTCAGATATTCATTTGATTATGAGATCTCTTGTTGTACTTGGTCTTTGGGCTTCCCTTGTTGCATCTTAAGCCTTTAGGCAGATGTGAAATCTCTTTTTCGACCAAAGAAAGTTAAGAAAATTGATCATTTTCATCTCTCCAGTAAGGTCGTTTCATCACCAATTAATTAGGATAAGAAATTAATACTTCTTTTATCGATATTTTATCATTGTATGACTGTTTTTAGACATGACATAGAACCAATTATAGCCATAGGAAATGCAAGCATCAAATTTGTCTTACCTACCTGTGTTCTTCAGATGTAGAATTGATCCAGCTTTGACTTTTTGGCACAACTTATAATTAAATTGCAACTTGTTAATTGCAATGGTGCTTCTTGTGTCTATTAGGTTAGGACGGTCTTATTATCAATTGATGTTAGCGAGAGTAAATTTTAAAATTTTGAGGAGGAAATAAGTCTTTTGTTTCGATCGTCATGAATGGGGTAAAAAATAGTTTATGAAACACTATTAACGTGTTTGACTCAACGGTCATATGTGTTTAAACGTTATTTAATAATTTGAAAGAGTTTTTAGTGTTACAGTTACAATATAGTGTTATTAATCCACGTTTATCAATTCACGTAACAGTATGTAATTTTGTTATGACCGACAAATCCACATTTATCATCTCATGAATGCTAATAAAAAAGAAGCTTATTATGAACCGACCGACGGATCCTAATTATAAGCTCTAAGACAAGTTGGTGCGTACCTTGGAAAGTATAGTATGAGTGAGAGAGAGAGAGAGAGAGAGAGAGAGTACCTGCAGTAGGGCATCGAAGTAAATAGGGATATCAACAATCTCCCCAGCTATGGCCACAACAAATGTTCTGCCTCTGTTTAAGAAAACATAAGGCTGAACTTCCCTCAGGGCCTCCACAAATCTATTATCTTCCTCAGAAATAACATATGCCCCCAAGTCATGGCCCTCCCACCCAAACCCTTTGGCCTCCATTAACTTTCTCTTTCTTTTTCCCATTCCCTGCCACAAACAAGCCAACCCAATAACCCCAACCCTTTGATTTTTCACCTTCAAATTGTAATTGAAAATTCTGGGTTTGCAGTGACATGAACACAAAGTTGGGTGGTAATTCCATGGCCTTGATCTTAAAGCAGCCATTTTCTTTTCTTCTTTTTTTGGTTCAAAACAAAACTCAAGTTTTAAAAACAGGAGATATTTTGGTTACAGAGACAGGGCAGAAACGCGGCAAAACGATAGAGTTAACATAAAAAAACATAAAAAGTTTGAGAAAAATTAAGTATTAGACATAATTAACTTTACTAATTAGTATTTGAGACATTGGGCATTTTTATTTGGGTTTTAATACATAGAAAAGAATTGTTATTTTGGATTAGGCCAAAGATGAGGCCCAGATTCATTAGGCCTGTCAAATTTATAAAGGTAAAATACATTTGTACCCTTTTTGTTTAAAACCCTTCCAAAATCAGATCTCACCTGTTCTTTCTCTCTCTTGGACAGACACGGCATAGCAACTGCCTTAGATCATGGCTTCTCGGGCCACCTGCGATGACGACTGGTAACAAGTAGGGTACAGTCTATGCTGTTATGGTTTCTAACTTTCATACGGTTAGACTTGAGCTATTTTCTACAGGTTATATATCTGATTTCTTTCAATTTAACAGACTGGTAAAGTTGCTTGAGGATATCATGGATGACATCAGAATACTAATATTCATGGATACTAAGAAAGGATGTGATCAAATCACTTGACAGCTCCGCATGAATGGTTGGCCTGCTCTCTCAATTCATGGAGACAAAAGTCAAGTAGAAAGGGATTGGGTCCTCTCTAAGTTTAAAGCTAATGACTGCAACAGATGTTGCTGCTCATGGTCTAGGTATGGAAATAATTTCTTTTGAGTTTGTCAAAAGACTTGAAAGGAATTCTTGTTTTGTGTAAACTTAGGAAAATATCAAACCCCCACCCTGGACACCATTTCATTTTGCTCTTTCCTATGTTGTTGGATCAATTTTGCTGGTGTTGTTGGATCATTTTGCCCTTACGATTTTATAGGTTTTTCTTTTTCTTTTTTGTTTGTTTGTTTGAAAAGATGGCCTGGTGTTGTTGGATCAATTTTGCTGTATAATTGCCTTCTTTTTTTTTCTTTTTGATACAAGTGATTATGTTTTTGGTCAATTTTGTGAAAATCAAAATACTTGAGAAAAAAGAAGCTGCTTTGAAGAATCAAATTCAATTTCATCTAGCTGCTTTGGAAATTACAATTGGTGATAGTACATCATATGTAAGTGTGAGGTCGATCCCACGAGGATTGATGATAGATTTTTCAATTCGATTCCCTATACAAAATAGAAAACAAGAAAGAAAATAACAAAAAACAAGAAAGAAAGAAAATAACTAACTTAAGCAAATTAGTTAACAAGTTCAATTCAGATTTACAGATTGATTTTAGCTAAAGTATGATTAAGCACAGAAACTGCAATGCAGTTTGTGGTTCACTGCAATGCAGTTTGTGGTTCACTGCAATGCAGTTCACAGAAACTGCAATGCAGTTTGTGGTTCACTTCACTGCAGTTTGTCTTTCACTAAAATGCAAAAAACAGAATATACCAGAAAATATGCATCTACTTGACATGAAATTGAAAGATCAGCATAGCCAAAACAAGAACTACAAAACACAACAGAAACTACATAACAACATGACGTGAAATAAGCAACATTCAAGAAGCACAGAAACTGCAATGCAGTTTGTGGTTCACTGCAATGCAGTTTGTGGTTCACTAAAATGCAAAAAACAGAATATACCAGAAAATATGCATCAACTTGACACGAATTTGAAAGATCAGCATAGCCAAAACAAGAACTACAAAACATAACAGAAACTACATAACAACATGGCGTGAAATGCACAGAAACTGCAATGCAGTTTGTGGTTCACTGCAATGCAAAAAACAGAATATACCAGAAAATATACATCAACTTGACATGAAATTGAAAGATCAGCATAGTCAAAACAAGAACTACAAAACATAACAGAAACTACATAACAACATGACGTGAAATGGAAAGAAGTATAAATAATTTAGCAGAAACTACAATGCAGTTTCTGTTTTCTTCAGTGCAGAAAACAGTTTTGATGCTCTTTTGTGATTTTTCGGTTTCTAGAGGTTTTCAAACCAAAACTAAACCCAAAACCTAAACTACATTGCAGAATGACAGTAAGTAAAATTTTAGAACCCTAAAATCAAAGGCAAATTTGTGTTAGGGGTCATTTTCTTACGATTTTTTCCCCAAGAGAGTGCTAAACCCTTCAATCGTCGTCGTTGCTGGTCGTCGCTTCTGGTCGTCGCTCGTCGCTCGTCGCCGTTTCAGATTTTGGGGGAATAGGTTGGAACTGCTGAAAGAGAGAATGAAGAATCGGCTTCGATCGTTGGTGGTCTTCGATGATGGTCGCACGAATGGGTTGCTGGTCTTCGATGATCGTTGGTGGTCTTCGATGATCGTTGGTGGTCTGGAGGTTTCTGGAGGTGAAGTTGAAGAGGTTTCTGGAGGTGAAGTTGAAACGTCGCGCGAATGAGTTGTGATACAATTTTGGTTTCGGTTGATGTCGTTTTGGTTCAGTTTTGGTTTGATGTCGTTTTTCAGTTTTTGTTTAAAACTAAATACTGAAAATGGCATATGTTGTAATTTTCATATTTTCTAATGGTATTTTTGTTACATTTTGGTTTTTTTCCTTTTGCTAATTAGACTAAATTGTATTTCTTTCTACTAAATTAGTAAACTATATTATGCTTTAAAACTAAAGCTCCCAAAAGTTTGTCTGTTGAGTTGGCACTCGGGAGTTTGAAGGACACTTGTCCTTTTTATATCAGAGGACGCGGTGGCCTTGCTGCCGCAAGAACCGTTGATATTTCTTTCTATCAAGCTTTAAGTGAAAATTTTACGAGATTTGAACTTCACTGGATTTGGCCCCCATTGTGGGAAAGTTCAACAATGCTGATATTTTGAAGTAACAGTAAATTGGTCACCTGGCCAAATATTGTCACGTGTGGTTCCAGCACTGGGATAAAGTCCTTTCAACATCAATTCAATTGGGACCGAACACCTCTCCACTTTTGCTATCTATATGAAATGTCTACTGGTTTCATCATTGTGATGAGCCGACTCACTGTTTTTTTGGGACAGGACAAGCAACCCAAAATGGTGCTCCAGTTAAATCATGGAAAAAGAAATGTACATATTTTACTGTGGTGGTGAAAAATAATCACATCAAGTTGTTGGCAGTGAATTTGGAAGAGAGAGGAAAATATATATAAAAAAACTATAAATTATAATTTTTTTAAATTTATCGTGAAGAATTTGGGACACTCTCTATCACCACCTTTACATATCCCTTTAGCAACTAAGAGCATTTCCACCGGTTAGTCCTTTGTCATGGCAAGAGGAGCTCTATGGCAGTTACTATTTACGTGAATGGTGGCTATCCTAGCCCCCCCCCCAGCAAAGTGTGTTTCCAGCAGTTTAGGCTTGTCATGGCAAATATTATTCATGTTTTTGTTTTTTTCACAACTTTGTTTACTTAAACAATTAATTTATATAATATTTTCGAATAAGATTTTTTGGTTCCTGCATGTCAATACTATTCATATCAGATAAGATTTTCGGTTTCAAATTTCAGATATATTTCAAATTCAGATAAATTCAAAATGTCAAATTTCATATACATTTCGAAATTCAAATTCCAGATAAATTTCAAATTCCATGACGCTCCATGCCCCTCCGGTTTCACTAGAAGAACCCATAAATTTTTCTAGAAAAATACAACTTCAAAGTGAAAAAAATATTGACTAAAAAGTGAATAATTGTAGAAGGAAAAGAAAATGTATGAAGAGTTGGTGTTAAAAGTGAAGAGTATTGGTTGGTATTTATAGGAAAAAAAAATTCAGTATTTTTTGGGTATTTTTTAAAAAAAATTTCGATTTTTTTCATGTTTTTTTTGGGGAGAATATTTGTTGCCGTTGGATTGCTGGAAGAAATGAATCGGAGCGCCCAGATCATCACCACGTGGAAGAGAGCCGTTGGGTGGGAGTTTCGATTTTTTTTTTCATTTTTTTTTCCCGAAAAATGGCTGCCGTTGGATTTGGAATAAAGTGGATCGAACAGCTGCTGGGAGCGCCACATGGAATAGACCTGTTGGGCGGTCACTGTAGCGGGCGCATCAATTTTTTTTAAATGTTGGCGCGTGCAACGTAAAAAAAAATTTAAACAGCAACGCTGACGTCAGCCCAAAACGAGTTTTTCTCATCGGGCCGAACCTCCCCAAGGGCTAACCCAGGTCTCTGGGGCCCACACCTTGCCCTTGCAGATTTTTGTTGTTGGAAACACCATTTTGTGCTTGCCCCCCTAGCCCTCCCCCAAGACCCCTTGCTGGAAATGCTCTAATAAGGGAAACATTTGGGATGCTAATGGCATCTTCACTCCAATTGAGGACTCTACACTAGGAGAAACACTTGTATGAAATGAGAATAACACTATTTTGATATTTTTTACCAATTGCGTTATGTCAAGCGTGATAACTTTTCCACTTGACTATTTGTAATTTGTTGGGAATAGCAAAACAGTACTATCCCAGTTTCATACAAGTTTTTCTGCTACGCTAGGATTGCTAAATTTGGAGTGTCATAATACTTTATGCCATAATTTTATTATGTACTGATTTTATTATTTTTATACCTTTTTAAAATTTTATGTATATATATATATATATATAACTATTGAGGGAAGCCATTTAGGGTACCCTATAATTGTTTTTCCAATGATCCAAACCATCTATTTTTTATATCTTAAAAATTAGACAAATCGGAAACCGATTCGACATCCAATTATGTCTTACAAAATCAATGAACACGATGCTTCAAGAAAGTACAAAAATTTCAATAACTCAATTGAGTGATCAAATGATATCTGATTCAAGTGATTTTTTGTAGAGATGATCTTTAAATGAGTATTTACAAAATAGACGATTGAGATTAATGAAATACAATTCAAAGTGGGCCCTACAAAGGGTCTTTAAATGAGTATATATATATATATGTTTCTAAAAAAATTCAAATTCCGATGAGATAAAAATTATAACGGGCTCCTCTATTAGAGCCCCATTTTCAGGCCTATTGTGGGTGAGTGATAAGATAAAGTCCCATTGGGTTTCTAAATTGTAAAGTTCCGTTGGCTCTTTCTCATACAAGGGGGAGTCCGGTCTCGCCAATTAGTCATTGATTTAAGGAACTTTCTCCTTACTTTGTTGGATGGTATGGGGCTTAGTCAAGCTCAATCTTTAATAACTTCTGTTTAGGTTATCATCTTTTTTATTTTTTATTGAATTATGAATTGGATAGCCTAAGCCCTCTTTGAGATCTTTGGTTCTGTTCCAGCCTTGGACGTATGTCTCTCTTTTCCTTTTGGGCTCGCTTTGTTTACTAGTAAAGGTGGTGGTGTGTAGGTTTCGACTTTGGATGGCATCATGGCAGGACGAAGATTAGTTTTTTAATACAAATCGCAAAGGGGCTTTTGAATACAATCGGTAGTCTAAACTATAGGGGGAGAGTGTTTATTACACACACTATCAAAATATCATGAGAGTTTGAATTTGAGACCACTAATATATAAGTCAATGCCATTTTCCACTATACTAGACACCGTTGGCTTAGTTGATATTTCTAATAACAGAAACTAGATAAGTAAATTTAGGTTTTAGCCACAAATTTTTTTTCACTTTTGGAAAAAACCAAAATTTTTTCAAAAAAGACAAAAAAAAACCTCTAGACTTTCAAACCAAAGACATGCAAATGCAAAGGATTCCTTAGGAAATCCAAAAATAAATAAGGGCAATTTTGTCCAATTTGGCTTCTTTTAAAAAATTTCTCTCCTTTGGTCTTTTCCAAGGTCTCCCATGTATCCCAATATGACTTCTTCTTTTTCTGGCTTTTTTAAAGCTGTCAATTTTCCCCCTAAAGCCCAAATTTGTCGAACTGTTTTTTTTGTTAGTTCTGCCCACTTTTTTTTACTGAAAATGGACACATTTTTAATGTTTGGGAGCTCATGCCAAATTGGAAGACATGTTCAGGTTAATAAACAGTACTCAAGAAACCCTTCCCCAACACTGTAATTAAGCCCAAATTAGGGAGTATGGTGGAGTGGCCAGAACTAAAATAACCTCTTATCGATTTTAATTAGCAACCTACCAAACCAAAGCATCTCTATACATTAACAAAGCACTATACTAGCGACTATGAGCTGTATCCCAATGACACGAGTGGTAAGGCATCTATAGAATGTTACATCCCAAAAACAAGAATTCTGAACACACAAGAAAGTCACAGAATTCTCAGACTTTGTCCATGAGGATTGTTCTAAAATCCTCAGAGACTTCATGCGCCTACTCTCTGAATCTGAACCATTAACTATAGACAATGTAGTGTGGTTATGGTTGTGGTTGTGGTTAGCAAAAATTCACCCAACACCAAAGTCCGTCAAAACTGCAAAATACAAAAACAAACTGTGTCAAGGATTATATATAAAGTCCTTATGAGGCTTCAACTTAAAACAAAACAAAAAGGGGATGTTGAAGTTTAAGCTCCACCAAATATCCAATTCACAATCAACATGTAAAACAAGCATCAATTTCTTCAGAATTATAAAATGCACTTTCCTAAGATAAGCTAAGAGAGGAGAGAGGAGCCTTACAATCCATCAAGGCAACCGTAACTTTCTTGCTTAGGAAGGAGGGGGCCGTGGGTAACCCTGTGGAGTCGGGTACCCCTGCTGAGCCTGAGGGTAACCCTGTGAAGGGTACAGGGTTCCCCTGCTGAGGGTAACCCTGGTGGACGGTAAGCATCCTTCGGAGGATACCCTGTTTGATGATCAAAAGTTGTTAGTATTATTATGAAAGAACCAAAACAAAAAACTGATCACTGAAAAACCAAAATCAAAATCAAAAGATCCCAAAGGAACAAACAACATGCAGCTTGATACAGACATTGTGGAGGAGGAACACACCAACTGGAGCCTGCTGCTGACTTTAGTAACTCATCTTCTCTGAATCTCTCTCTGTATTTCTCTGTTGAGTCAATTTCACAACCAAAAACACCTGCTTTTATAACACATTTGCACACAAAAAGAGACGCGGTGAGAGACGCAGTTTCTTTTTTGCGGTTTCCACACAAGTTCTTCTCACATTACAAGAAAGCTTCAAACTAGTGTAGATATTTAGTAACAGTACTTCATAGGACAGGTGATGATGTGTCACGGGGAGGGACCACAACTATCACCTCAATTTTGTTCACATATCCAAGTGGTTGTTTGATTGAAGAAAAAGGAGAAACAAGAAAAACCCTGATATGTCTAACGCAAAATTCATGGGACCATTAAAGTTTCTGATGCTTGCTTAAGATAGAGAGAGAAAATTGGCTATTATATTTATGGCAAAGTTTGAGTCTGGTCATTTTCCTTTTATTTTATCTGTTAGGTTTTGTATTACAAATAAACAAATTAGAATGAAGTGATTACCACTTAGCAAAATGTGCCATGTTACTCATGGCAAATCTCAACATATGATGTTAATTATTTCCATATGAGTTTAGACATTTCAACTAAAAAGTAGGAATTATACTTCACCATAAATATATATAGATAGAGTCCTAGCCTATTGAAAAATCTTTTTAATAAGGTTATTAAGTTGACACTCTGTGGAACATTGTGGATGAAGACTGTTTTCAATTATCCGAACTGCTTAGTGAAGCTTTAAAAAATTGACGATCGGGTCATTGAAATATATCCTAATGTAAGCTGTGGATGGAATTTGACAAATGTTTACAAGGCATTGCTAAGGAATATGCTCTGTAATCCTCCAAGAGAAAAGTGTACCATAAAGTTTGAACCATCCTCCATAATAATAGAAGAAAGATAAAGAAGGTATGATGCTCAATGATCATTGTATCTTTGATAAAGAAGTTTGACCAAGTTCAGAAAAATTATATCTTTGTTAAATGTTTGCTTCCTCACATGATCATTTGATTATGAGTACCTGCAGTCGGGCATCGAAGTAAATAGGGATATCAACAATCTCCCCGTCTATGGCCACAACAAATGTTCTGCCTCTGTTTAAGAAAACGTAAGGCTGAACTTCCCTCAGGGCCTCCACAAATCTATTATCTTCCTCAGAAATAACATATGCCCCCAAGTCATGGCCCTCCCACCCAAACCCTTTGGCCTCCATTAACCTTCTCTTTCTTTTTCCCATTCCCTGCCACAAACAAGCCAACCCAATAACCCCAACCCTTTGATTTTTCACCTTCAAATTGTAATTGAAAATTCTGGGTTTGCAGTGACATGAACACAAAGTTTGGTGGTAATTCCATGGCCTTGATCTTAAAGCAGCCATTTTCTTTTCTTCTTCTTTTTTGGTTCAAAACAAAACCCAAGTTTTTAAAACATGAGATATTTTGGTTACAACTTACAGAGTGTTAGTGCAGCAATCAAGCCCGGTCAACTCTCCTCCAATTCCTCTGCAAGATCTTCTCCTTCATTGCCTTGATTAGATAATAGCTGTCACTGATTCTAATTACTGATTAATTGTAATTGATTGTATTTCATATTTCTTACTTTTTTAATCAAAGCTAATGAAATATTCATCGAGAAATTCTCCTTTACACAGAGACAGGGCAGAGACGCGGCAAAACGATAGAGTTAACATAAAAAATAATAAAATTTGTCTGTCGAGTTGGGATGGGATGGGACTCGGGAGTTTGAAGGACACTTGTCCTTTTTATATCAGAGGACGCGGTGGCCTTGCTGTTGCAAGAACCGTAAGTTTCTTTTCAATTCTTCAATGGCTGGAAATTTTATTTTCTCATGTCTCTGTCGGAAATCTCATGCGTATTTCAGTCACCGCTCGTCATCCTCATCTTTCATGCAAATCACAATTTGATATGTAGCTTCTTCCAAAAGGAGATATATAAACCCGAAGGAATTATATATGTCTGTAAAATTACAAACATGTTTGATATTTCTTTCTATAAGCTTTAAGTGATAAATTTACATGAGAATTGAACTTCACTGCATTTGGCCCCCATTGTGCGAAAGTTCAACAATGCTGATATTTTGAAATAACAGTAAATTGGTCACCAGGCCAGGAGATAATAATAAAGTTGTACTATATATTGTCACATGTGGTTCCAGGCTTCCAGCACTGGGACCATTTATATCACCTCAATTTTGTTCATATACATCTATCATAGAGTTCCTCATGCTTTGCTTAAGTTGGGATGAAGTTTGAACCATCCGACAAAATAGGAGAAAGATGAGGAAGGAACATGGAATTATGAGACCAGATTGCTGTGGCATATAATAAGTATCTGTTTAATTCCTAAGATTATTAGTTGGAATATGTTCTATTTGTTTGGACCAAGTTAAGTAAATATCTTCATTCATTTTGATCTCTCTAGAGTTGAGTAAAAGTCCTTTCATCATCAATTCAATTGGGACCGAACGCCTCTCCACTTTGCTATCCATATGTTGTCCACTGGTTTCATCATTGTGCTGAGCCTACTCACTGTTTTTTTCAGACAAGACAAGCAACCCAAGAAATTCTCCACAAATTCTCCAAACTCCATCACTTAATTAAATCATTCCAAATCTATCTCCTTTTGAATACAAGTAGATTTATTTGGACTTTTTCCAAGTCCTAATTGAATACACCCACATTTATATGGACATTTTAAAAGTTCAAACAAGTCTAGATTGAATACACCCAAACAGTTATAGATTTTTTAAAAGTTTGTATAAATCCAAATTGATTACATCCAGATTTTTAAAATCTTTTTAAAGTCTCTAGAATCCTAATTGAATACACCCCCCAAGAAGAAAGAGCCCACCTTAGCAACCTACCAAACCAAAGCATCTCTATACATTAGCAAAGCACTATACTTGCCGACTATGATCTGTATCCCAATGATACGAGTGGTAAGGCATCTATAGAATGCTACATCCATTATACAACACATCATGACATCCAACCCAAAAGATAATCCAAAAACAAGAATTCTGAACAAACAAGAAAGTCATAGAATTCTCAGATTTTGTCCATGGGGATTGTTCTAAAATCCTCAGAGACTTCATGCACATACCCTCTGAATCTGAACCATTAACTATAGACAACGTAGTAAATTCATTTTGCTGATGAACAATTGTGTGACAATGTCGAAAACAAACTGTCGTTCAATTCAGAAAGAAAATATCCTTACATAAATCCATCATATAATTCCCGGAGTCTGCATTACATATTGTCAAACTAAACAGCACTGTTAAACATATTGCCAGACACTACAGCTTATCCTAAACTTGAATGAGACTTTACCCCAACGTAAAGCAATCGTGAACGAATCATTAAAGATTAAATCGCCAAGATTTCCATCAGAAGCACGCGTCCAAAAGGCAACAACAGCAAAGTGCTGCTAAACTGCAAGACATTTAGATCAAAACAAACTTTATCAAGGATCATATATAAAGTCCTTATGAGGCTTCAACTTAAAACAAAACAAAAACGGGATGTTGAAGTTTCAACATAAAGTCCTTATGTCAAGGATCATATATACTGTCATGCAACAACACTCACTAAAAAAATTACAAAGAAATTAAACAAACAAACAAAAGAGGAAATTTTTTACCATAAAAACAAATATCAATTTCTTCAGGCATAAAAATTACACCTTATTTTAGACTATTAGGCAACAATCACTAATAAAAAATTTAAAAAAAATCAAACACACAAACAAAAGGGTAAATCTTTAACCACCAAAATCGTGCCATCTCATAATTACGAGTCTACATCAATTTATTAAGATAAGCTATAAGAGAGGAGCGAGGAGAGAGGGGCCTTACCATCCTTGAAGCAAACCAGCACTTTCTTGCTTAGGAGGGGGCTGCTGAGCATACTGGGGAGCATAGCCTTGCTGTGGGTACCCTTGTTGTGGGTAACCCTGTGGAGGAGGGTACTCCTGCTGAGGGTAACCCTGTGAAGGGTACCCTGGTGGAGGGTAAGCATCCTTTGGAGGATACCCTGTTTGATGATCAATAGTTGTTAGTATTATTATGAAAAAACCAAAACAAAAAACTGATCACTGAAAACAAAATTGAAGAAACCAAAATCAAAATCAAAAGATCCCAAAGGAACAAACAACATGCAGCTTGATACAGACCTTGTGGAGGAGGAACACCAACTGGAGCCTGCTGCTGATTGTAGTAACTCATCTTCTCTGAATCTCTCTCTGTATTTCTCTGTTGAGACTAAAAAGACCTGTTTTTTAAGACTTTGAGAACAAATTGGCAACTGAGTTTTGATTGAATGTTGAAAAAGTTGAGAGATTTGAGAGATTTTATAAGACTTTTGAGAGTCGGCTAAAGCTCGAGGACTAAACCTGAAACCAAGTTTCCTCTGAAAACCTATAAGCTCAAGAAACTGATTCTTAAGAGGCGGTGAGAGACGCGCTTTCCACGCTGCTTTAACAGCGCACAAAAGGAGAAATAATGCGAATTTACGTAGTGGACGGATTCGAAAGAATATTTTCTTTTCTTTTTCCAAATATTTACCGTCGTTCTACTAATTTCTATTGACTAGTGTTAATACTCTAGAGTCTACAATAAATAAATAAATAAACCTACAACAACAACTCGACTGAGTCCTTTTACACTGGTTGTATCAGAAAAATTAGGGGTTTCTTGTTATAAGATAAAAGATTCTTGTTTGGTGTTAATCTATACGAAAATGGGAATTTTTTTTAATGAAGAAAATAATGGAAGATAAGAACTAGCGATGCATTTGGATGAATGAATTGAAAATTGTATAGAATTCTTAAATTACGGAATTTGGATATTTATAGTTTAAATTTCTTACAATTAATAATTTAAAGTATTTGGATTTATTATGTATGTCAATATAAATTGCAAAATGATGTCTTTTTAGCATAAATTAAACTCAGAACTCTGGGTCCCCATATTCCACAGTTTTTTTTTTGCGAGTCATTTAATAAGTTTTATAAATAATTCGGTATAAATCCAATTCTTATGATAGAATTTGGGTGCAATCCACACACGTATTGTTAGTAATCCAAGTCTTCCAACTTCAATGCCATATAGAATTTCATTCATTTTCTAATTTTATGATGTATCATATAAATTTATTTTCATGTTCCAATTATGCCCTTATGATTTAAATCGGGAAAGACTAATTTATATCATAATAATTAGCTAATTAATACAACTATTGATTCTGATTGCAATTCTCAAACGGGTAATAAATTAATTTTAGGCCAATAATTACTATATTTGAACTTTTAGTTAATTATAATTTGAATTTATAAAATATTTTCTTTTCTATCCATTTTAATTTTGAAAATCTCATAAACATGCGCTGATACAAAAAATAAATAAATAAATAGATTTCCTATAATCTTTCTTCTTCATCTTGTTCATCTTCTTCTTTCTTCTTCCTTCTTTTTCTTCTTACAATCCTATGGAGGAGGTATAATTATCTATGAACCAGGTATATACATGAATGTTAATTAGGTATGGATAGGTAAATTACCTATGGAGGAGGTATACATATGAATGCTATTTATCTATGGAGGAGGTGTACATTTGAATGTTAATTATCTATGGAGGAGATGTATGATATGAAATTACCTATGAAGGAGGTATACACAAACTTGCAAAGCAGGTAAATCAAACCACCCAAAGACATACATACCTCACCATAAGGTATTCACTGGTTGAAAGCATTTGATAAATTGAGATTAATAGTAGAAATATGATATTAATTTATTGATTGGAATAATTAATAAAATTTAGAGAATTGACTGGACAATGGCAACATGTGTAAATGTTTTAAAAACAGTGGCCAAGGCTTTGCATAGTAGGCAGGCCTGTTGAGTCGATGGATCAAATTCTACGTCAAAAGAGAGATAAAATGCATTCATAGTGCAAACTAAAATTTGGACCTATATCAAAAGACCCCCGAGTTTTATGTTAAGTTGCCAAACAATGGAAATATCAATTTCTCGTTTTCAATTTCTGACTTTTAGCTAAATTCCAAATTATTTTCCTCCACATAAACAGAGAGTAGGAGAATATTAATGAAAACAAATAGAATAGCTTCGGTCATAAAGGAGAAAAACTTCTATTTTGTGGGAATAGACCTATTTTGTTATTTCCAATGTTTCATCATGTATGTGATAATTTTTCCCCATAGTGGGAATGTAATTGGTCAGAATAGCAAAACAATGATATTCTCATTATATACAAATTCTTTGCATGATATTCTCATTACATAGAAATTCTTTGCATCTCACACTCAAGTAACTCATTTTCAAAAGTCAATTGTGGTCTTTATCATGTACTCGGATTCTCTGCTCTGATTTTCTTTACCATAATCTGCTTGACTTTTGTCTTCCACATGCCACATTATTAATGTTTAATTTAAGGGGCTTAAAAGTTGACACATCATTCTTCAAACAAAAAATTACTCCTAATTAAAAAAAGAAAAACAATACCCCAACCCAACTAACATCAAACTTAAGATCGTCTCCCTTTTTTTTTCCTTTTTCTTTTTCCTACCGTCTTACCTTAGCACATCTTCTTCTTGCCGTTTCTCCAAAAATTATGTATTCACAATCCCTTCTCTTTCCTCTATCAAAATAAAAATATATAAAAATATTTCCATATCCATTGATTCGGGAAAATAACCATAACTCATCAGTCAATAGACCTTACAAAACAATCCCAATATCCAGGTCTTGAAACGTAATTCCTCTTTTATCCAGGAAAACAGCAAAAGAATTTTTTTTTCTTCAACCACCCTCGTCACATCAAAGGATATGGGGAAATAAGTTTGCTTTTTGTTCTTTGGATAGGTGGGAACATGACCTGCAACGGGATTTCCATGGATATTTATGTAAGATCTCATCTTGCCACGCCTTTAAGCAAGACGAGGAAGAATAAAGAAAATGAGGACCTCTACACACAGAAATAAAGAAAAAAAAACTATTTTACATAAAATGGTTGAGAGATTTTTTCTTTATGGGTCCACCTTGTCCATACAGGTCATTCCATTGGAGGAGCTCCTTCATATTTGTTGACTCTGAGGACACACTTGAGCATATGTGATTGCATCGATTCCAATATTAACAGGGGTTAATTGTGGATTTACCCCTGAACTTGTATTTTAATTTTAATTTGCACTCTCAATTTTTTTTTGGAAAATTAGGTACACTAACTAATTTTTATTGCCAATTTCTCCCTCCTTTCTAAATCAACACATTTTATTCAATTTGCCGTTAAATATGAGGGCAAATTAGTTTTTTTATTTGTTTTAAAAAATAAAATAAAATCATTTTTAATAAACCGGAGCCCATCCACTTCATCTCTTGGAGCTCGAATGTGGGAGAGAGAAGGGGGTTGGAGGGGGGGAGAGAGAGTAAGAGAAGGGAAAAAAGGGAGGCAACGGCGGCGGAAGGTGAGGAAGGTCTGTTGGTGGGGGGGATGGGTTTGGGGTGGAGAGTGGAGAGTGGAGAGTGGCTTGCGGTGGTGGTCATGGGGGAGAAGAAAATGGGTGGTTGCGGGCTGGGGTTCTGGGGTGGGGGGCAGAGAGAGGAGCAAAAGAAATACCGAGGTCAAGGAAAACAGCTAAGATTTGGGATCAGAACTAGTTTTTTGGATCATTATTTTGACTATGCAATTGATGTTTTTGTTTTTGGTCTGACAAATTACAATTGATTACGCGGGGGATGGGGGTGAAAAAACAGAAAGGGGGAAGGGAGAAGAAATCTGGTGATATGCATTTGATCTGTCTGCTGCTTAGCTTGTTCTTGGTTTCCAAGCTTACAGAAGATGAAAATTATTTGGTCAACTTAAAAATCTTTTGTTATTTGTTTTGTTCCTTACATTTATCAGGCCATCCACCACATTTCAAGATTTAAACAGTTTGGTTGATAGATGCGGTGGTATATTACTACAGTTAGGTTTCACGAGTTGGGTTTTTGATTGCTTAAAATGGGTTTAATCAGAAATTGATTTCCTTAAAATGCTTGAGTTGGGTGATTACAACATTGGAAATGGTGCTTTAGAAACTGATGGAGATATTGAGGAAGAAGCAATCTGTGGTTCTGGGTTCATTTGGGGGTTTTCTGGGGTGGTTCTGTGATGGGGGAGGGGGATGGGTCTGTGGGTTATGGGTTCGTTTGGGGGTTGGAGTTTGCAGGTGGTGGTCATGGGGGATTGGGGGAAGGAGTGAAGAGTGATGGTCACGAGGAATGGGAGGAGAAGAAAACCGCAGGGTGGGTCCCTAGGAATTTTTGTTCCTTTTTTTTTTGTTCTCTTTTTCTTTAATTTTTTCAATTTTTTTTAAATGATTTGATGGATTATTGAATGAGATAGTGTTGATTTAGACGATAGGGGGAATTGACAATAAAAATTAGTTCATGTACCTAATTTTCTAGAATAAAAAAAAAAGATTTGAGAGTGCAAATTGAAAATAGCGTACAAGTTTAAGGAGTAAACAAACGTTGTAACAACCAGAATGAATTGTGATTATAGACAGGAAGAAAACGTGTGACAGGAAGAAGGAAGGAAAAACCAGAATGGATTGTGATTTTAGATAGGAAGAAAACGTGTGACAAGAAGAAGGAAGAAAAAAGAAGAAGAAAGGGATAGGACATTAAGTTTGACGTCATGATATTGTTTTTTCTTTTTTAATTAGGAGTAAATTGGGTTTTTGAAGAACAAAAGTAACGCAAAGAAAAGCATAACAGAGGATCCAGATCCCTCTATCATAACTGTGGTAACCAAATTAAGCCAAAACCCTAGGTCAAATAATTCATTCCATTTGGGGATTATTTGACCTAATTGGGAATTAATAAACCTAATTGGGAGTTACTCAATTTAATTGGGGGTTACCCAATTAAATTGAAGACTACCTAATTGGGTTGAGAATTGATTCCTAATTCCTACCCCGATTCTCAATTAAATGAGGAGTTACCTAATTGAAATAGGATTTGATTTGATACCTACCACAATTAGGGATTTGATTTACCCTAATAAATCAAATCCCTAATTAATCAAATCAATTCCATAAAGGGGAGGAATAATTCCATTCCATCTACGGAATTATTCCTCTGAAACCCTAGCCTCCAAGACCATTATAAAAGCATAGCCACACACAATGGTGAAGGTACGTCTAAATTCCTACTGAAACTCTGCAGAAATCATTTTCTCACAAACCCTAGCCACCACTTTCTTTCTCTCCCTTACACAAGGCTCCGGCCACCACACACGGCTCCGGCCACCCGGTTTTCCTTGAAATACCTTACCTAACTTAGGCATCGGAGGGCCTTTGGCCAACACCCCCCGGGTGTGGTCCTTTTACTCCGATCTGTTTTGCAGAGAGAAAGAGAAGCGGAGAAGACGAAGGAATCTTTGACGAATATTCTCGTGGGGGAAATCATTCCCTCCAATAACCAAAACGAAAATATAGGAAAATAGATTATTATTATTTTGATGCGGAGGAAAATAGATTGTTTATAGATGCATATATGTTCTTTTACTATTTTAATATTAAAATTTGTTTATACAGTTATAAGATTTTTAGGAAATAGTTTCATTTTTAATTGTAATTTTCATAGAAAATGATAGACATATTCATTAAGTCCAAACCGTGACCCTCGATAAGGGAGTTGATATTCACAGAAGATATTTTCGTAATTCTCTTCATTAAGAAAACATTTTTATCTAAAAACAAAAAAGATTGACAAAAACACTTCGTATCAACGTTGGCGCTTGACAAGTAACTCAGTTCCCATTAAGAATTGCAAATGATAAACAGACAGCATTTAATCCCAAAGAAAAAGAAATAGATATAATTTAATTTTTTGAATGTTAATCACAAAATAAATTGTACAAGTAATACTACAAATTGTTAAATTTTAGATTTCCGGGTTACATCATTGCTAGAGAGAGCCAAAAAATCAGCCTACTGTTAACTTAAACAACGATTTGTTCCATACAGCCTACAGGATGCTCAAAAATAATGAACTGCACAAAACTATGGAATTTACATCACAGTTGTTCCTGCTTCTTCCTTCCAGACTATGTCCAAACACACATCTCGGTTTCTTTCCAACTTAACTTTGCCCATGCCGACATTGCGAAGGACATGTTGTCAGCTGCTTGCCTAGCACCACTAAAGAAGCCACCAATGGCGCGGTTGATCAGCAACTTTTCTCGTGCTCCGGGGGGCTACACTGATTCTTTCTACATTTGAGGAGCACCATCTGTGAAAATCAGGAGAAGAAGCAAGTTCTTGCAAGGCTTGCTTTGTCGTCTCTGCGGTGAACATTTCCCACTCTTCTTTTGAGAATTTTCTCCTTTCAGGTGTGGTGTGGAAGGTAGAAGCAAATAACCCTGAATCTGACAGTGGAGAAGGCGGAGAAGGTGGAGAATCAGGAATCTCCAATCTTCTGCTGTTCTTTCTGGGTGATTTCGACAATTTCCTGCAGGAACATTCCGTACATATCATGAATGGCCAAATAAAATCACAAAAAATCAAAAGAAAGTTAAGAAACATGCATGAATTATGAAACTGTAGATCATGTGATACAAGTTTGGAGAATTCAAAAGATCATTACAAGCATGTATAACATCCACAAGTTATATATTATCCTTTTGATTACTAGAAAAATGAGAAATGAGTATCCATTTTTGTTATAACACCCACACTTGTACCTATTCGCGCTTTAAGCATTATTGGCATCTGGAGACAACTCCAAAGTAAGTGTTTACTTAGATTGTCGATAATGACAAAGGAATAGTTTGGTGGTTACTTACATTGTAGATATTGACGAAGGAAATGATGGCAGATCATAGTAATGGAAGGCCATGACTAAGCTCCAGAACAGGAAAGACAGATACCTGTACACACGACGGAGGAATCTCCATCTAAAGATTTTCTTCAATATTACCGATGCTAAGAATCCAAATACTGTAGCTTCCGCTGCCAGAAGGTGATCAGCAGAACTCTGAAAGCAAAGGGATATAACAAAATCACTTTCCAGAAAATGAGACATTTACATGTTCACTGCTATTGAAATTTTGATAGACAATAATTGAAGTGTAGGCTGATACAACATACCTGAAAAGTCATAAGAGCACCCACAATTTGGATGGACCAATAAACAAACTGAGATGTCATTATATCAATTGATCCATCTTCTGTCAGAACCAGTTTGCGGACTGCCCAGAAGCCCAACCATGCTCCAGCCAGAAAAACAAAAGCCAGAAGAAATATAGCCAACTGCAAAACATTTAAAACATTTCCAAAGTATTACCCCAACAGTTACTGCATAATCCTTAGTGTTTGGGTCGCAACAAAAATAAAATAAGGTGCAGCAAGATCTCTTAAATAATTCATATGATACAAAGGTCAACTCCAGGGTATCATGTGAATGAAGAATGTAAAGTCTATTCATAAAGTAATTCACCCAAAGAAAAAGATATGCGAGTCCCACATACAAAACATATAACCTAAATATAATAAAAGCAACAAGAACAATAACTAGCATCAATGACCCTTCAGGCGTATCTTGAGAATCAATAACCTTTTTTTCTGATCCATCAACCATTACACACCTCAAGTGACTAAAACCTCAGATGCAAGATGAAAACCGTAATATAACAAAAGCAAGAACAAGAATAACTAATATCAGATGACACATGTAAAAAACGACAGTGTGCTTCTAAACCTCTGAGGTATCATGCCATTCAAAAACTTGAATTTTGATTTGGCATCAATTAGTACACACCTGAATAAAACTAAAATCCAAGATGGTAAGAGTAATGGAGTAGTGCAGAATTATAAGCACATCTTACCTGAAAGAGAATACAGAGTACATCAAAACCAAAAAGCATATCAAAGAGTTCATATTTTATTAGAGAGAGATATTTAACAATTCATACTTTGTTGGGAAACGATGTTTACCGGTTTATATCTTATTAGATCATATGCAACTATATGCCGAAGTCCATGCAGATACGAGAGAATTTGTTTCCCCTAATAGATGGCTGTTTATTGATTATTCCAGGCAGATCACTTAAAACTACCTTCTTTTTTCAATAAAGCAACTTGAAACTACCTACAATAACTTAATTTTAAATAAAAACAACCTCTAAGGCCAGCTTCATTGGGTAATCAACCGAAGTTTCCATAGTGCCCTCGATTGTTATGGTTGTTAAAACTTGCAACAAAAAAACAATAATTAATCTCTATATTCGGCCGAGTAAACCAGCTAACTCAACAATTCCAGAAGATGAAAATAAAGAAATGACCAATGTGGTAGCTTCCTACAAGTAGCAAAACAGAAATCACAAATAATTTCAAATATAATAAAGGCTTTCAGCAAAACATGACCAAGATATGTAATCGAATAATCTGGATGGAAAATTACAAAGGCATTTTGCTTTATGGTGGACATACCAGGGCAACTATCAGAATAATTCAAGATCACTTACAGGATTATACATGTCTTCACTAACTCCGATCTCGGTGAGTACTGAACGCAATAACCCAGGTATGTAGCGGAGGAGAAAAGATCCCAAACCAACCTGATAAATTGTAAGAATTACATGGATCATAATCATGTAAATGAAAAACAGAGAAAGGTAAATAACTGAGCTTTGTATTTGATACATACGAAAGACGAGTATACAAAAATTGCAAGAGAGTTCTTCCGACCAGTTGGGAGAAGCTTCATCCCCTGCAAACAACCAGAAAAAAAAAAGTCTGCTAATCAGTTATATCTTCTTGGATGACTCTACGGACTTCCTTGGACATATAGCAATCTTATTAAGGATGCGGATTACATAGGTAGCTTTAAAATGGTACATAAAGTAAACATGACATGATTAGTACTTTAAAAGAAGATTATATTACCTGAAAAAGTACAATCAAGATGACAAGGACCACCCCTATTGCCATTCCACTGCTGTAATAAAATACTAATGATTTGCTCAGGAGGGACGCCAAGCTCATAATGATTATGCCCAATATCAAAAATATTAGGCGATACCTAAAAAATTCTGCAAAATATAACATTAGTGAAATGATCACTAAATGTAAGGATTAGAGTAAGAGGTAAAGTTATATGTTATTAGACTAAGAAGAGTTACCTTCTTCAATGGACACCTCAAAGCTCTCTAACGATGAACCAGCTGTCCGTATATCTAAGAGTTTGTCCTCAAAGGGTGACATGGACCCAGACCAGGAGTCCTTGGCAACCTTCTCCCATTGGCTGTGAGGGCACATCCCTATCCCCAGAGATGTATTTCTGCAACAAAATATTAAAAAATTTCTTATGTAAAAATAAGTAAAAATAAATGCACTGGTACTGTATTCTTCACTGTTTCTGTTTTCTATCAAAACTAAATCCTTATTCCAAGCTGGGGATTACATTACGAGAAACAAAATTCTAGGTTGATAGCTGATGCATTCTGGTCAGAATATGAAAATAGAAGTTCAAAATACATTTGTAATGAAATAAAATAAGGCACTTGTAAACTTTCACTATAATTTTAACAATGCCATAACTGGAAATATACACTATAAAGCACACAAGAAACTCTACCAAGCATATGCACTTCACAATCATAAATCTATCAGTATGATAAAATGTTTCATTATAACAAAACAAAATTCAGAGACGTTGACATTATCATATCCATTCAGTTAAATAAGTCCTGCATGCACAATGCGTGACAAGCAATTAGTATTAACAACTTATAAGGCCCACAATATTGATGACTCACCTGTGGAGACAAACCTCAATGGCCGGTATGCGAATGCTTGAATTTGTTGCTGATATCTTCAGCTTCGCAGTGTTGGCAAACTTTCCAAGATATTTAAGCCTTGACAATCCACGGATATGAACTCTTTCACACAACACTAAAGTGCCAGGCTTGGAACCAGGAGAATTTTTTACTGGCATGCCATGAGATAATTGTAACCTAGCAGACTCGGCAGCAACTGCAAACGAAAAACATAAGAAAGGGGTATGAGTACCCAAAGTGTAAAACTTATCAGTCACCATGAAATAGGTCATTGACATCTGCCTAAAGGAACTAATCTCCATAAGATGTCCAGAAAATCTGTTAAGAGCCCATGGGTAGAACTTGCCCCTAAAACCGGCTTGTAAAGGAAGGGTGCCCAAGAGCTCTTAAACCACCCTAGGACAGGTTATTTTTCCAATGTGGGATCTTGAGTCCTACCAAAGGCTTTCATCTAGGAGGCACATTTTGGTTCCGAAAAGAAAATCCCACTTTAATACATTCGACACCTATAATGTAGCAGTGGTATCAGAAAGAATAAACTGATATAATCAAGCATCACACACACACACACAAGATCCCATGGAAGTAGTAAGCAAAACAAAAATACTTAGTATCTTAAACCAAAATATATAGTAATATGTAAGAAAACCCAAAAATTTATATTCAGAAAATCAGAAAATACTTCTGTTGCCACAAGGAAAATGCAACACCAAACCAAAATTTGAAATTTCCCATGGTCTTGATTCTTAAGAAAAATTAAGTAACCAAATAAACAAGTCTCCTCCCATTTTACATGGAAAACCTATATTTTGAGTTCGAATTCTTGGCAAATTCATAGCAAAAGATTCAAAATTTCAACTTTCTTCTTTTTCCTCAGTAAGCTCAGCAGCCCAACAACACAAACGTTAAAAACAAAACATTAATTTCAGGGTTTCAAATTTCTGTTTATAGTAATAAAAGCCCTAGATTTTATAACTTCCTAGTGTGGATAAGCGCAATAAAATGTGAAGATTAATGGAAAAAAAAGTACCTAAAGAAAGCTCACTGGATGGTTCCACAGAGGACGAAAACGGGAGTGAGAAGAACAGGAGCCAGAGAACGCAGGCGAAAATCCGACCCGGTTCAGCAGAAGCCATGGTTTCTTGGTTGTTCCGAGTAACAGAGAAGAAGACGGGGGAAAAGGCGCGCGTTGAAATTACGTTGGCAAGAAGGGAGTGAGCAATTTTGAAACGGATAGAATCTTTTCTTTTATATTGGGCCCAACCGACGCTAGTGAGCCGTGGCTGAGACGTGTTTGATATTAGCAGGCTGGGCTTTGTTAAAAAAAAACATAAATATATATATAGTCTTTTAGAGCAGGTCCAGCGCAGGACCCAAACTGGGGGAAGGGCCACCCTGGCGAGCCCGAGATGGCTCCAGCACTAGAGAAGCAGCCTGGTTTAGTGTTTGGTCCCACCAGCCCGGGCAGGCCCAAGGGCAACTTCTGCCTGGGCTTCAGCCCGAGTCTTGTGACGTCAGCGTACGGTAAAACAAATTTTTTTACCGTTGGCGCGTGAAATACACGCGCCAACAGTAAAAAAAAATTGATTTCCAAGCGCTGCCGTCAGCATGAAATCAGCGCTGGTAGAATCCAACGGTAAAGTGCCACATGTCGCGACAGGGACGCTTCAATCTTTTTTTCCAGAAATCCGACGGTCCTCGTTTTTTTGGGTAAAAATTTTTTGAAAAATTCTGATTTTTTTTATAAAAAAAATCTGTATTTTTTCCCTATAAATACCTAATCATTTTATTCACTTTCCACACCAAATCTTCATAAAAACTCATCTCCTTCCAATATTTTTCATTTTCCACACCAAATTTTCTACTACAAAATTTCATTTGTGCAAAAATACAAATGTCATCTTCCATCGAAGCTGGAAGGGGTTGGTGGAAAACAAATGTTGGAAAGAGGTCAAGTTTGGTAGGCATTCTAACAAACAAAAGAGCAACGGGAGGTAAAAAAAAAAAAAAAAAAAAAAAAAAAAAAAAAAAAAAATTTTATTCAATTTAATTTCTTTTATATATATTTCTTGCATTTCCAATTTCTTTTTTTTAATAGATTAGTCAAGGCAAGACAAAAAAGAGGAAAACCATTACACATGGCTCCTCAAGTGAACAATGCCCGCAGTCAGTTCCAGTAATGCGTTCCGTGTTAGAAATAATGGCACTATTACGTCCTCCGAAGGAAAATACTCCCCCACGTTGTGATCCGGTGGAACCGCCTCCACCAATGATGGAGTTGTCCTTGGACCAAGAATATTTCAATTGTATAATGAGTGAGTAGGTATTTCAATTGTATGATGAGTGAGATGTGAATTTTATAATAAATATGGATACGTGGTAACCGAAAATTTTATCCAAAAATTTTATCCGAAAAATGTTATCTTAAATTTTAAGTGAAAATTTTATAATAAATAGTGACATGTGACAACCGAAAATATAATCTAAAAAGCTTATCAAAATTAATGGTTTAAAGTATAAAAAAAAATAGGAAATAAAGTACAATGAATAGTAATTGCCTTAGACTTGCCCTAGACTTTGCCCTCATGGGTGGAACCACAAATGCAAAGGCTGACACTATTCGCGTGAATAGTGGCAGCCCTTGCTTGCCCTTTCTTTAAACTTAGCCCTTGTGGGTGGAAGTGCTCTAAGGGCCGAATTTAACAATTGGAATTTGGATTAAATCCCGCTTGAAGCCCAGGCTGCAGTAAATGGAATGTGAAGAAATATGATAAGCCTAGAATGATAGTTCCTTTCTTCTTGCCAAATTATAAATAAATAAATAACGGTGCATTTGAATGAGGGAAAAAAATTTGGGATTTTGACAATAGTCAGAATTTCGAAATTGACATGAACCAATTTCCATGTGTAAATAAAAGAATGATAGTTCAACAGTTGTCTTGGCATTTACTACCACCCAAGGTCTAAAATATCGATGATTTCAGAAATATCGGTGGTCCAAAAACACAGAAATTTTGATGGAAATATCAAGAAACTATCGATATCGGTAAAAATTGAATAAAAACTTGGAAATTTTTATTGAAACTTTGGAAGATGTTTATTTAGTCAATTATCTATTAGTTTATCACAAAACAAAACAAAATTGGAAGGAAATGCATTGCATGTTGGGTTTAACTTATTTAAATTGATTATATAGTGAGCTGAAAAACACTGCGAATGTATTAAATATGTAGTAATTAATGAAAAAAGATTAAATACGTCATAATCATTTATTTATAATGATTTGCTACAACATTTTACACTTTACACATTGCATGGTAAGATATATGAGTGACTTAGTACCACATAGAGTTCCTATGAGGTTCAAAATTTTCACTATCTTCATCATCTCTATGTGTAGAGTAAGAGTACTTTGTGAAAAGGTGGTGAGTAGTTGAAAAGGAAAGGTCATATGATCATTTGAAAATCTAATTATTTAAAAAACAGCTCAAAAAAAGACTATAAATATAAATAGTTTAGCTTATTAACACAAAAACATCAACAAAATGGTGGTTAAGGCGTCGGAAAAGTGGAATGGTAAGGGTTCGAAACCCCCTTTGCGTGTGTGCTCTTTGAGAAATTGTTGACATCAATATTTTCTCGATATATACGACAATAATATTTTAGTCCATGCTACCACCAACCAAGTAACTGAAAGAAGAAAATTTGCAATTATAAAGAACAAAGTTTGTACTAAGTTTTTTCTTTTATACAAGAGACATTGGGGAATGAAAGATTCGAAGACAATACCTCAAATACAAAGATAACTACTCTTAATTGCTTGATCTACAAACTCTTTACATATTTCTACTGAGTTTTAAAGAACAAATATGTAATTTAAGATGGGCGTGCATCTGCATCAACAACAGTTGACAAGAAGAATACAACTTAAAAGAGGGTTTTGATTAAAGATGGGCGTGCATCAACAACAGTTGACAAGGAGAATTGAATCATTGTTCAATGATTCAATCAAAGAACCATGAGCTTGCTAATTGTACACCTTTTTGCAAAGAGGAAGTTAGTGGACGGAGCACTAGGAAAAAAATAAAACCTATTGGCAGTTCTTTGTTTTGTAGTGCACTGTAAAAGGCACATACGACTCATTTGACCACAACCCTAATAGAATAATGTATTCTTCATCAAATATTTTTAAATATTTTTACATGTACCCAGTTGAATGGCTCACAGTAAAATTCAATCTTTATAATACAATATTTATATCTATAAGTCTATGCCGTCTTATCACCATGGAACAGTTGCACTGTAGAGCCATAAATCACACAGAAAATAATTAAGACCGTCCAAGAAAGCACGCAAATATGACTTCATGCATTTGCGGGAAATGCTGGTAGGAGACTCTGGCTGTGGCTGCGATTATTGAACCCAATACATCACATAATAATGCAAAATTAAAGCTCTTCTGCATCCGGCCATCAGCCTTTGCAGTTGCATGCAGTGCAGTATGGGGAAGTAAATGCCAATGCAAGTCTTTGAAGCAAGTCTTTCAAAAACTTGCTTATTAAACACACTTTCTTTTGAAACTGCAGCACCACATCCAATCCATTTAATTCATCAATTAATCAGTTTGTAAGATCAGGACCAGTGCTACTACTGCAGCAATTTCAACTATCTAGCGTGTTAATATTCTCTTACTAGACTTATGTTGTTTGGCGGAACTACCTACGATGGTGAAAAACCGAAGTTAATTAACCTAACAAAATGGAAATTAAGTGCATGCCTTGCAGCTAATTACAATTAAAGCAAAGGATTAATCTAATCTGCAAGAGTCGTATACGTGTCCAAGTTGAACGAGTTACATACATCAAACACTGGAACCCTATCGGACTGTAGCTAGCAAAGGCCTATTGTCTAAAAAAGCAAAAGAGAATATGAAGGTACTGGAAAGAGCTGCTGCGCTGCTCTGATGGTTTTTTCGAATTTATTGGTGGGAGAGAGATTGACGTGCAGAGAAATCAAGGGCTCTGGTGAGATCATGATCGTACATGTGGTGCGTATATATATATTTCAAGTTCCAATCTCTGCAATGCTCTGCAAGGCTGGCCTCCATTGGCCCCCAACACCACCACCTCCACCTCCACCTCCATGATTCCTTGCCACATTTCTGAAGCTGCTGCTTGTGCTACTGCTGCCACCATTTCTTCTCACACGCTCCATCTGCCAAAAAAAAAAAAAAAAAAAAAAAAATCCAAATAAAAGAAAAAATAAAAAAATAATGGAGTATTTGTGCAATATTTACACGCACGCACGCACGCACCATGAGACAATGACAATTCATACAAACAAAAATTCTGAAGAGGGTTCGATTATAACAGTTGAAAACTCAAGTTCAAGCTCTAAATGATGGTTTTCTACCCTAATATAGATAATTTGGGATAAATCCAAAAGTTATTAACAATAGTTTGACAACTTTCTCAACGCATTATGTCTATTTGATATCAAAGTTGAATAAAATTTTCTCAACGCATTAAACAGGATGCAGTTAAAATAAATTTACAAAACATTAGATGTGTATATGTCCTTGTTAATGACAACTTTCTGTTTCATTAATATAATGTCAAGCAAGTTTTGAAGGTCACCCAACCCAACTAAACCTGTTTACCTAGAAGTACGTCTTACCTAGAAGTACGTCTAACTCAAATATTAAACAGTGTTTTAAGAAAAGCATAATTTGGTCATGTGGTTAGGAGTTGATAACTACTTCAATCAGTGCCAATATTGGTAAAGGGTAAGTGAATTCCCAGCCCCACCAAAAATAATTCAAATGTATGAATAATCAAGTGGAAATTTCGCAAATCAAAAGGTGAGTTCATGACAAAGGCCATGCCAATAATTGTACGTGCCCTTAGAAACCAACCCTAAAACAAAACAAGAAAAAGAACTTTTACAAACTGAAAACGTGTAGCTTTACTTTTTATTTTCTGGCCCACATGTTATGCACTTTAAATTCATTGCATTGTTAGTTGCACCGTACATAGTGGTGGCCACCATTCCTTATTGTCAAATATGGCAACATAAAATTCCTAATGGCTAATACCCTAACAATGCAGTTTGGTATGGAAAATTTTCTTGCCATTCATAGTTCACATTTTGATACATAAACAAGTTGTACTACGTGAGTTATATCACGTGACCGTATTTTTTTCCATATTTTCGAAGCGTTATATATATAGCTGTTGCAAAAACTAAAGATTCTTACATATATTTCTATCCGGATAAAGTTTCTGACAAAAATAAAACGTGTTACCAAAAAAACCCACATGCCTTGAGATCCGTGGGTTTAAAGGAAGATCAGATTCTTCGAATTACAGACGATAATTTACTTAATTCACCAGTCGGACACTTCAGAAAACTCAACATCTCTTGACCTTCTGTAAAACCCTTTGGAAAGATGCTTTGATGAGTTGAAATGACAAATAAAAAGAAGATGCCCTACAAACCAACCACAAGAATAGGGTCTACAATATGCCCTATAAACCAACCACAAACAAAGTCCTACAAAATGCTCGATATCCGAGCTTCATATTATATGAGTTTATGCCATCAAATTTTGAATCACCAAAACTTCCCAAATGAGTATTATGAGCTCATATGATTCAACAATAATTATAGGGTCTTCAAAAGTGTAAATTTTTTATAGACGTAGGTTAGATTTGTTACTCAGAGCAATGAGTGCGACATAAATTAGATTATTTTAAACAAAAAATTGTGAAGTTTTGCATGGTTACCTTGATGGAGTTGTGGTTCTCGGACTTCAAATTTGGATTTGGATTCGGACCACCCAAGTCTTTCATCCTCATTTCCAGGCCAGGCCCGCCTGTATCCTTCAGCAATTTCCCCAGCTTCACAGATTTTTTAGCTGCAAACTCCTTCAACACATCTGTATACATATAACAAAAGAGAGAAATTTATTTTTAAAAACATTTCGTCCTAAACAAAGCGAGAGGCAAATAAAAAGCGTGGCGATAAACGTTGACCTTCGAAACTGATGAGGCGATAAACCTGTCCAATAAGCAGAGTGTCGTCTGGTCTGAGAAGCTTGAGCTGCTTCACAGGGGCCCCATTCTCAGACTTCATGGTGGGAGAGGCGATGAGAAGAGCCACGTAGTGGCCTGGGTTGGAAGTCATGACCTCATGGGCGCTCACAGACCAGTAAATTCTCTCGACCTTGTTGCTTCCCGGGTGCTGAATCAGCACCGTCGCCGCCTCCGCCGCTTGGCAATTACCCATCTCGAATGTGATCTCAAGACTTCAAATTTATAAGAACCCTTTTGTTGATTTGCTCTATTTTTTGTTGGGTTGCTCTGTTTTTGGGTGTTAAGGTGCAAAATGAAACTTTATGAAGGGTATGCTCTATGGAGCTCTAAATATGAATAGAGGGGGTATGGTGACAGAAGGTGACGTGGAGGCTGAGGTTTTGGGGGTCCCCTATTATTAGGGAAGGCCTTTTACTCTGCACACCCAGTTAATGGTCTCTGACCCTTTCACGTTCACCAACGCACGTCAAGAATCAAAGGGATGTGACAAACTGACAAACGCAAAGATCTCGATCGCCCAATCCAATACCAAGAAACCCAAGAAAACAATATTAAAAATAAAAATAAAAATAAATAAATAGAATTATGGAAGCTGGAAATTTCAGAGCCAAGAGTTGGGTGTGCAGAGGAAATTAGAGGAAGAAGAAGGGTGCTTATAATATAGTGTAGATTCTATGTCAACGTTGAGATAGTGGTGGTGATGAAGAGGATGCGTACTTAAGATGGTGAAGAAAATGAAAGGCATATTATGGTTGAACACCGAACTGCAGAAGAAAAAAGAAAAGCAAATATAATGGCAGCAGACGTGTCCGATCTGCAAAACCACCTGGGTTAGCTCTACAGAGGAGTGGGGACTCTGGGGGCAGGGGACCCCACTGGATCTTAAAGCTCGGGTTCAATGATCCCAGTAATCGATCTTATCAAAATTTAAGGCTTTGCTTCTGATTTATATTGCACATATAAACAAATTTCACAATGTATATGTTTGATTTACATCGTTTGTGTTCCTATTTATAGACGGCATGATTCACATATTTTATACTGTATTCATATATAAATAGAAGTGTCATAGTAGGAGATGATTGATAACAACAACACCATGTGACAATATGACTGTTATCATCAAATACGAATAATTTTGAAATAAAATGTACAGATAAATCCTATACAATTTAATTTCTACAAACAAACTCAAAAATGACAGCTTGCTGTATTGAATTTAATTTTGATTATTAAATTACTTTGATGCCTTATTAAGTATTTTTGGTTTTTTTCAAATAAGATTTTGGGATTTGAATTGTTTTAAGAAATTGATGACAGTTTTGTAATCTATAAGAAGTTAAAAGTCTCTTTGTTATATTGTAAGCTTTGGGTGTGTTTCTAAAATCTGTTTTATATATGATTTTTTTTTAAAAAAAATTTATAACTTAGTACCATTTTGGCATTGCTTATTTGGGTAATAAGTGATTTTAAAAAAAATTTGGAAAGCCCAGTCCGTTTAATAAACTATGAGAAAATCACTTATTGTTAAAAATTGTTGTGAGATAAGTTATAAAGGAAAGCAGTTAATGAGGTGCTTTCATTTTGTAATTATGCATGAATCAATTTCGAAGAGGCGATGGATTTAATGATTATGCGGCAATATTTTCCAACAACACTTTTAACAAAAAGTTTACAAAAAGCCAAACTACTTTCTCTCACAGTTGATTTATCTTATAACAAATCTGACATCGATTATTTTCACAATATAACAATGCCAAACTGACCCTTAGACTCCTATATTAGGTATAATTAGTGACTTTCCCAATAATTTTTTGGAAAAATAATTTTGACTATTAACTGGATTTTGAGATTGACACTGACACTTAGAAAAAAGATGGGAAGATTGCACCTATGAGTCTACGATTAACATTTTTGTCTCTTGCGAATAATGCTATTTACTTTGCCTTGTATCTCAAAGGTAAAATTGCTTTTACCTCCTTTCTTTCGCCACTTGTGAATTGTCACCCACTTTTTCCAAATTTAAACTTCCAATAAGTAAGAGGGGTTTGTATCTCAAATAATTAAGAGTATTTACTTCAGTAAACAAGGTTGTAGGTTCGATTCCCCAACCCCGAGTATCGCTTGTATTAATATATATATTCCAGCAAATAGTAAGCTTATCTTTCAAAATACAACTAGATCACAGTATAGGACAAGATCATGCATAGGGAAATAACTTTATCAAATTCTCAAGAAACGTCAAAAAGATAATATTGCCAATATTGACTTTAAAAAGGCAATATTGCCAATACAATGAATGATATATTATCTATCAACAAAACAAAAAGAAAAAAACTAGTTTATAGTATTGAAAATTGGTAACCAAATTCTTGTTTGCACGTTGTGTATAAGGAATTAAAAAATTAATATTTCCCTCTTTTGTGTTGTGAATGCAGACCTATTCCCAACTCATTTATTATTCAATGTTCATTTTGGTTATTCTGTTTTTTATTATGTAACTGATTGTAAGATCTAATTAATTAGACCAAATTAGGGGTGTCAGTGAGATTGTAACTGATTTTATTGGCTTGACCTTTCTTCCCAAACATGTCAATGCCCTTACCAAACACTAGAAGTTAGGCTAATTCTTAATAAAAGCTTTTCTTTTTGTCAAATGTGTTTTGAGGGGTGAAAGACCAACCTCCCTCCCTAATGAGGTTTCACCAAACTGTTCGTCCCACCATCATTGCACCACCTTCCTTCCACCACCAAGCCCAATCACCATCCATTTTTTAACTCCTTAGGCAGGGACATTGAAAACATGTCAAAAAGGGTAATTTTCTTGTTATAGCATCTTCAACGCATATGTCAAATACATGATGTTAACTTTGAATTTTATGGTTTGTGTAATAATTTGAAAGTTTATATCAAATTTAACTTCATTCGAAATGTCAAATATCATATTATTTTATTATATTTAAAAATAAATAATTTTCACATATATCTAGGTTTTTTTAGGACCGACTAGGGTACTTCTTAAACATACTAAACAGGTTCCTTACAAGGGACCAACTTTTTCACATATATTATCTGCTAAATACAAACAGACTTCAGAAAAATAATATTTTCCTATTAATGTGTTGGATTTTTTTTTTCTTTTAGGGTCTGAAAAGATGTCTTCATAGAAATAGTGGGAAACCACCAAGAAGACAATAAAACGATAGCCCCAACAAGTGGGAAGGGAAGTTGATGGGCTATATAAGTTCTTTGTTTTTTCTTCATAAAGCTACATGGGCTACATCCCAAGGTAGCCTTGTATGTAGTTTCGCCCTTGCTTGTGGTTTTATGTTGGAACTTTTTGGCCATCTGGCTACTCTTTAAGTAAACATTTTAAACGTAAAGCCGCCCGGCTATACTATAAATAGAAATTTTATCCGTCAAGCCGAACGGCTATACCCCAAAATAGATAATTTTATTAGTAAAGCCGAACGGCTATACTATAAGTAGAATATTTTAGCCTTATAGCCGCCCGGCTATACTCTTGAAACAGAATATAAAATTAGTTTCTTTACTTTTTTTATTTAGTGAACTTCTTTAATTCAATATATGTAGTAAGTAGTATCTTAGTATTTTTTAAATTCCTTTAATTAGTAATTATGTTTTAATTATTGATTCATTAGAGAATATTTAAATATTTTAGTGATTTAATAAATTACTTAATTATATACAAAATTAGTTTGAGCAAATTCAAGTCGCGAACCAAAAACCCTAGCTTCTGAAGTTGTTTCAAAACCTTTTTCGAGCCTTGAACCCTATCCACAAGCCCACTATCTTTTAATTATTATTTACTTAGTGAATAATTAATATTAAAAAAAGTTATTTAAAAAAATGGAAAAAAATTTAATTACCATTTATCAAGTAATAATTTATGAAGTTAATTAAAATATTTAAAACTAATTATTCACTACAGAAATAATAGTTAATATATAATTACTAATGAAAGTGATTAAATAAGGCTAAGATATTAGTTAATTACTAATGACAGTACAGCCGAGCGGCTATACATCAATATAGATAATTTTTATAGTATAGCCGGCCGGCTATACGCTTTGAACAAATATTTTAAAAGTCAAGCCGCACGGCGATACCCGAAAATAGATATTTTATTAGTAAAGCCGTACGGATATACTGTTATAAGTAGAATATTAAAGCCGTATAGCCGCCCGGCTATACTCTTTAAACAGAATATAAAATTACTTTCTTTACTTTTTTTGTGCGGCAAACTTCTTTAATTTAATATATGTAATAAAGTAAGATCTTAGCATTTTTTTAATTCCTTTAATTAGTAATTACGTTTGAATTATTGATCCATTAGAGAATATTTAAATATTTTACTGATTTAATAAATTACTTAATAAATATTAATTAATTATTATATACAAAATTAGTTTGAGCAAATCCAAGTCTTGAACCAAAAACCCTAGCTTCCGAACTTGTTCCAAAACCTTTCTCAAGCCTCGAACCCTATCCATAAGCCTACTATCTTTTTATTATTATTTACTTAGTGAATAATTAATATTAAATAATTTATTACTATTTATCAAGAAATATAATTTATGAAGTGAATTGAATATTTAAAACTAATTATTCACTACCGAAATAATAATTAAAATATAATTACTAATGAAAGTGATTTATTTGCAACAAGTGGTGAAGAGAGTTTAGAGTTGTTGTTGGTAGCCACCATTTGGTTCAAGAGAGAAAGCTCTCTCCTTTGTTTGGGTGGAGATCATCATTTGAGAGAATCATACTAGTTGTTGATTCCATTTGGTTGTGAGTATGATTATTTGCAATCTTCAATCAGGCAAAAAAAAGGTGAGCTTGTTCAGAAGCCTTAGTAATTAGAGAAACACAGGATAAAGAGTCGCATTCAACATCAAGGAACCTAGTTCCGTTTGTCCAAGCCATTTGCAACTCTAAAAAGACTCCATAACTCAGCCTCCGCAGAGAAACCACAAATCCAAGCACCGTTAGATTAGAGTCCCTTAACAAGCCACCAGCAGTGATCTTCCAAGAATTGGTTTTGTAGTTGCCATCCACATTCAAATTGTATGGACAGCCCAAGAAGAGGGCCCATTTACGAATCCTTCTTGATCCAGCAGATTGACTGGATGGGCTTTGTTCAAATTTAATGGGTTGCAGGGCCGATATCCATCAAATATCCCTTGGTTTTTACATTCTCTCAATCTCTATCTTAAAGTTTTGTTTTGTTTTTTCATTCTTTATTAGGTAATCTTTGTTTCCTTGTTTTAGTAGATGGGGATAAGTAGAAGATCCTATTCTCAAGCTTGATAATTGCACTTGAAAATGACATAGCATTGCTTATGGTTATCTGAAATTGTATGCCCAAAGAAATGAGGAAGTTTTCCCCCTTCCCTTGCCATTCCTTAGATTTTAATTTTATGATGACAACATAGGTGATGATTCATAATCAAATTTTTAGTTATTTTTTATAAATTTTCAGGATTTTATCTTCTTTTTTTTATATATTAAAAATTTAAAAATATAGTCAAGACCGCCTCAAAACTCCTCAAGGAGTGCTCACCTCACATATAGCGATGAAAACTCTAAAAAGTCGAAAAAAGTGGCGAATGGTCTTTAATATGTCCAAGACTTTGCTAGTTTTCTATTTAATTTTTTTTCATTTTTAGATTAGTAATTTTTAAATTATTTTTTGTATTTATTTAAGAATTCATATCAATTTGTCCATAGTGTATAATGTCGGCACATGACAATGTCTGTATGTTTTGTTCATTTAATAAATTTCCTGTGTGGTTGGTATTGAAAAATCCTTTTTTACCTTTTTTTTCAAGGCCATAAAATCTCCGAGGCTGCCGTGGTCTAACTAAGCACTTGAAAAAATATATTTCATTATTCACAAGACAAGTCATTTTCCTCCAAACGTGCCAAACCCAAACTCATATAAGCCTCTTTGCCCGATCGAGGAACGTCCATAGGCATCTCCGCATCTCCTCAAACGAATCTCTCCTCTCAATTTCCAAGCTATTTTAGCAACCGACGTCCATTTTTCTCTTGTGGGTTTTTATCGATCCCCAAGAAAACCCAGTCATTGACAAAATTCCTTGGCTTCTCATAATCCAAACACTCATTTTTGGAATTTATTCCTAACGACAATTGTTTCATTTCTGATTATCACCGCTCGAATATACATATATAAAAGGCAAACACTAAAAACCCGTCTGAGCCAGAAGAATCTTCTTCTGGGGTTGCTTTGATTTTTCTCAGCTGGTGGTTCTTCAATTTGCAGGTACGTTTTCTCATCTGGGTTTTTCTTGTTGAGCTTTGCTTTCCCACAATTATGCAAATGATTGTTATTAGATTGTTGATGTTGTGTGCCACTTGGTTTCCAAGAAAATGCAGCAAAAGAAAAGGGAAAATAAATTCTTTTTGTTGGGTTTTTACTTTTATGTTCTATCTGCAATTATTGAAAGCTCAATTCAAAAAGGGAAAATTTGATGTAATATTGGATCTTTTGTCTCCATGCAATGAAAGATCAATGCTTTAGAATCTGGGTTTATTTCTTGGTATCTTATAAATTTCATTTTTTTGGGGTCAACTTTGGTATCTTATAAACAGAAAATGGGCAGTGAGATCCAGAATTTTGAAGATTCAAAACTGTCATCTGAAGCAATGGAGGACCATCACGCATGTTCACCGAAGGAAGGTAAAGGAAAGCGGCTGTGGAAGAAGGTGAAGTATCAGCTGGTTGAGTACCACACTTTACCCAACTACTTAAGGGACAACGAGTACATTTTGGGCCATTACCGGTCCGAATGGCCGTTGAAGCAGGTCTTGCTTAGTATGTTTACCATCCACAATGAGACGCTAAATGTTTGGACGTAAGGCTTTATCCTGTTTATGAGTCATTTTTTCAATACATAAATGGGTTTTATATGATTCTTTTGTCTGTACCTATAATTTGTTTAATAGGTCTGTCGCCTTCAGGTAACAGCTATTAATTTGGTGCTTAATTCAAATAGTTTCTATATTTTTCCCCTTGAAGTTTATAATATTTAATGGGGAGTTACATTTGTGAATTATAATGAGAAAGTAAAAACTGTTTAAAATATTGTTATTTCTTCTGAAGTTTATTAAAGTGGATTAGACTGTTCGAATACAAATTAGCTGAAAATGTCTTCCATATTTCTTTGTCAAACCTACGGCGTTTACTAATGTGGAAGTATGTCTCCTTGTCTTTTTTTCCAGAGGTCTCCTGTTAGTTGTCTTTAACTTTTATGCATATAACGTTTTGGTAACTGAAATGGCATAAACTTCAACACTTGACAATCTCATTTCTCTAACAAATTAGTACTTTCACAGGCATTTGATCGGGTTCTTCCTTTTTCTCTCCCTGACCATATACACTGCAATTAAGCTTCCAGAGGTCGTTGATCTTCATGCTCTACAGCATTTTCCTGATGTGCTGAAAAAAGCTGATTTGCACAAATTACATGAAGAATTCATGACATGCCTCCCATCCTTACCCAACATGCCTCATCTGAACAGACTTAGAGAAGAGTTGAAGACTTCATTACCTTCAATGGATCTGCTGCCGTCACTCTCTGGTTGGCATGTCATGGAACTTCTGAATAATTGTTTGCCTCAACGATTCTCCCATGGCAACCAAACTGATGTTTGTGTTCTGGTACTCTTTAAGCCCTATAACGAATTATGTTAACTTATCATACGATTGCTGATATTATTTGTTATGTTATTAATTATCTTTTAGGCGTTTAGAGTTTTCCATCATGTTCTCTTAGCTGAACCTGTTTGTATGGGAATTTCTTGCATTTAGTGGTCCCTAATGTCTGATGTCAAGAAATCCTCAAAGTATAGAAAACTTAGAAAACAAGTTAAAAACGCAGAAATCATCTATTGCTCCAAAATTGCAGGATTTGAAGACCGAATTAAATAATTTACTCTTCCATCTTTTTCATTTGTAGACCCTAATGGGTTTGACAAAGATGTCCTCATCAATGTCACTCTCTGCTGAAATGACACTTGTTCTCCTGATTTTCTTAATTATCAACAGGGTCATCTCTTTTCTTTTTCGGGTTCTGCAAACAATTGATCTACTGTTGTTATAGTTGTCATATGTGTATAATATAACCCATGTGATAGTGCCCCTGGAATTACTTTTGAAGTTGAATTACCTCTTCATGGTTTTCTGTCAAATAGCTTATGCTAAATAGGGTCTTGCATCCTTTAATGAACATGTAACTGTTACTTTCTTCTCCAACCCAATAGGAGCAACAAATGGTTTATTTATGTTGAAATAATTTTATATTTTGGCTATTCAAATTATCGTATAATTGTCCATGTAAGATGACATGCGGGGAAATTGAGCATACTCTGCATTGATTGTTGTGTCCTATTTCCTAAATGGTTGACGTCTAGTGCTGGATGCATTCTTAATGTTGAGCAGTTTACAATTTTCTTATGCGACTAATGGTACTAGAGTACTAGTTGCAATGAATCATTAGCCCCTGGAAGAAATGTATTAAATTGAACACAGACACACACAATCGAATTGTGTGAGTTCTTGGTGCACTTAACTGTATAAACCATGAGCAACTAAGATCCCCAATTCGTGTAAATCTACTTTCCATTGTCAATGTTAATGTTTATGGGGAGATTTATCCAGCTAATAGCTTTTTATTTATTTGTTGTTCTGAATATTGCAGAGTAGCATGAAGGAGGATTTAGCGAACATAGTAGCACCACTTATGCTGAGGCCAATCACACGATGGCCATTCTTTGCTTTCTTGGGAGGAGCCATGTTTTGCTTGTTGTCCAGCAGTGCATGCCATCTTCTCTCATGCCATTCTGAGCGAATGTCATATATCATGCTCAGACTGGACTATGCTGGAATTGCAGCCCTTATATCTACCTCATTCTACCCCCTTGTCTACTACTCCTTCATGTGTAACCCTTTCTTCTGCAACCTCTACATGGGATTTATAACCCTCTTGGGAATTGCTACAGTATTGGTTTCCCTCATACCAGTCTTTCAGAATCCTGAATATCGTATTGTTCGTGTATCTCTATTTTTAAGCATGGGCATGTCTGGGATTTTACCTGTTATGCACAAGCTTGTCTTGTTTTCTGATCAACCTGAGGCACTCCACACAACCGGGTATGAGATTCTAATGGGGGCTCTCTATGGGGTTGGAGCCTTGGTTTATGCCACAAGGGTTCCGGAACGATGGATGCCTGGGAAATTCGACATTGCAGGGCACAGCCACCAATTGTTTCACATATTAGTAGTGGCAGGCGCGTACACTCATTACCGTGCAGGGCTTGTTTACCTCAAGTGGCGCGATCTAGAAGGTTGCTGAATTAGTAAATTAGGCAGATGGCCTCTAGTGGACTAGTGGGTGAGGTCTTTTGTTTGTTGTTCTTCTTTGTGTAGCTGAAGACTGAAGTTGGTGTAGTGTAGATATGTGATTGCCCATTGTCACTCAAATTCAAGCACAATGTTAAACGTTGTGCTTGGTTCCAAAGAAAAAATATATATTATTTGTCAGAAATTGAAAAAAAAATTGTCGGAGTATTTAGCCGGACGTGTGTAGAACAACTTGTAAGTTGTAATGTTCGTATCAAAATCCAATATAATAAAGACGCTGGCTTCCCTCTAGTTTGTGTTTTAAATTAAATATTATTTCTTTCTAACTTCGAAGCTTATTAGGATAGCCCATACAAAAGGGGATATAAAAAAAGAATTGTTTTGCTTTCATTGAGAGTCGAACTCAAGACCTCCCGCTTACTAAACGGGTGCTCTAACCAACTGAGCTATGAAAGCTTCTTGTTTATGTAACCACCGGCAGTTAATTTAAAATAATTAATACTTGGGCCTGTGGGCCATTATGTCAGACGGACACAGACAGAACATTTACGCGTGTCGTTTTCTCTGGTGGCCCATGGAGTCATCGTTGCAAGTAGGTGAGAAAAATAAAAATTGTAAAAGCAAATGAGAAGCATGAAAAGCATAAAGTTGTTGGTGATAAATAAGCAACGATTTCGTAATAACTTATGTAATCTGCAGCTTTGGAAATTCACACAATTAGCTCAAGACTTGAAGATTTCCCTCCTTTTTGGGGGATGTATGGAGAAAGTTTCTAAAGATAAAAATGCATATCTAATTATGTAATTAACTTAGTTGATCTTTTAGCTGATTACAGTACATCTTTAAAGATACAAATGAAATGATCAATTTATTGCAAATGCAATGTCTGCAAAGTTGTCCTAATAAACTAAAAAAATTTAGCAGTGAAATTAGTATAGGAGATAATCTATGTTGTTGATTTTTTCTAAAGTAAAACTATAGAGTTAAAGCCGCACGCCCTAAAGAATTTTTTGACTCATTTTCTACATACTACTAGTGCGTTTTATGTGATGAATCAATATTTTACTTATCGATGAAGTTTCAAATGCAAAGTAACATTTTGATAGTCTTAAAATCACTTAAATTACTCTGAATGATGTTACGATTACACTAAAAAATTATACATGACCGACCGAGCCAAGGGTTAGCACAAAAACAGTGTAAAACACCTTAGATCATTAGATCAATCATAAAACACTGCAATAATTACCCACCATATTTGCCTCCATAGCTTTTAGGAAAACAATCCCTGTCTCCCATAAACGTCTTCCAAAACATAAATTCATTTTAGGCAAGTGTCACTTGCCTCCCAAGCCACACCCAAAATCGAAAATCCCGAAACCCCATTTCTCTATCTTAAAAAAGAAGTCTTGACCAGTTTCCCTCACACTAATTTCTCAGCCCCCAAACAACTTTTATGGCGAAATCGATCCATCAAACAAAACCCTGTGCAGACGGGTTTTGTTTTCTAGCTGGCCTCTTCTTCGGCCTTTTTTGTTTCTGGTCCCTAACCCTTTACCATTACAATCCCCATTTTGGCTTCATCCCTTTTTCTGCAAAAGCCTCAGATTACGGGGCTGAGGCTCCGATTCTCCATTCCGAACCACCCCATGAAACCTTCTACGACGACCCGGAACTGAGCTATTTCATAGAGAAGCCGGTCAATAACTGGGACCAGAAGCGGCGCGTTTGGCTAGACCTTCACCCGTCATTCACCGCCGGGTCGCGAGATCAGGTCCTCCTCGTCACCGGATCGCAGCCGTCCGTTTGTAAGAACCCGATTGGCGACCATCTCCTTCTGAGGTTCTTCAAGAACAAGGTGGACTATTGTCGTCTCCATGGCCACGACATTTTCTACAACGACGCATACTTGCATCCCAAGATGGACTCTTATTGGGCCAAGCTACCTATAATTCGGGCCGCGATGCTGGCCCACCCGGAAGCTGAATGGATCTGGTGGATGGACTCTGACGCCGTGTTCACCGACATGGAGTTTAAGGTTCCACTGGGCCGGTACAAAGACCACAATCTTGTGGTTCATGGTTGGCCCAATATGGTTTATGAGGATAAGAACAAAAGTTGGACCGGGCTTAACGCCGGCGTATTGTTAATCCGAAACTGTCAATGGTCCATGGATTTGATTGATGTATGGGCCTCGATGGGCCCATTGAGTCCGGATTTTGAGATGTGGGGCCAGATTTTAACATCGGTATTTAAAGACAAGTTATTCTCGGTCTCAGACGATCAATCGTCTCTGATTTATTTACTTTTTACGAATAAGGAGAAATGGGGGGACAAGACTTATTTAGAAGGAGAGTATAATTTGGAAGGTTATTGGTTGGCTTTAGTTGGGAAATACGATACTTTGACCGAGAGTTATATTAAGATGGAGCGAAATGAGGGCGTTTTGAGGAGGAGACATGCGGAGAAAGTGAATGACTGGTATGATGCAGAGAGAGAAAAATATCTCCAAGGGCGTGAGAGGAGACCTTTTGTGACGCATTTTACAGGTTGTCAACCGTGTAGTGGAGAGCACAATCCACAATATTCGGCCGATTCGTGTTGGAATGAGATGAAGAGGGCTTTGAATTATGCCGATAATCAAGTGCTCAAGAACTATGGTTTTGTGCATCCGGAATTGAGTTCCTCACAAGTTTCTGTTGTAATCTAATCATAATATTTTTATTTCAACTTATGATTCATCCGTAGAGTGGACCAGCGAAGCCTCTGATATATTATCAAATTGGAAATGCTGCCAAATTAGAGAGAGAGAGAGAGAGAGAGAGAGAGAGAGAGAGAGAAAAACAAAAAACAAAAACTTGGTCAATAGAAAAACACATGAGTTTGGTGGCCTATATATGCGTATGGATGAACTAGTTGTTTATGTTAATAAAATGAACTAAAATATTAGGGCATTATATTAGAGAGGTAAAGTATAAACAAACTACATATGGAAGTCATTATGTTGTGAATCTTCTGACACTCGTATCTGGCTCTCTTTGTGTTTGTGTTTATCATTGTTTACATGGTTATTGTACTGTTTAGATTACTAAAATATCAATGCAGATTATTTATTTTGCTAATTTTTAAACATTATCTTTTATCTATGACACTTCTTCCAATTGGGGAATTTTCCATGCGCTAACCATTTTCTAGGGAAAAAATGAAAAATACATGTGTAGTTCAATTTGTTACAATACATAGTTGAATTGAATCAACCAATTATAAACTAATGTTGGACAAAATATAGCTAAATTCCTACAAAGAAAAAATAAAGAAAATAACTTGGTTCAAATAGATATACCGTGCCGTCTCATTCTCATGAAGATGGTCAACAACACACCAAATATTTTGGTGCCATGGTGCCCGCCACCATTATTCGAACTTTTCAAATATGACGGCTTTTTTTGTTATTATTTTATATAAATTATTTTCTTTTTGGTCTTAGTTTCTGGCCTAAATGTTTAGAATGATTTGTAAGCTGATGTAGAGTCGTAACCAAACGGGTTTATAATCAAACTATATTATAACTTAAAGCAATCGACTTGGGGGTTGCGGGGAGAGAGAGAGAGAAGAAGAGCTAAACTTAAAACATTTGGAATTTCATCGCTTTTTCTTTAAAAAAAAAAACATTTGGAATCCATTTTTTTTAAGTGTATATCAAATAGCAAATGACCTACTAGTGTAGTGTAGTGGTTTAGAGCAATCATTTTCCTGAGGAAAAGTCTTGGGTTCGAGTCTTCGCATTCGTATAGTATGTGAGTTTAATATACTATCGTCCCTTTTAACATGGAATGTCCGTACAAAATAAACTGTTACATGTATATATTTTTAAATTTTTTATTCAACTACGTGTAAACTTCAATGTGACATATAAGAAGAACCAACTCTTTCCATAAATCGAGCATTGTATTTTCCAAAATGGATAACCATGTCGTCATGTTGATATGGTGTACAAACTATTGAAAATACATTTGTAGGTCAATTTGTTACAACCAATTATAAACTAATGTAGGATAAAATATGGGTAAATTCCTACGAAGAAAAATAAAGAAAATAACTTGGTTCAAAATCGGCAAGAAATCAAGCAAGGCATGAAAGTTATACTCAAATATTGATTATGGCGTTAAAAATGGAAAAACAAATTATTGTTTGAATTTTAGGATTGCTTGAGCAAGTTTAAAGTGAACATGTTTTTGGTGAGGAAAATATTTTATTTAATTTTAGAATAAGTTACCATATGTGATATTATTTTCCCGATATGATTTTAAGATTAGGATTTGAACTGTGTTCTTATTAGTTAAGTTTAGGATTATTATGGAACTTTAGGATTTGCCAGTTATTAAGGTTTTGAGTTTACTATTTAAACAACCCATGAGCTTGTATTTGTAATATTATTCATATTATTATCATAAAGTCATTGCGATTTTATCATATTTTTTTATTGATTTCAATTTGTTAATTTCAGGGGTCAAATGCTAATCAGAGATTATTGGCCTATAAGTTTTGGACTATGTACTTTTGAGGGATTATAAACAAGGTCCATGTTCCCTTATTGTCTCCTCAAAATGACCATAATACCCTCAACCTCTCCGATAGAACGCAGCCATATACTGTGTAAAACTGTAACCGTTGGTGTTGGTCACGAAAGTGAAAACGCCAATTGTAATTTCTAACCCAAAAGTGTCGGTTCATAATTACATAATCCAGGTGTCACCTTGAACAAGACTTGACCAGACACGGGACCCTCGCACTGCCGTTGATCACGTTGAAGCCCTCTCTCCTGCCTGCCTGCCTTGTGGCGTACTTTAGCATCTTCTGCGCTTCAAAACCGACTGCGCACACTCCCTTTAAGCCCCACTTAAAAAACTTAAACCCTCTGCTAAGCATATCTATCTACACACCAGCAGAGAGACCAGAATAGAAGATTAAAGAAACTTCATCCATCCATCCATCTATGGCCGCCAAAGGACGCCGTTGAGAACCCAATCTCAGCCACACACAGCTATAATGCTCTCGCCTGAGCTCCCTCCAATGTCGAAACCCTCTCCCAGAACCAAGCCCTCTTCTTGGCTCGCCGATAGCTTGCTCTTCTTCAGCGGGGCATTTCTCGCTCTCCTCGTCCTCTTCACTTTTTACTCCTTCGTAAGCACTTATTCATCCCCCAATTTCGCCCGTACGGTCACTTCTCCGCCGCCCACCGCCGAACCCGATCAATGCGCCGACGATGCTAACCTACGCCGCGACCCGCCGGACCCGACCTTTTACGACGACCGGGAAGTCAGGTACACGCTCGGGGACCCGGTTCAGAACTGGGACGAGAAGCGGCAGCAGTGGCTGCTCCTTCACCCCTCGCTCGCCGCCGGAGCAGGGGAGAGGATTCTGATGGTGACGGGATCTCAGCCGGCCGCGTGTCGCAATCCTATCGGCGATCATCTCCTCTTACGATTCTTCAAGAACAAGGTGGACTACTGTAGATTCCACGGGCACGAAATCTTCTACAACAACGCGTTGCTGCACCCGCGGATGGGCAGCTACTGGGCCAAGCTGCCCGTAATCCGGGCCGCCATGGTGGCCCATCCGGAGGCCGAGTGGATCTGGTGGGTTGACTCGGACGCGTTGTTCACCGACATGGAGTTCAAGCTCCCTTTGGACCGGTACAAGAACCACAACCTCGTCGTCCACGGCTGGGCCCACCTGGTCATGGAGACGCACAGTTGGACGGGGCTCAACGCCGGCGTGTTCTTGATCAGGAACTGCCAGTGGACCATGGATTTTCTCGAGGTGTGGGCCAGCATGGGCCCACAGACCCCGGACTACGAGAAATGGGGAGAAACCCTCCGGTCAACGTTCAAGGACAAGGCGTTCCCGGAGTCAGACGATCAGACGGGCCTCGCTTACTTGATCTACAAGGAGAAGGAAAAGTGGGGGAAGAAGATTTATCTGGAGAGCGAGTATTATTTCGAAGGGTACTGGGCGGAGATAGTCGGGACGCTTGACAAGATCGAGGACCGGTACGAGGAGATAGAGAGAGGGGAGGAGGACAATGCGGTGCGTTTAAGGAGGCGGCACGCGGAGAAGGTGAGCGAGCAATACGGTGCGTTTCGGGAGGAGTATTTGGGTGAGGCGGGGTACGGGAGAGGGAGCTGGAGGCGACCGTTCATCACGCACTTCACCGGATGCCAGCCGTGCAGTGGGAAGCACAACGAGATGTACAAGGCGAATTCGTGTTGGGATGGGATGGAGAAAGCGTTGAATTTCGCTGATAATCAGGTGCTTCGCAAATACGGTTACGTGCACCCGAGCACAATGGATCGTGCGGTCTCTACCGTGCCGTTTGATTACCCGTCCGAGTAAGATTAGCCCATCAATTCAAGTCATCCTACGGTCACTTTGAAAAAGAAAGGTACGTAAGTGCTTTTGCTTTTGCTTATTCTGCTTTTGGGGTTTGCTTAATTAATTAATTAATTAGCTTTTTAGCTGAGCAAAAGCCAAAGGTGTTTGGCTTGTTGGTGGGTTTTAGATTTTTAAAGCGGTGCATGATGGGAGCATGATTTTCCACTTTTCACAGGTGATGATGAGAGCAAGCAAAGCATTATAATGTGTGTTTGCCTTTGTTGTGTTGTGACTTAAAACTATGCTCCAAATAGCACACAAGAAAATGACTAAAATATTGGCTTTGGATTTGTTCAGTTGAGAAGTTAGAGCTTCACACATAAAAGGTCTCTGGGCAGTGTTTCTAGATGATGACAATTTGAGGACCATGATGACATCTAAATTGCTGGGAACAATGATAATAATAATTGTTTTTTTCCCCCCCTTTTTAATGAGGAATTACATAATTACATCCTTTCTCTTTAGATTAGACAAACAAAAAGAAACATATTAAATTTCTGATACTCTGTTTTATTAGCTACTGCTGTCACTTGGCTACCTTACCTACCCTCTTTTATTTTGCAAGCATTACTCTTCATTCTTCATAGCTTATTGTAGTATTTGATAAGCTCTAAGCATTAATCATCTAGAACTTATGATGGTGTTTCATATTTTCATTCTTGATTATAGGAACTCTGGCTCTTCATGGTATATGCGCTATTCGAAGCTTCCGATAATTCCTGGACTAGTGTCACTTTCGGTAGCAGGTAGCAGATAATTCCCGGACCAGTATCATTTCCGGTCACGGACTTACATGTTATGTATGAGGCTAGTTTAGCAATATGCAGACACTTTCATTCTCCAGTTTATATTGAGAATTCACTTCTACATTTTCCCCTTATGGTTCTTAGTGCATGTTTATTTACATGTATTCGGGATGTATAGAGAAGTATCGAGTGCATCTCCCGCTTAGATTTTCAGTAATTCTTGTAAATCCAAATGTTACTATGTACTTTTGTCAACAACAAAAAAAAAGTTACCATGTAGCCTAGAATGTAATAAATTTGGTTGAGAAACATTGGAAGCTCAACCTGTTATAGAACCGAGCTTAAGCATTTGCGCACATCATTTTGGTATACATTTCAATTTTCAGTATCCAGAGAAGTATACAAATCATAAAGTCATCCGAAGACATCAATCATTCATTTTCGTTACATTGCAAGCTAAATTTTTCTAACCACCATGCAAACTTCTAGTAAGAAAAATTTCATAGTTCATAATTGCCCTTCCTTCAATCTTGCTCTCTTTCCCTGGCCAGCTTCTTTGCCTTCCTCCTTTGCTTTACCTTGTTCTGATTACTGCAAGCAGCTGGCTCATCTCCTGAACAAACCCAGCCTCGTGTGAATTTTCAGTTTCCACTTTGTCATATAAAATTGTCAAAAACAGAACCCATAATTTAAAAAACGCAACAGCAAATATGAAAAAATTTCTAACCTGGTTTCTCGACGATAGCAGCATCAGGTTCCTCAGAGGCATTACGTCGAACACCTTGAGCTTCGTTTTCACCTTGATCGACGGTTGGAGGTAAAAGGGGCCCAATAAGTTCCCTACGGCGGGAAGCATCTTCCTTGAGCTTCTTCTTGCGGAGTCTCTTCCGCTGAGCCCTTGTAAGCCTCTGAGGGTCACTTTCACCATTACCATCATCGTCCCCGCTCGTCGTTGCAGACCCACTCTCCCCCAAGTCTTCTTCAAAGTCTTGATGTAAAATGCTCAATGGCACTTCTTCATCTTTTGGCTGTAAACAATTTTATTCTTAGTTACAATGAAAAAGTTGCAGAAAAATTATTAAAAAGATCAGAGAGAGTGTGTGTGTACTGGTGGTGATGATGGAGGGGAAGGAGGCGGGAAAAGTGTGTTGAGGACAGCTTCATTGAACTTGCGTCTCTTCTCTTCCCTGCGCATCTTGATGAAAAAAATAATAAAAAACCAGTGAAATTGCTTGGTTATTAGCTTTAAACAAGAAACGATTTACGACACGCTGTTTGGGATCGTTCCTCTGGAAGTTATACTCTGCTGCAGCTTTTAAATGAAATGAATTTTTATGGTTGAAAACTAATATTATGTGAGCTGTTATTGGTACTCCTCATAATGAAAGAATGAGGGAGAAATGAGTGCGGATGACTATTTTGACTACTTGCCTCCTTACATGTACTCCTTCATGCAAATCATAATTTGACATATATACAACAATAATTCATTAAAACCACAAAAAGAAAAACTTCTGCACACATGTTATACTGTAAGAGCTCTTACTTACCTAATAAGGAGGGAAGTATTTTCCTTAAAACAATATTATTGCCACATAACAGACAAAATATACAAAATTTATTGAACATTTTTATCCAAATTCAATATTAAATAATATGGAAACATGGTAACAAAAGGTGCTTATGTAACTAAAAATTTTGCAACTCTGGAAACGGTGGTCACAGCGTTTCTTGGGAGATCCACCTTTTGAACATGGCAAAGCACTCCTTAGGCTTATATTCTGGAGCTGTGTGACCTCCTCCCTGCACAGAAACAACAAATTATGAATAATTCAATTTTCTATAATATTAGGCCATCATTTCCGCTGCTAACCTTAGTGTAGGAAATTCACAAGCACTCTTATCTTAACAGTTGCAAATGTAAAGTTGTTTGAATGTTTCCTTGAGTATCTGCACACAGGAAACAACAGTAGTAAGCGAGATTTCAATTCAAACCTGCTACAAATTATGTATTGTGAAGCATTTTTAGCCTACCCTGCAATTCCACCGTCAACTAGCCACGGTCTCCAGAGATGAACAACGGTAAAGTTCAGAGACCTAATCCATGCGAGGGTTCCCAGGTAGGGTACCACCATGTCATGGTCACTGCTGCATAAACATATACTACTCAAATACCTCAGAAATTCACAAATCTAACTTCAACTACATTCGTTTGTGTCACCAGTTGAGCAACGATGCCTAGTATTTACCACATAGGATAAACTTTGGGCGACTGCGTGAGAAGAGATGAGTGCAAAACCTGTATATTAGAGCTCGATAACCTCTGGTGTTGAGAGATAGATGATAGCTAACCACACTTTGGAAATATCTTCTGTATGGCAAGCTGCTGCTGTTGCATCTCATCCAGAAAATCCTCTGGTTTTATTCCCAAAAGGTAAAACGAAATGTCATAAATTTTTGTTTACAGCAGGAATTTTTGTGTATAATATGCACGGACATGCGCCGCGCACACACACACAAACACACACATCTATGTAGACTTAAGCATTTCCTACAGTGAGTTTACTTTACAGTTGTTCAACATTCTCTTACATTGTGAACATGAAGCGCCTTTTGAACATTATCATCGTTCGCCCAAACATGGATCAGCAAATTCTCGTAATCCTGTAAAGAGGACCGTCATTTCTGCAACACCTAGCTCATTAGAAGTACTACGGAAAATTGAAGAATTACCCTGCACCCAAATTTTGGAAAACCAAGTCCTGGCTCTTGAAGTTTTGGAAGAAGGCTCAGGTGAATCAAGTTAAGTTTAAATTGCGAATCTTCCGAGCTTTCCAGGAGATTCTTCTGGTGGTCCTTACTATTTGTGTCGGAGCTTGGTCTACACTGAGGCTCCAAGATGTGCTCAAAATTTAATTTTTCAGTGCACTACAAAGGCAAACAAAATGGTATCTAATAAACAATGTGGATAAAATGTAGGGAAACAGATTATAATTCTAGTTTGAGTAGGAAAAAGACAAATACATTTATATATATGTAAAAATGTTCCCACCACTGAGAAAGCCTGGATATCCATTGCACATTGTTTATTGCTTTGGTTGATTCCTGTGTACAGTCCTTTGCAACTCTTTTTTGCTGACTAAGAAAAATGTGCAGCCACTTAAGTATATATTAAAAGTACGTCAAACTAAGCAGATAGATGGAAACTAGATGCGTTACATTCATGGATGACGAACTTGAGAATATAGATAATTGATTGTTTTAGGTACCTTGTAGGGTTCATCTGGTATAAGTGCGAGGTGGTGGGCAAATGGAACCCTTGAATTTGCATCAATATTAATATCTGTCAATGGGTTCCCAAGTAGACAACCCTGGAAAAGTTTCTAAAAGTTCTTACGCCCTTTAGAAAATGCAACTTCCTGGTGAAGTAACAAAGTTTGGTACTAGAATACATACTTTGAAATTGATTTCTGGTATGCTTCCGGCTTCAATACCTGCAGTATCATAGCAAGCTGGTTAATAAGTCCATCGACAGTTAATTATATGAGAAATTGTTTGATATGTCACCACCCTTTGCTATTTCTTCAGCGACAACTGGAACAATCATGCCAGAGAATGAGTCACCAGCAATGTAGATTGGGTTTGAAATGAATTCAGGGTGAGAGAGTAACCACTGCATAATAAGAAGAAGACGATGCACGCAAATCAAGTTCATGAACGTATAACATATATGCTAAAGTAAAGAACAATATTCTCTTTTGTACTAGATACAGATCTTAGTAGAGTCACGAAACATCTTATCATGCATAATGTCGGGTGCTTGTGTTTGCATATCATCTCACTGCAATTGTTGTGCTAATTTACCTTCTTGAGGAAACCATAAGTATGATTAATAAACAAAATATCACTGGACCCTTTCGAGCTTTTTGAATATGAAAACCCGGTGCCAATAGGTGCATCCACAAATATTATGCTGGAAACCTAATGCATCACGATTATGCAGAAAACAACATTAGGAAATTGCAGTAATGAGAAGAGCAGTTGTCCAAGAATAAGGATAGTTAACATGCACATTTGAACAGGTATAAATTTATCTTGCCTTTGTCCATGAGTACGGATTAATCACAAATGTTGGTAAGCTACCATTATACTCCACCATGTTAAACTTCATAGGCCCCACACAAAAACACAAATTAGTCAAAAGCTTCTTGCGGACTGAGGGTAAGGCTCATTTAAGATGGAAAGAATTTCACTGTGAAGGAATTAGAAGCTGGTAAGCACTTGTTAGAGACCAGTCATTCAGTGGAAAGGTGATCGAGAAAGCTTAAAAAGACAAAGTTACAATAATTATTTTTTATTTTATTTTCTGGAACAGTAAAATTGTACTTTATGAGAAATGCTCTTATGTTCAAACTCTCATTCTAGACTACTATTAGTATTACGAAGACTGTTATTCCTATGAGTGTGTGATGTGTCGTTCAGATTCACAATCTCTACTATCATATGATTGCCGCTTAGATTCGCAGCAAAAAAAACAATGTACAGAATTTGTTGGAGGCCAATTGTGTATAACATGGATACTAGACTAAAGCACCAGACTTTCACATTAATCAAATGATAAATCACAACAAAAGAAGCCAAAAAAAAAGTCATAGAAATATAGTAGCACGTTAGTCTAAGTTGCATTTGCTGTACAAACCTATCTCAAAAGCAAGCCCAGATAGACCAGAGCAAGTAGGACCACCAGTGAGCCAGAGCAAAAGAGGATCATCCCTTGGGTTTCTTTCAGATTCAACAAAGTAATAGAAGAGCTGCACATCTTCTTTCTCTTCAACCCCAATATACGTGAAACCCATCACCAAGGCCACACACACACACAGATATATTTGAAATGTGCTGAGATTAATTTGGCATGATCTTACAAATTCATGGATTAATTTATTCCAAAATATTTGTAAATTCAACAAAGAAAACAGAAGGAGTTGAAAGAGGAAATGAGCACATTGAGTAGCAGATGACTCACCCAGTTTCAAGTTTGAAGGGAAGGGAACCAGTAAATCCTGGCAGGGACTTGATAACTGTGCAAGTAACCAGCTGTGGTTTTGAGCAAAGCAGCACTCTTCTCCCATCTTCTCAAAGTGTTGTTGGGGGACTGTGAAACGATTTTGAGTGTTGTGACTAGTTGCATGGTCGATGCCATGTGTCCACTTTTTGGTTTATGGGTTGCAAGTGTCAACATTGTCAGGGTCACTTCTGGGTCTACTCTTTATGCACATTTATGTTTATTCCAGTTTGATTTGGATCGGTTTCACAATACAATACAAAATTATGTCATCTTTTTATGTTTTAATTTTTTTTAAAGAAATAATATTGCAACTCGGCTATACTTTGTTTGTTTTGTTTCCTTTTAAAAAATAATAATAATAATATAGCCATGCGGCTATATATATATACACTCTGATCCTTTTTTTCCTTTTAAATTTGTTTCCCCGATTTTTGTTTATCAATAATAATAGTCTCTATTATTCCGTTTTGATTTTTTACTTTTCCAGAGTTATTACTCGTATAAAGAATTTAGCACTTTCAAGTTTAATATTGTATTATGCACGTATGAACGTATTTTTCAATAATACATCTGTGTTCTGTACACGGCTTAAAGACTCGCTAAAAATTCACCTTTTTTACAAATAAAATGTACAATACTCATATTGTACATGTATGTACGTATTTGTCAAGTTTAATACACATATTTTTTTTACAAAATTTTCAATAATACACAAAAAAATTCGCGCATTTATACACATAATTCTCACATATTATTGAATACAAATAATATATATTGAAAAAATTTGAGCGTCTTTGGCTCTTCCTTAAACTAGGATTGGGCATCTGGACCGACAAACTGGTTTGCATAAATGTTAATTATATTTATAAAGTTGAATTTAGTGAACTCCAACTCCAACCCTTATAAAGTTGGAGTTAGTGGGACTCGAACCCTTGACCTCCAACGTATACTCTCATTTCCAACCCACAAATATCTTGTGTTAAATATTTATAACTAATATATTTAAATGATAGGTTGACCAAAAAAAATATATATATATATATATATATTTAAATGATATCAATTACAACAAAACTGTTAAAAAAATATAAATGTTAGAGTTAAAACCCTAACAATACTCATTCTCTTGCGCCGTTCAGATGTCTATGCTCAATTTTTTTTCCTAATTTTTAAAAAAGAAATAGTATAGCCGGGGGCTATACTCATTTCTCTAATATTTCAAAAGAATTCGTATAGCCGCACGGCTATACTCGGTTTTTGTCCTAATTTTTTTTAATAATAAATAGTATTGCAGCGCGGCTATACTTGGTTTTTTTTAAAAAGGGGTTTTCAAAATTTTTTTAAATAAATAGTATAGCCGGAAGGCTATATTTAAAAAAACGTATCGCCGCACGGCTATACTCTGGCTTCCTATTTTTTTTTAAAGAAATAGTATAGCTGGGCGGCTATACTCGGTTTTGTTTCCTAATTTTTAAAGAAAGAAAATAGTATAGCCGGCTATACTCTGTTTTATATTTTTTATTTTAAAGAAATAGTATAGCCGTTCGGCGATACTCGGTTTTTGTTTGTTTTTTTTATAAAGAAATAGTATAGATACATGATTTTTTCTAATTTTTTTTTAAAAAAGAAATAGTATAGCCGCGCGACTAGACTCAGTTTTTTCTATTTTTTATAAAACAAATAGTATAGTCCCCGGCTATACTCGGTATTATTTTTTTTTATTTTTAAAAAAGAAATAGTATAGCCGTGCGGCCTGGAATACTTTTATTTTTATTTTTAAAGAAATGTTATTAATTCCAACAAAACTTTTAAAAAATGTAAGTGTTAGAATTAAAACCCTAAGAATTCTCATTCTCTTGTGCTGTTTCATTTCAGACGCCTTCTTCTTTAGTTCATCTCTCTCTCTCTCTCTCTCTCTTCTTCGGGCCTAAGTGGGCTTTAGTGGACGCATGATTCATGCCAATGATTTGCAGCAAACTGGATCAGTAGGAAAATAAGATAATTGGTCACTTCAATGGAAAAACTAGTAAATATACTTGAGGCATGCAACTATAGTTCATCATGGTATTATGAATCTCGTCACTTGGCAATATATTCACAAGTTGTGGTTAGATTTGAGAATCAATCGCGCCTTCAATCATTGAGAAGTTTGTTGCGACTTGCAACGATGTCAAACTGGCTTGAGATTGCAATCTCAAAGTGGACGCACTCTGCTCTAATACAAAGAGATTTCAACCTTAACGACGGAGTTAAAACTTGGTGGGCCCACTCACCCAGATCTTCAATGTAAATACGACTCAGCAGCACTAATAAATATCCAAGCGTGGGTGTGCATATCATGCCCCCGCTAATGCCTGGAGGAGATAACATATCCTATCATAATTTAGGTATCCTAATGCGTCTGCGTCTCAAGTCCAATAATCCTCCTACAATCAAGGGACTTTTCCTCCTCCATGACTTGTTACTAAAATGCCGTATTAACTTACCAACCGGTTAACACTCGAACGTTTCTGTATACACAAATTTGTACAGCACATATAACGTGAGAGTTGCTTATTACTTATATAAATGAGATTCTCATTGAAAACTTATAGGTCACCGTCATCCAAAACTGTATCATCCATGTTAGTGGCTCAACACTAGCAAGTTGTTTGCCAATATTTTCTATTTATTAACATTTTGCGATGACTTTAAAATTAACTTTAAAATAAAGAAAGAAACCACCACTCCATTAAACAACTCCCGAAAGCCCAATGGAAAATTACTCTGAATAAAGAAATTCGACCAACCATGTGCATTTTGGTTTTGCAAGTCCCTTTTTTTCCAAGGGTCCAAATAATGAAAGACATTGGCCAACTAACTCATTCTTGTTCACCTGTTTTCTACATGAAATAATGGACGATCGATGATCTGCATTTGGAAGAGAACATTTATTAGAAATTGATATATTTTTCATATTCTAGGACTGTTTCAAATACTCAATAGAGATTTGAAGACATGCAAAATGAGCTAGCGGCTAGCCAAAGGATGTACAATGTTGATGCTGGTGTTCTTCCTCTTATCTGAATTAACCTTTCGTGATTGCTGCGTTTCTACATTTATATTAAGCCTATGGTATTTGTAGTTGTTCTTGTACTGGCGTTTATGACCAGCTTTAGTGCTTGATGTATAAATGCAATATACGGTTTTCTTTATTATTTTTTAAAAATGTACTAATTGAAGTTCTATATATATCTCACAATTAATTTAAGAATATCACAAAGCTACAACAAAAATTCCAAACTAAACATTAATGTTGGTTCAAAATCCCTACCAACAATCAACTTAGCTAAAAGACTTGAAGAGATTAGGATTAAGATCAACACAAAACAATTGACTTTGAGAGATAGTCCGCCTCCCTTCTAATTTGTTCTTTCATATTTGACTTGCACAATTTGCTCCATTAACTACGACGTAATTGTTCTCCTAGAAACAGCGTAGCTTCTACTTCTTGGATACACATCTCTCTTCACCTTGACTTCTTCTTCATCAAACTCACAAGCCTTGTCTTCATCAATCCTTCCAATCCCAACGCTACGACTGCGAGGCACGGTGTTGGGCTCTGCCGCCATTGGAGGCTGCCTAGGCTGTTGTGCTTTTCGAGCAAGATCGAATTCAATTTTACTTCTTACACTCCTAGTAGAAGCAGCCCTCAGAAGCTCCCTGTAATCTTCATTGTTAGAGGCGCTGGATTTGGTGGAGTTGGTGCTGTAGCTTTTAGGCAAAGAACTTGGGATTTGGGTAGGGCAACCCATCGCCGTTGCATAATCAAACGTACCCGAGCACTCTGTCATGCTCTTGATGTAGAAGTCCCTGGCCTTGATTAAAATCCTTATTGGGGACTTCAAAAACCTGGCGAGTCTGCTTTCTTTCCTGGCCTTGGCCATGATCATGTAATTCTAGTTTTGGAAAATTTGTACACCGAATACTTCTGGTTTTTGTTTTCTCTTTCCCACGCTAGAGAGCAGGTACAGTGCGTATATATCGAGGAAAGACAAGAAAATGTCTGGAAAGGTAACAAAAGAAGGTATACGATTGTGGAGATTCTAAGATATAGAAGGTTTTGTAATGATGGTTTCGAGGGAGAGCATATATATGTAATATATATGCAATGACGGATATTATATAGAAGAGTTTATACATCTGTGGGCCAATGTATACACATGAAAGCGATGGCTGAGGTGGGAGAAGTTATTGCGCAACATCAGAGACGTGGTGTTATAAATCACTCAAATTATAAACGTATCTAATATTTAATAAGTGCTGCTATTTTCACCCATTTGTCCTATTTTCCCACTCACCTTATCTGGGGGGTATAACTTTATACGGGTAGGAGGGGTATAAATTTACATGTTGGCATACCACATGGTGTTACTATAAACACCGAATAATTTCTCTTTAGAAAAAAAAGAGAGGGTATTTGAGAAGTGGAGATATGTTTTGTAATGTAGACCAAGAAGCAGGAGGGGGTGAGCAAATTGGAGGGATACGTGGACTTTGTCAAGGTGAAGCCGGATCAGAATTTAGAAGGAAGTATGATAATAACAAGAGTACCACACACGAAATAGTATTAGGAACAAGATACCTTAAAATAAAATTAAAGACAGAAAAATAATTTAACTTGTAGCAGCCCTCATTTGTTTTTGTTTTTTTGTTTTGTGTACTGAATTTTTTTTCCATTATAATAAGGATAGATAATTGAGTTTTCTATGCTTGCAACAACAAACACGCAACACACTGTGTTTCCAATGTCATGTTTGCTTAATATGTGGGTCAATGTGCTAAAATATATATATCTTTTTACATTTCCTTTTAGAAAGATGACATTATTTTGTGGTCAATATCTGATTACACAATGTGAAAGGTAAAGTCCATTTATTATACTGGTTATTGTCACTCGTAGTCGGTCGAAAAGTATGACGTCAAAAATTTGTGATAATGTTTAAAGTTACCTCGCTACAATGCTTCTACTTGCATAATGTTTTGATAAATTATTTTTGTATTGTCCTCGTAACGTAATACAAT